GGGGGGGGGGAGGCTGAGATGTGCATTCTTTTGTGTGTCCTCGTGCTGTTTCCCTGTTTTTTCTGTTCAATTTCGTGCTAAGTAAGCAAATAAATGTCATCATAAGTAGAGCAAAATTAATCTCTCTTTTGTGAATGAAATAAACATGAGCTTCATAGTTGTGGAGTAATTCTTTTCACTCGAATGATGCTGTACTACGACTGAAGTCATTGGTATGGTAGGAGCTAAACTTTGGGGGTTATGTAATTGCTTCTCTGGGCGACAAGCGCGAAAAGCGGAAGTTAGTAGATTTGTCATATCGCAAACAAAGTTAGTTCATTGCGTCTTCGGTATGACTTGAGCAGGAGGAAATGGGAAATTTTCAGAATAGGATGAATGGAGAGGAAGATTGAAAGCATTTGGGGGCGTTTGTCATATAGTGCAGTGACCTTTGGGTTTGAAGGAGTGTGGCTTTGAGTCATTAACGGCGGCTGAGGACATGAATTCATTGTTTACGGCTAGGCTTGGCGTAGTGGTGCCGGAGATGAGTCCGTATTTTGCATTTGCTTCAGTCTGGTATTTTATGAATGACTCAAGACTGTGCTTAAGCAGTGCAAGACGTTTACGATGAAAGGAATTCGGAACTACAGGCTATAACTTCCACACATTACATAATGCGCAACGACAACATTTGCATAGTGATCAAATTGTGTATGCGTCAGATCTCTAGCAATAAAGTAGTGGCTCGGATTGATTTGAGACCTGAGTGTACGCTTCTTCATTTCGTTGAATTATCCAATCGCCATATGTACCTTTGCAATGCTGTGACTTGCGTCGACTTTGGGAAAGATTTAGGTTGCAATGGTAAAATAAAAGTCAAAATTCGTGTCCAAATTCCGCACAGAAAGAAAAAAGCAGCTCTACGGAAGACTCAATGGAATTTAGTCTTTTAAATAAATTAGTTCCATGTTCTCCTACTCGTGGCGATAGACACATTAGGTGCGCCAGTCAGAGACTAGCTCACATCTAAGCGACTCGAATTGTGAGAACGCCAGAAGTTTCGACAAAGTAAATCTGAGTAGACTCAACAGCAACTCTAATGTGGCGGTTAAAACTAGGACGCAAACGAGTGCAGCTGCAGTATTTTGTTTATGTGACCTGACGTCTGGTGGTAACTTTAGGATTCGACTTGCCCGCGTACAAGTGGACCGTCCATAGCATAATCCCCTTTTGTCCTTCTAAAATACATGTATTCAGCCCAACCTAATGCTCCCTTCTATCTAGTGAGGAGCCTCAGGACGCTGATAGCAGCTTCTAAGTCATAATTTTAAATGACAATTAGGAATAATGTGTTCTTTTCCGAGACTTGGTAATAAACCACACCTCCAGCAGTTCGTGCGTTCGTTTAGGCGGAGCTGGCCACTGGCAGGTTTGCAACATACCAGCTCTTCTCAAAGCTTTTGTTGATATCACTATTTGTTTGATTGGTGCATAAATATTCCAGAAAAGATCCGAGATATATCAACATGATTAGTAAGGTTAAGGGGAGCTTACATCAAATCCGTTTAATTCACACACAAAATTTAGAGCATCGTGGTTAGAATGGGGATCATACAAATACCGAAATGCAGTTAGATTAACATTACGAAATGCATTCAGAGCCATAAATAGTAAATTGAGCCGACAAATATTAAATTCGTTAAAATTAAATGTACCGATTTGGCAACTAGTTATTAATCAAGTGTAGCGTAACATGTATCTGTGAGCCGCGCCAACCACGAATTCAAAGTACCTGTCAGTGGGCGTCTGGGTTCTTTTAATGTGTTTCTGATAACGGTTTCTAACTTTATCGTTACAACTGTTGATGGACATCGTGTACCCTGAAAAACCAGTTGCTCGAGAGGAAGAATTCGATTTTTTGATTTCAGTCATAGGAAAGGTAAGTCTAAAATGTGTTTTAGACTTTTGTTCTGTGTGAATAGGTTCTTGTGACTCAATTCCCCTTTTACTCTATGCTTCATGAGCATTGCTGAGCTAAATGGTGTCCGTTTTTGTTTCCATGAAAAGGGCATCCCAGTTTCACCATGCATAGTGGTCTCGGGTCCACCAGGATGCGGAAAATCTTATCTGGTTCGTTCTGCTCTTCAACGTTGTGCTGAAATCAACAGCAACTTTCGGTACATAAGTGTTAGCTCTTTTGAGGCCTGTCCTCACAAAATGACCGGCGCAGCACTCCCGTCTCGCAGCGTCAGCCTCTTCAATCTTATTCTTTCCGAGTTTGAACACCGTTTCCTTCCTTCTCACTCGGATTTCGAGTTTAAATGTGATAATGCAGCCTCGTTCATTGAAAAAGCATGCGAGCTCTTCCACAAGATTGCGACGAATGGGGATTTTGGTAGGATAACACTTGACTTTCTAGCGGCTTTAGCAACATTTTGCATCACATTTTATCAAGCTGAAAAGCTTCGAGATTTGGCTGACAACATAATTCCTATTATGGTGAACCTTAATACTTTGGTGCATGACCATATGCGCATGCTGTATCCCGGTTTTGGGGCATCAAGTATAGTCACCATATTTATCACTTCATGCTCATGGTACAAATTTTATTCGGGTACATTTGCGTCCGAGCCAACGTGTCTTTACTTGAAGGCCTATACTCGGGAACAGCTGGCGCAAATTCTCATCAAGGCTGCGTCTAACGAGTCGCCACGCTATGCGAGATTCATCGACATCCTCCTAACCGTTTGTCTGCCTGTCACTCGGAACACCAATGAACTGCTCTTTTTGGCTCAGGTTGGTGACGAAAGTCATCGTGGAAGGTCGTCACCTCATTATTTGTTTTCTTCAGTTCAACTGGAAGGCGTTTGACAAGCCGGTGGCTCGTGGGCTGGTGGCAGAAGATGATGAGTGGGGTCAATACCACTACGCATTACCAAAACTCAGGCGCTCCCTGTCGACGATCTACCTGCGACCTGAGTATGATAGCACTTCGTCCTCCGATGAGGAAAAATCTGATACTGAGAGTCAGCCTGCGCAGACTAACTTGAATGCGCTAGAGATACCTCTTTATCCTCGCTACCTCCTCCTTGCCGCTTACATTGCCTCCTACAATCCTAAGAAGTCAGATAAACGATTCTTTGTTAAGGTATGTAGGTGTTTTGAACTTTTTTTCAGCCTGCTGGTTCTTTTAGAATACCGGTAAGATGTCCTCAAGAACCAAACATTACGAGAAGCGAGCTGAACATGTAAGTTTCCCGCCTCACTTTGGTCTCTCCAATTAATCGATGTCCACTTACATGCTACAATGTTTAAACCAAATATTTCAATGTTGTGATGGTAAGATGAGCCTCGGTGATGATATTTATTTATCACTTATCGTGGGTATCCGACAGTCTGCATGATATACCAAAGCTAGTCGAAATTTCAGTCCTTGCCGCATACACAGAATTACTACACGTCTGAAGGGTTAATCGGACCTGGATTGTTCTCTTGTTTGTTCTAAGAAAGTGTTTAGCTACTTACCTGGCGTTGTGCCAGTTTTGAAGTGGAATGCAACAGAATTCAGTGTTTGTATTCACCGGCGGTATTGTTAATTTTACTCAATTTCCTGTTATTAAATGGTTTATGCCTAATGGTGACTATGTTCACATGCTTTACATTATGACCAAACATTCCAAATCAGCCTTGGTTGATGTATTCTAAATGAACGTGACATTGTTGAGACCAACTGCCATCTCTACGGTCCTCGCCTCTTCTCTCTGGACCGGCTACTGGCGATCTTCTATGCGCTCCTCAACCTAGAGGGCATCAAGGAAGGTGCTAGTTCTACATCGATGCCGGAGATGACGAGTCTACTATTGAGCTGGGTAGGTGGATTGTGCGGACTAGGGTTAATGGCATCGGCGTCGGGTGCCGCAGCCGTGGGTAGCATGACTGCTACTACTCCAGCTCTGGTCGGTGAGTCCTCTGCTGGTTGCTCTGAGGACCCTCTGTTCAATCCGCGCTATCGCTGTCTCATTAACCTAGAGACGGCACGCACAGTCGCCAAGTCCGTCGACCTCGATATCAACCGATATCTTCTCGACTTTCTTTAAACTATCTCCACTTCTCATTTTTCATTCCTTCAACGTCAGGTTGTTTCGGCTTCTGGGACACTTGCATGCATCACTAATTGGGAATTATTCGGCTTGATTAAATCTACTTTCCTTTTTTTCTGCCTCTTATGAGTTTTGGCTTGTATAGATTACAAGGAATGGTTATTCATACTATGCGGCTTCGCAGCATTTTGGGTCTTTGTGATTGTTCATGTAAGCTTACAATTCATTTTATTGTAAATATAGCTGCTGAGATGTTATCGATCTCTGCCATCGTGTTTGTTCGTGGGTATGCGTTCGGTTGGTTTCACACCGCTTCCGCCTAGTGCCTAGTCTGTTGCTTCACTCTTACTCGAGTCCGGCAGAGTAGTGCCTCCTTAGCCAACCGCTTACAACTAATGCAGGGTGTTGATTACACCTGCAGTTATTTCGAGTGTTGGGACTTCGAGTATGCCGGCAGGTACTATGGCTTTGGACAGCAGTAGGCGCAATTAGACGTTTTTCGGGCTAAAGGTGTGGTGTGGTTTACGTGGATCCGAAGGAATTTCTCCTTTTTCCATATTTCAGTAAGTCAAATTGTGATGCATTTGCTATGACGCGCATGCTTCTAAGGTATGGGGATCTTCATCAGCTCTTCAATCAACAGCGACTCATTACTCGCTTACTTGCACATAATTCTTCTCCATTCCATGGACATGGGTGGCTACGAGAACGTTTAATCGGGGAGATCTTTCGAAGTTGTTCACGTCATTGAACACTCAAAGAACGGAGAATTGCGCTCAAGCTTTTGAAACTCGTAAACTTCTGGCCAACAATGATAGAATTGTTAGTTAATGATAGGGACATAGATTCGATAAAGTAATTCTGTTGATTGTGAGGGATAAATTCCAAAGCAATGGATTTTGAGAGCTACTAAAGTGTCCCCTTCATTAACTATAGTTCGCGGTAGGATTTATCCGCTTTTAAATTCAAAGACCGAAAGTGATTTATTGAAGCATATCCAGTCATTACTACAACGTCGATAGGCGAGGACACTACTTCTTTTTCTTCCCTTTAGAGTCCTTTGAATTCTTTCCCTTCCCTCCCTTTGAGTCTTTTGAGGCCTTTGATCCTTTGGAGCCCTTCTTCTTGGACGATTTTGAATCTGGTACCTCTTCGCCCTCCTTGGGGAGATCCTTCTCTCGACAGAACTTCTTCATCCAAGACTCAGGAAGGAGATCTTCTGGTTGAATTGGTTTCCACTTGTCTTCTAAAGAGCATATGCAGACACTATCTTGGGTTGGTGGTTCACGCAGTTGTGGCATCAGCGGATCCACAAAGGTTCGAAGGAGTACGTTTTCTAGGCAGAGGAAGGTGTCGTTGTACCACCTCATCACTGATTGATCAACTAATAGGAGGAGAGAGTTCCTGTAGCGGTCCACAATTGCTGCTGTTCCATTCTTGGCCAGGGAGAAGTAACCAGGGCGGATGCGCTGAAAGGCGTTAACTTTGTAGGATCCCATGTAGCAAGTTTCTCCATTTGGCAAGGGACAAAGACAAGGGCCTTTTGGCACCTTATTGACGTTGTAAATGTGAAACACACCTACTTTGGAGTCGCTCGCCACCAACAAACCCAGGCTATCAATCTGGACACCGAATGGCTCGCCATAAGAGAAGCGATCGACACCGAAGTTTGCGTAAAGAACAACTTTAATTACATCAATTCGACGGTATACGCGGCAGTAGTGAAGGTGAAAAGCCTGAATCCGATTTGGACAGGTGGCTGCAACAAATAGTAGGTTATGTGACATGGCACATCCTCCAGAGGCAGCCAAATGAACACATGTTCTCTCGTCAGTGAAGTAATTTTCTAATTGGAAATCCTGAGGTTCATAAGTGTGTGAGGAAAGGAACTGCATCTTTTGGAGAGGATTAAACAATATGCAGATGGAGTCTCTGTTAGCACAGATTCCATAGGGTGTAGATTCATCTGAAAGGTTGAATCCACGAGGAAGAGGTTGGTTGGTGTCTGGATCGACGGTTGTTGGGATCGAGGCTGGGTCTTTTGCTTTATAAGGGAACTCAATTTTGTGTTCCTCTTCGAAGGTTTCCGGGTTATAGAAGACAATGGCATTACTTTTTACCGTTGGACAGTTTAAAAGTACTGCGATTCGTCCGGTAAGTGGTACTTCAATCAACATTTTTGGTTCGCCCTTGGTGATAATTGGGATGCCCAAAGATACTAACCTATTGTTAGCGGACTCATATTTGTAGCGTAGGATCCGACGAAATTGGAGTTCGGAGACCCACACATCGCCCCAGCTGGTGCATAGTGGGGCAGTGGGAGACCAAGCGAATTCACGATACTCCAGAGTGGGTTGACTCGCATAGGGGTACCAGATCTGGCGCCGCATTGAGGAGAGGAGAGTGGGCTTAGGCGGTTCTGGTGGCGGTGGCGGTGTTGGTTGCCGCACATACTCAAAGGGTACAGGAATGGCTTCACATTTACTCTTGGCGCCATCGTTTCCTTTACCTTTGCCTTTGCTTTCTTTGCTACCCTTACCTTTACTGCCCTTACTTCCTTTGCTGCCTTTTTCCTTTGCAGACTTCGATTTGGATCCCATTCTCGTGGGATTTCACGCTGCGGCCGTCCTCTTAAACACCTAATTCCACCGAGTTTATCGATTTTCACAAGTCTTGCTCGCACGTGGATGGATAGAGAAGAAAGTGTCTAGCCTTACGCAACTATTACAGCCCCATTCTAACGATCATTGAAACGACGAATGGGAGAAGAGAAATGTGCGAGGACTGAATTTTACAATTCTCATAGTAATACTGCTAATGTGATCACCTGTATGCCTGGCGGTCGTTTTATTATTTACCTTGCTCCTTTCCGCATGGTCTGGTCTCCGGGCAAAGCCAAATCTCAATCCCCTCATTCTTCCTCTTGAATACACCTATTCAATCGTGCCTAATGCCTTCTTCTACCTGGAAAATCTCGGGGTGCTGCAATAACTGTATCTTCAGGTGGAATAGGCTCTCCGTAGCGATTTGGAGAGCGAAATTCTGAATCCCCTTTAAGTAACTATACTAGAACTCTCCAGACTACCTTCTTCATCCTACAGGCATGTCAAAAAAAACATTACTTCAAACAATTTTTAGCCGCCTATTTACTAGGTCTACGAGAGCGCATGCGAAAGAAACAGTTTCAAGACTTCTTTGCTTGCAGTAATGTGAAATACTTATCGAAATAAACCCTTGTGGCCTTGAGATAGAAATAGGATTTCAAGACAGAAGATTGTCCGGTGTAGGTACAGTGCTGAAAAACCATCATGAACTTTGATACAACTACCTCCCTTTGCCTCGAAAAAAAACTAGTCCGTTGGTAACCCAACCCCAACCAAAAGTTATTCGAGGTTCGAATGTTCTGTACTCTCGATCGCAGTACCAATAATGTGGTGGCACTCGTCGCCTTCTCCCATTCGGTGCAGTCAAAATCCTGTACGGACAACACCGTCGTGTAACTGGAGTTTGAAGAACAAGAGGCCAACCCGTCCACTGGACCACAAACGTTCCCGTAGTTATGCCTACCAATCAGCTCAGTGAGTGGTCGTGCAGTCGGTTATGCTTCTGGCATCCAATAGACTCCCTTCCAATTCGTGATTCCTGAAATTCCGTAGTCTTCCCTAAGCATAGATCTGCATGATGATGAGAAAGCCAATCAACCATGCCGCTAATACTGATAGAAAGGCATAAACATAAGTTCAGATAAAAATGGAGCTTTTAATTACAATATACCATATCGAGGGAATAACAGATTTTTCAATAAAATTAGCGGTAAAAAATCCTAAGGTGGGAAGATGCGCAATGTCCATAGCACCCTCTACCTAGCTTTGGAACAGCACTTGATGAGGATTGTGCCTAGTTAATAGAAGAAAACAGCGTTTGCAAAACAATGAAGAACGTCGCCAAATTTGATCATAACCAGGTGTGAGCTTAGAATGAGTGCTGGAAGCAAGACCACAAGATTGATAAACATTAAAAAAGAAAACAGAATCGGGTTCAGATGGTGAAGCTCAGAAACCTTACGCATACTTTGCTCTCTTATCATTTTGTGTTGCATGAAGTGAGGTCATGCCACAGCTGGATGTGTGGAGTCGCATGTGGACTCAGTGCCGGTGCATAGCCGCCTCCGTTTCCGCCTCCTCGGTGTTGGCGACACTTCCCTAGAACTCTGGGAAAAAACGAGAATTAACTCTCATCCTCAAGCAAATTGATCCTTTTACCAGCATAGAGGTAGGCACCTCAAAAAACTGAAAAATGACCAAGGTAGATCAACTGGATAATCTGTTCCACAGTAAGAAATGCCTAGGAGAACCGATTTTCAAACACCAAAGCATACTTCGGTGATCCTTCACAGGCCTGATTATTCTTAATAGATGATATTACTTACCTTAGTATATTTTCTTCATATCCATTCATGCGCCAGCGCTTATTTTAACATGAACAACTTCCTCTTAATAAACAATGGATGCATCTTGGAAGACCACTCCCTTATAAAGAGACTTCAACTTCAACAAAAGCGAATGCAAGGTTGTTTTGCTCATAACATTCGAAACTACCGCAAAACAAGGGGGAAATCGCATGTATTTTTTGAATAATTACGGCAATTTACGAAGATTGAAGAAGGCACTTCCAGGACACTGAGTTTCACCAGTGCTAATAGGGGAGTTTGAGGCTATTTTGTGAGTCGATATTGTTCTAGACGAGTTAAGCGATGCAGCTGCAGCAAAGACCAAGAATATCTCAAGACATTTCAGAATACCCTACATCTTACCATCTGTGAAGAGATGCGATTACGTTTTTTTATCCCTTACCCTTCTTTTGGGTGCAATCGCAGATTCTCCCGTCTCCTCAATGGCAACCTAAGAGGACAAACCCCAATTAGCTAGGTACATATAGTCCTGTACAAATGACACGAAACCTGAAAACACCTTCACTCAGTAAAAAGAACTTGCAGAAGTAGTTACCTTTGCACTCATCAAGTTATCCCTCAAGTGTGGCAAAGACAATTTCTACCAAAGTTTGATGCACCAGAGGAGTGAGGATGACTTGGATGAGACGTGTGTGCAAAACTTAGATCACCCATTCGGCCATACATTCGTCGACAAACCAATCCCTCCATCTACTTACACGGCTACGTCCCCCCTGGACTCCGTGCACACCCCCACATCCATTCGGTAACTCATCCCCAATCCAAATAACAGCCATTTTTCATCCATACATCTAAGAACCTATACGCTTTTTGCCTCGACCATCGAGGCCATCAATCTCTCCACCCAACGTGATGCCAATTCGTTTCCTCACCCTGAGCCCATCAATTCACCCATTAAATATCCACTGCCTTATCCCTCGCTTCAAGAAATCGGTCCTCATGCCATACCTGTGAGGTGTTCTCGGCATCAAGACTGAAGTAAAATGCTCTATCGGAGCCGAACTTCGTGGGTGTATAGAGAGCCTGCAGGGAGAGGTTGATGGATTCGCGAGCCACGAGGGAGGCTTTGCGAGGCAAATGGCATTGCTGGCGCTGTCCTGGGAGGCCAGTCACCTCGGAACCGAGGGCGGAGCGCAACTGAGGATTGGGAAGCACCGACACTGACCGATGGACTCTTTTGTCGACCGGGAGTTGTTCAAACCCGCCTTGCATCGTCCTCAAATCCGGCTGTAAACGCACATGCACGTAGTGTTTTCAGGGATCATTTAGCGGACTTGGTTGCACTCCTAAATAACTATCATTAATGAATTGATTAATAGATAAGTTTCTACAGAGAATACAAGTTCCTAGATCCCTTGTTGAGCTATGGATGGAGCATACCTTACCTCGGTCTGATACTCATCTTTATCGATGGAGTTTACCTGGGCAAAAACAAATCCAGGTAGCGACCAAACATGCATTTACTTACGCCATTATCAAAATGACGTTCCAGGTCCCCGTTGCTTCCCATATGAAACAGTTCTGTGGTGCGTCTTATGACTTTTCTTCTTCGCCTGGTCCGGCTTATATAAGAATAGCTAAAACTCATCGTAGTGGTAGTTTGAAGATCTCGGTCACCATTCTGAAATTCTGTAGTCGATTCCTCAAGCGTAGAAATTCCCCGCTCAACAGACATCAGTGACAGTGCTTGATTTTCACTTATAGTACCTTTACCACCCTTTTCATCCCGTGCTGCTTTGTTACTATTTGAAGAAATCATAACTTGACTGACTGAAGTAGATTCATCATGCATCCGGAGAGGACTCATCGATCTATCGGGAAGGACCAGAAATCGTGGACAGTTATGCTTTCGATCGACGGCCTCATCTGTCGCAGAAGACAGCTGAACAACATTCAGATTATCCCCATCATGACCAAAAGAAGTCTCAATCATGGGAGGCTGAAAGTTCTGACCGTTGGAAGATGTATAAAGTTCCACAGGTTCATTCTCCAAAAGAACAGGTGACTGGACGTTCACGCGCTCATTACCCCGGTTGATAGCTTCTGAGCCAATTGATCGACTCCCCGTCAAGATGCCATCCCGTGCTAAGATCAAACTAGATGGGCGAGATTGATGGTTAAGCTTTTTGCTGGAGACAGCGGGACCTTCGCCATCTTCGGGTGAATTAGCAGATGTGGGAATGACGGTGAAAGAAAGCCTGGGACAGAAATCATCTAACATTGCCAGAGACCCAAAGAGCACCATCATCTGAAAGAAAAACATTGCCCATATTTAGTTATGGCTATAGACAAGTACTGTAATGTGCTCAGCATGCAGAAATGGCAATGAACAGGACGTATTTGCTTGATCCACCTGGTAAGAGCGCTGGACAAGGGTTGCTCATCCCCAAGTTAAGTTTGGAGATTCAGGTAAGTGATAATTCAAGCAAAATGCATGATCGTACTCACCATACTAACTTCCACAAGGTCCCAGAGGGAAATGTGAACACCACTTACCGAGCGTTGTACCTACCCCCACACTAGATCGCATTCGTTTTTGGGCATGCTAAACTCTTTCCCAAGTGTACGGTAAGATTAGATAGAATGATACTCGGCAAGCATATAAAAAACACCGTAACACATCTTTGGAACATCGCGCCAAAGCATGGAAACAGGAAAAGCCCACGTGATGGCAATAGTTTTTGGATAAATCCAACTATTCCAACTATTCATAGTTCCTGAACTCACTCCAGAACAGGGCATTTAGCCACTTTTGTTCCGTAAATACACCAGTGCTTTACAGATAGTTGAAGGATAAATCCAACATGCCCTTCTACACACTATGTACGAATCGACAAGGTCACGATCCCTTTAACAGTATCAAAATATAGAATAATTTTGGCGCAAAATAGACATTTGAATACACACGCGCGCGTTGGCTCAAAATACAGAAGGAAAAGCACCCTAGCGGACGTGACAGGTGGGGCATATCCAAGAGTGCGACTCCGGAAGTTTTCGAATTTGCGACAGCTTCATTTTTGAGCAATTCGCATGCACCCAGAGACCGCAGGTGGAGCAGAGGACACTCCAGACCTTGTAGTTCACATTATTTCCACAAACGCCACAGGGGAATGGGAGATTTGGTTTAGCCTTTTGTGCGATGCGTCTAGTATGCTTGTTTGGATGTGCACGGCTCCGATGAGACGACAGAAAGTGAGAGCACGATGGCGGCTGCGTGTCTCTGGTGTGGTCGGGTGAGGCTCCTCCGCACTACAAGAGGCAACAAATAGACACAAATGTAGTGGGAGGAGTCTCGTTAGACACATGGCACACCACACCAGAAATTTACACAAGCCCATAAATGCTAGCAGAATTTCAGAGACTTCACTTCCCACCCTCTCCTATCCGAAAAATAGCAAAAACCACTCACCTGTAACCTCAGTTGTATTGGCAGTTCAGTGGGCACATGCATGCATTGACATTTAGCACACTTTCTGAAGCGCCTCTTTAGTACTGGAGAGGTGTTCCTTCGCGGTGATGGCAGCGATGGGGCAGCTGTGTCCTTTGGAGGCGATGCAATCGAGACGGAACTGATGATATCTTGCACAGTGCACGTGCCGATCCTTGGCGGCGCAGTCACTGATCTCATCGGTGGCACTGCCGGACCTGTCTCCCGAAGGATTGGAGCCTGTGATGTAAGGTGAAAAGAATCCAGGTTCGGGGATTTGTTGCAGAGAGGAGGTGGTGGACAGATAGACTCGGAAGACAAATCTACAGTGATCGCGGACTGAGCGAGAGCTGAAAATAGCGATGGGCATGATTAAGAGCAAATAATAGAGTAGACTCTGAGAAGGACGCAACTTCCACTAACAGACACATAGGTCCTGAATTAGTTATGAAATAAACATCTCGAAAATACACAAACTTTCTTAATGAATTAAGCTTTTGGTATCTTGACACCTCATTTGAATTGGTTTAGCGCGTAGTAAGTAACTCTACCACTGCTCGCCTCGAGACTAAAAAGCTGTGGGAAATGATTTACACCCCAAACCAACTTGCAACTACTTTAAAAAGCACTAAAGAGACAATGAACTGAATATAGAACTCAAACTTACCTCTATCTGGAACACCCCTTTCAAGAGGTATTGAGACGACCTGTTCCACGTCCCGTGCTAAAGTGGCGGAAGGTGCCAGTGCCAGCGGGGGGAGTGGGGATGAATAAGTGGTTGGACTATTGATTGATATGGGCTGGAGTGTCGGGGACGCTTCACCAACAAACATCGAAGACAGGTCACCCATGATACCGATGCTACTATGTTCATCGCTTTCGCTGAAGAGTTCTACTTCACAGTCTTGTGGAACTGATGGTAAGGGTAGAGGTGGAAGCGCGCTGAAGTCCACTACAGCGTCGTCGATTGGTCTAAAGTGCGTAAGTAACTCAAAACTATGAGTACACTTTATAAAATTAAGCTTGTTTCACAAATGACGATCCTTGTTGCGCCGAAATTACACAAGAAAGGCATTTTATGACTGAATGGACAACACTCACAAACACGCACTTTCGAAGGTGTTCCATGCTCGATACAAAGACACCGGTAACGAAGTGAAGCCGACTTTCTACGTCAAAGCTTTCCAGGAAATTCGTTAAATGCTAAAACAGGTGTATAAATGCAAGAAGAGACTCTATAAGCAGATGAGCAAAGTTTATGACTTAAACCGCGTTTGTCAGGTTTTGAACTCAATGCTTGCGTCTTGGTGAGAAATATCCCGTAGACAGCATCAAACAATTTTGAGCAGCGTATTCCGATCACAATAGCTAATTAAACAATAGGTCAAGGATTACTCGTGAGCGGCTTGGGATGGTTGTGGCTCCGTCTCCTTGACTTGCTCATTATGAGAGGTTGGAGAATTTTCAGCGGAAGGCGGGGATATGTCTGCGACTTTGACGCCTCGGGCCTTTGCCAGTGCTTCCCTCATCGACGGTATTTCGGAAAGGAGTTGATCGAGTTGACGAAAGTTTTCCGCGTTCGTCGCGTAATCCATATGGTACGCTCCAGTGACATGCTGAAAGATCACGGATGAAGAGTGATTAAATGAAGCATCTTCATCTCCATTCGAGCCGACATTTGGGAATAAGTAAACGGCCGTGTGAACCATGGCACGCAATAAAAATTACCGCGTCGGAGTCACGTAACTTTTATCATAATCGAGTTGCCATGTTTTAAAAATTAGTTTGAATCCAAAGTATAGGAGAAAACTTTGAGTTACTGATAGTAAAAAGAAAGACGACCGCTAAAGCAAAGTGACGTGTAACGAATTCGGTTCAGAAGTCGCTCATGACCATGAGACAAGTGATGAATCCAAAACGAGGACAGCATGCAATTCAACAAATATCAAGTTTGATAAGCATGAACAAAGGCGAAATAAAGCATAAGATTGATAAAAAGACATAAATGCACGAGTGCAATGAAACAGTCTTATGGTTTAATGAAGCGAAATGATAACCAATACTCGGCCGTGTCAATAGATCCCTACCAGAGTTTCAAGAAAAAATTGATTAACACGGTTCACTAGAATATTTCAACTTTCCACTACGATACCTTCAGTCGCATAATCGAAGTGTTCTATTCAAATTCTGCCTTACATCTAATGTCACAGGCATCAACGAATCAAGGCCATCCAGCTTCTAATGATAACTATTTCCTTGAATTATTTGTTTAAGGGTAATGGTATATATGAACTATCCCTCGCAAATTAGTACAAACCACGTCACGCATTAGTGCCACTAGTAATAAACGTTTTAATGTGACCAATTACAAAAAAGACCACACCAGCTGGTATGTTAAAATCGTTATTTGTGGAACACAATGCCAGAACAAAGCATGACCAGTGGATATAAGACCAGGCAAGCGAAGGAGCAAAATTAACGCACCGTGTACAGACTATTGAAACGTGACAAGCAGCATTCGCAGTACCCGGAAGGTTCCGCAAGGGTTCCTCGAGATCGCTTAGTTCTGCAAAAAAGTAAATGGATGAAGATAATAATGAGTGGCTATGAAATAAGCATAGAAAGTGGTCAGCAAAGGAACACTAACGAAAGTTTCCGACGTTTAGAAGAGGAGAGTCCCTTGTAGCCAATCAGGGATACCCCCGGAGAGTTCTTAGCCCCGATATCCCGTTTGGACAGTCCAGTGGTGTGCTGAGATGTGACAACATTGGTAGAGAGAGGAAGTCCAACGCTGGCCAGGGGAGTCGTGCTAGTCCCAGCAGGAGTAGCGGACGCTTGTGGAGCATTGAGAAGAACAGGGGTCTTTGGAGTAACTGTAGCTGCAGAAGCGGAACCCGAAAAGGACCGCCAGAGACACTCCATGTAATTTGTTTTTTCCATATAACTTGGCCGCGTTCGCGCCTTTAAGTCAACTATTTTGATACAAGGACGAGCCAATGGTCTCACTGAAATGTCAATAGCGAAATTTCAATGCTTAGCTACTGTTTCAGCGCAATGCGATGTCCATAAAATTGAGGCAGAAGCCCAGAATGATTGTGATGCTTTATCATGAGATGATAATCAGAGCCTGGTAAAAAGTACCAATGTTGGATGCTGTATTTCTTGCAGCAATGCTAGAGAATTTCAGCATAAACACTAATTAGAGCTCCCTCACTGAATAAAGGGACGTCAGGACGACGAGAAGACTAGTAGCTACAATTTGAGAAAACTTACACAGCCATAGACGGTCACGTTCGGGATCATCCGGTTCTGAGGTTGTGTCACTATCGAAGAAAGGGCTTTCACCAACCTAGAATTTTTTGACATATAAGATAGAGAACCGATAATTACTGACAACTATTCTGAAAAATAAGCCACAGTCCATGATGAAACAGGGCACATCTGATAAGTCGTTTGACGCTTATTTTGCACTAAGGGTACAAATCGATGAGAATCGTTCGCTGCACATTAAGAACATTAGTGAGTGAACATTACCGCTAAACGGGTACCAAATTAAGCGTCAATATATGTCGAAGAGCACCAGGACTCAGTACAACTCAAATACTCACATAACTATTTCTGTGAGATATATCCGATTTGGCGTTACAAAGATTAATTTAACGAGACTGAACTCAAAATAAGAAAAAGTGAAAGTCGGTCTTATCAGAGGCGCTACAATGACAGTTCAAGTTTATTACCTCCAGTTGCATTTTGACATCCTCGGGAAGTGCATGGACCCACTTTTTTACAACTGAAATTGGAAAGAACGCTCAGACAAGGAAAAAAGTGAAGTTGATTACAACCTTTTGAGCTACTAGTGCAAATGATCAAACAAAATCCATAGCCCATCGCAATTAAGAAAAAACCAACTCACCATCAACTGTCAATACTTTAATACCAAACTCCTGAGCCCTCGAAAGGACATCGTGAGGATGTCTAGTTACCTGAAGCATTAAAAGAAGCATGCCATCTTAGACAAATGCAGCATTTAGCATGGTTTGCAAGCACCAATGCTTGCCTATACGTTGACAGGACATGCTGAGGATTCACAAGATAAACTTATGCATAAATGAATCTCATTCCACCAAGTAGAGAAAACAGATTTACTGAAACAGACTGATTGATTCCAGAGGCGACAGTGGAAGGCTTTGATGCTATTTTAACGGCAAGCACCATCGCACGTCCTCTGGTGACACTCAAGGGTGACTTTTGCAAAGAGGAGGGATTCCCTTCTGTAGACAGTTGTGGCACGTTTTCTAATCCCGGATCAATGTTCTCCTTCGATGAACACCCTGGAGAAAGCGTAGGTTGATGTGGCCAACGATCTTTTGGCAAGTTAGTGATCACATAGTCGATTTCGCGATCAAAAAACTGTGATATTTTCTAAAAGGGACGGTTAGGAGTCGTCAGAAAACAAAGCACAAATACCATTAGTAAGAAAAATTCCTATTGAACTTGCAAAGTGGAGTGTTAAACAATACCATGAGTACGGAAAGTGTTGTGAGCAATATTAAATTATTTGAGAATCTAGCACATACAACAACGCCAACAGCATCATAGCGACCATGAACTACACGAGCAAAATGTCAACAGCCGAGAGAGAGGTGAAAAGACTCACGGCACCGAGAGCGCTCAATAGCTTTTCCAGACTTTTGGGTGGATGTGTCCCTGCCTCAAAATGCATATAAATCTTTTTGCCACGAAGAGGGAATTTTCTGCATTTTTCAGCAACCGAAGTCATTATGCCCAATTTTTTAAATAAGACGTACAGCTGTCATTTTGAAAGACTTGAGCATTGGTCACGGCATTCGCGATGTTTAATTGGAGATTTGAAAGGCGGGTTTGTTTATCTTCTCGTAAAAAGCCAGTGAAGCGAAAAACTCCTATTTTAAGAGCTCTGTCATCAAACTTAATTTAAGAAATGAATTTATCATTAACTACTTTAACCGGTGGTGTTGTTTAATGCTAGCTTAATTCCTAACTTGAGGTGTCATAATCGTCAGCAATCAACGTATGTGCTACGAAGCGTTTACCTATCTTTCTATTAAAGCAGAAATCTTTCGTGTCTCAAAGAGCACTATAGAGTTTATTAGGTGAAGACGCTACCATTTTTCATTTGACCAATGTAGGCACTTATCCATGCACTTCCTACCAGCACATTCATAAAATTGAAGATAACGAATTATCATGTTGGTTCACTAAGGTCTAACTGGATACGCGGTTATGTGCCTTTTGGTAATTAATCGCAAACATGAACCATGAGATATATCAAAAGACTACAATCGACACCGGCTAAGTATTATTAAGTATTATTATTTTTGCACTTATTAAAGCGAAACAGCTGGTCTAATACGTTCAAGTGCTTTACTATTAACGATATTTTAAAGATGTATCTACTATAGTATGCTGCGCCTTTGAGCTTTATGAGCCTTACATTTTGCTTACGTCGGAGATTGCAATTAGATTTGCTATAAATTATTTATCCGGTCTACCAATCAAACACAGCAACCGGGACTATGGAATTTATCTTGAGTCGCGGCCGATTGCGGGATGGCCGTTGCTGTAGTCGAGTCGAACTTGAGTGAATTAGAAGGCAATATTAGGAGAGATCCGGAGTCCTACCTACCAGATGTAATTAGGTTCATTTTCTCTGTAATTTGCTTAGTTCGAGATTCAGTATGAAAGTTACAATTCTCTGGAGGCTACCTATCTTTCTGCGCCTTCTGAATACGTCCCTAAGTTGGACAGTCTCCTCACTTTTGTATCGCAGGTATGTTTGCTCTTCTCTTGGTGTCAGTGCATAGATTATACACCTGTTCCCTGATTATATTGCTAGATTCAGCGAAAATGTGGCATCGACTCTCCTCTCCCGTTCTTTCGGTATGAATGCTCGGATGCGAATGGTTCGTCTTCTATCTTGGTGTCCTGATTTTGTTAGACCTACTTAAAAGCGTTTATGAGGCTACGAGTAAGGAATTTCGTGACACTTCAACAATCAGTCGATGTCGCTTTCCGATTGCATCGATGCCAAGACAAGCACGTCAGGAAAATGCTGCGTGGTTTTGTTATTAACGATATAAAACGAGTGAATTTGAAAGGTGGATCGGGGAAATCCAATGCTGTAATTTTGCCCTTTGAGGTTACCTTTTTTTAATAGACCATTCACTCTTTTATTGCAACAGCGATAAAAGACGGGAACACAACTGTCGCAAAAGAAGCAGTTATTATTTTGGTAGAGCTGTGCAGAAAAGGTGTTTGGAAGCACGAAAAATCAGTTAATTTGATTGCCGATGCATGTTTAGTTAAGTCCCAAAAGGTTTATTCTAAAGCTATTCGGTTTTTTCTTGGCCACGCTGAGAAGTCGATGGAACAGGAGAGTAGCAGTGATAGTGATGCCAACGTTGGCCTTGATGCAAAAATAAAACAGTTGAAGTTGGGTCACCGTGTGGGTATAAAATCGAAAAAGCGGACGAAGCGTCTTGATCGTGGCATTGACAGTCTGAAGCGTAAAAATGAACAACGGTTGAAGAAGCCAAAGTCTACGGGAATTAATGTTCTTGCCCTCAGAATGATTTACGACCCTCAAACCTTTGCTGAAAAATTGTTCCATAAACTTGAAAAGTGCAACGACCGCTTAGAAATCCGTTTGCTTCTGCTTGAGTTGATCAGTCACCTCATCGGTGTTCACCAACTCTTATTAATGAATTTCTATCCGTCATTGCAACGGTTCTTGCGTCCACAACAGAGGGGTAAGTACTGAAGTTTTTTTGTGGCATTGTATTTATTCCACTTTTAGAAATCACCCGACTCCTCCTATTCGCCGCCGAAGCCAGTCATGATCAGGTCCCGCCCGATGTACGTATTCATGCAGTGTTAATATTTGATTGATGCCATTTTTCATGATATCTGCTCTGATCAATAAGGCGATCCTCCCACTTGTACGCACTATCGCCGACAACTTTGTGACTGACCGAGCGTCAGCAGAGGCCATCACTGTGGGCCTGAACACCATTCGTGAGATATGCGCCCGCTGCCCCTACGCTGTGGATGCAGATTTGCTCTCTGACCTTGTTGGCTACAAGTCTTATCGAAACAAAAATGTAGTTGCAGCTGCGCGATCGCTTATCCGGTTGTATAGACAGGTATGGTCTTCCGTATAAGTTGGGTCTTTTTGATATCTATGCTAAGATGGTTGATGGATTTTCATTGCTACTTTAGTTTATGGCATCATGTTTTTCTCCTTTTTATGTCCCAGATTAATCCGTCATTGCTGCCGAAGCGTGAGGTGGGTCGTCCAACAGAGGCGTTGAAAGAAGCTCTAGGTGGTGACAAGGGGGATATGGACTTCTTGGTAGCAAGTAATGGGCCTGCGCGTGTCTTCGGCAAGATGTGTGCTGCAACTAGCATCGCTGGTGCTGAGGTTCTCGTAGAAACCGTTGCTTCTGACACTGACGACGATGGGTGCCCTAAAAAGCGACGCAGAGTCGAAGCGAACTTCGGAAGGGTTTTTGAGGTTGGGGACAATGCTGATGCCGAAGTCGAGAGGCAGGAAGAGGTTCTGCAGTCAGTAACTGAGGCCGAGGGTATTTATACTTCCCATATTAACTTAGACTTGTTCCTTTCGGTAGCTGTAGTTGTTGTTGCTCTTGCTACAAATTGCTTATTCAGTCAAATGTTCTTTGAAAACTACTTCGTGGATTGGTGTTTCTGTCTACGTCTTGGATTGGTTGCTTTCTTAAATTTTATTAAGGTTGATTAACTTCAGTGAGTGTTGTCGTTTTCCTATACGACTTAGTTTTCAGGAACGGGATCGAGCGTAGTGTTCCACGTCTTTTGTCATACCCTCTTTGAGAATCTGCAATTAGCTCAACAATTACTTTCAGAAAACTTCTTTTTGGAAATATTCAGCTTTTGACAATGGGGATGGCGTTTCTGGGGATACAGAGGGCGAAGGGGGCGCTAAATCTCGTGATGGTGAAGACCCGAGTGGAGAAAGGAGTACCAAGAAGAAGGACTCCAACACAGGAGGGAATAAGGGGGTCAAAAAGAAACAGTCAAAAAATGTCGTACCTGAAATGATCCTCACCACTCGTGTTCTCACTGATGAGGACTTTGAATCCATCCGCAGGCGCCAGACAGAAAAACAGGTTATTTTATTTAAAATTAGTAAGTAGCAATGTTGTCATGCATTACCTTGCAGATCCTCTTCGCCGCTGCGGGTGGTCGTAAGAGGAAGCGGGGCGAAGATGTAATGATCGAGGAAAATGATCTTCATGATGGCTGTGCCGACAGTGATACCAACGAGAATAGTGATAAAGAAGTTGATCTGGGGGAGGTGCATGGCCTTGTGTCAATGAGAGACATCACTAAACTCGTCAGGAAGCCTCGCTCCACCAAGGCAGATCGTGTAGACACTGTCACAGAGGGTCGGGAGGGACGTAAGAAGTATGGATTCCAGGTAGGATGACAGTTGGTCGAAAAATTTGGTCGGATCTTGCGTCCATTTTTTTACACTAATGCTAGTCACTTGTTATGCTTGCCTATTAGTTGGTATGTATATCGTTGTTGCCCTTTGAATCGTTAATGTACCTGAGTTTGAGCAGATAACTTAATAATGTTGTCCAATGTATTGGGGTTGATTTAATGAAAGCTTCAATATTCTCTCCTTAAACTGCTTGCAATAGTATTTCATTTCTGGTGTTTATTTGGGAAAGTTATCATCAGTAAGTGATTGCTACCACTGCGCTTTATTTTCTCTAACAAATCGTATCCAATTCGTTATTTTTTGTATTTTCATTTTTCGTTATCTTTTACGTAATGTGTATGCCATGCATTGGTGGCATTCGCACTCCTTTAGTGGCAATGTACTGCATTTCACTCTGGAAAGATATTTCTGGGTGTTTTTAGGCGGCATGTTTTTCATCATAAAGAAAGTTGTTCGTGGCGGGCAGCCCTTACCTGAATATAGGCAGTGTTTTGCCAATGTTATTTAGAGCAGGATGGTCAAATCAAAAGACGTCATATTAGTTTTGTGGGTCGCCTTTAGAGTTTCATTGCGGCACATTTTTGGCCCGTTTAGGGCGTGTTATTTGAATGTGCACGCCTTTAATCTTCTTACCACCGGTTTTTTTTGTCATAGTGTTTGATGTGCTGTCTGATTTCATGAAATCCTTGTTTTTGTCGGTGTCAGTTTGCTTGTCCAGACAGACAACTTTCCGCAAACAACTTTCCGGACTGTGATGAATGAACACCTATAAGACAACGTGGGGTGTGCGCGGTTGCCGCCGCCTTATGCAAACTTTTCTGTTGTTTTTAGTCTTATGTTTTGATTGTCTAGAGTTACTACGTACTCGTGAATCCGACATTCGCCCATTGTCGTGGAGTTACTTATTTCTTGCCAAAAACTTCGAGTCAAATCCACAGATCTCTATCGTACTTCTAAACAATGCACTGGAGCCGTGAAAGAAAGCGATTACATCGCATTTACTCATACTTTTGGCCGTTCAAGTAGCAAATTTAGCAGTCGTCCTCAACATCCCGTTTAAACAAGCAATTAAGGAATTTATCGAAAGCATTTTGGTCAGCAGACCCTATTCTCACTTCTCACCCTCCAATTTCCCGTTTCCAAGTCATTGCAAGTGTGATTCCTTGATCGCCACTTCATTTAAAAGCTACACCTGATTTGAATTCTTGCTTGATATTAGTGGGACTTCAGTACATTGTCAATTTATCAGCAACAAAGACTGGATCTTTGAGACTAAGAAATGGGTTAAAAGGACGAGTTGATATTGAGGTGTCGGTAAGTCCTTATTAGTTAACTCACTGTATGTGTGAAGCAGCAGTACATTTTGACCCTGTCAAATGCGTCCTCTTCTGTCAACACGTCCTCAAACGAAGTTGCATTTACTACTCTAAGGTGCCTTGTGCAACTTTCCAGCCGTCTTTTTCTGACAAAATCCCTACGTTGAAATTCCGCATTTCGTCCCGGGTGACCCTGGCTCTAGTACTACTCAAAGATGGATAAGTACTTTGTACAACCAGTGTATCCGATTCAATCTTACGGCCAGTTGTAGGTGTGCTTTTTCCCTCAGCTCATTCGTCTATGACGGGGGTTTTTTGTGATTGACTGGTTTGTGATGATTAAATCTAGTTTTGGACGTGGGTATCATTTTTGGCGGTTTTTGGAGAATTCCTTTTTTGGATGTTTTATCGTGAAGTCGCAGTGATTTCTCGCCTTCGACGACATGACTTTCTTTCCAGACTACATCCTCCTCTAGAGATAATAACAAGGTTATGTCGCTGGTGGTGATGAAGATCTGTATACAAGTCTTTTATGTTCGGCGTTGTCGATTTTGATTTGCATCGAAGAGGCAGTTTGACGGCCGAAAAGTAGCATTTGTTTAACCATGACTCCTACTGTCACATTACATCTGGTAACTTTTTCCTCATATTTTCACTTTTGGCAATTTTTTCTCAGCAGTTTTATGTGCAGGGAGTTGTGGTTGCCCACCTGGATTCTCATCTTGCATTTATCATGGCTTTTCTTGAGGCGAATAATTTAAACGCTTTTTACATTTGCTGTCGCACCTCTTCTTGTGGTATTCTAAACACTTCCCATACACTGTGAATAGCGTGGCGCATGGGGTATGGCTATCTTGGTGGGTGTAAACCTACTCATCAAATCTTGTTTTTTTGTCCTTTAATCTTGATTTAGTACATGAAATTAGTGATGCTTTTCTCAGTAGTAATGCTGTGAAATGTTTCTTTTCTCAAGCACTCTGATGGCATCTTCTTTGTTAAGATGACCAAGGAAACCCTTGAAATTTGTCCAGTAATTCAACGGTAGACTGGTTTTTGGGTTGCCATAATGACTCATTAAGGTTTTACCTTATTTTTCACTGGTTGTACCTTTACACGAAGTGGGTGGGAATGCACAAGTGCTTGATTTTCTTACTAGTACTTCTTGTGTGTTTACGACGCCCTACAGCTTCAATTTGACTAAACAATTCTTATCTGGTCTTGCACCTCTGACAGAAACTTGGCCGAAATGTCTAGATTTGTGAGTTTATCCCGCGTGTCTGCCTCATTCGGCTAATAATTTGTTAGGCATGTGTGCTCGTCCACAGGTAAATCGCCTGAATCCCCACGCGAGCACAACGAATCGAGAGAAGAGGAAGAAGAAGACTTTCCAAATGATTAAACACAAGGTACGCAGGAAGGCGAAACGCAGCTTCCGCGAGAAGCAGGCCTCCCTGCGTGAACACTTGAGAAAATTGAGCAAAAACTTTCGGCACTGAGCCTCAATATTCACCTATTTCCTTAATATGTATATTGCGCGTGTGCATAAATGAAAATGTGGGTTGAATAACTTTTCGTGTTTGTTTTTTGTACCGTAATTCAACAATTTGTGGGGTGCTTGGTCCTAAAATGTGAAATTTCTCCCATCTGTGTTTTAACTTCCTCTCGATAGTGTCCGACCTGTGTGCTTCCAAAATGTCGGCTGCGAAAACACGACACATGTTTGTCATCGCCTTGACTGGTTCGAGTATCTTGAGTTGCGTCGGCTTAGGTGATGTCCATCGACGTCCAGTGCGTCGATGGTCGGACTCTCAAATCGAAAAAATGAAGTTAACTGGAAGGCGGATAATAAAACTTTAAGCCTCAATAGTCATTTACAGAGGATTATCGACCTTGAGGCCTTACATTGATTTTCATGCGGTTCCTTTTCCGCTTTTTGCGATAGGCTATTTATTTGCTTAAGCTAATTTGAAGCAGCTTTATTTTGTGGTTTAGTGCTCTGTTTGAGTTGGTGAATATTTTCAATTGCATCTCATTTCGGGGCTGCCAGCAGAGTAGGCTTATTGGCAAAGATTCTGGTTATACATTGGCTCAATAGTGCTGAAGTTTTGCAAAACTAACCCGCTCGTCATGACTTCCAGATTAGTAAATAGTAGCGTTTTCAAATGGCCTAATAAATCCGTCCTTGACATCGCGGACTTCTTTCGTTATCATGACATGAATCCATCAAATTGGATGAGTGATTATGTGGAGCATGGTGCAGAAGAAAATGCAAAGAAATGCATAATCGGACTCTGACTTGTTCTGCAACTTTAATGAATGCCAAAGTGTGTAGGTGTCTTTCTAAGGGTGTAAAGATGGAAGGCCTAAAATTAAGTGTATGAGGCATCATTCATGACCAGGAAAATGTACGGTCAAAAGGGGAATGCGAGCACCATCGAGGCGTACAACCTACGAAGCATCTCGATGGAGGTCGCGTTTGCGTGTCTTGTGGTATCAACTCAGTAGGTAAAACAGGTGGGGGTGAGCCTCATTGGTGACTTCATTGGGATTTCTAGGCCAAACGCCGGAGGATTTTGGTTGAACTGGGAGATGGGGTGAAGGAAATGGGGGGACAAGAGCATGATTGTAAATCATGGTAATCTCAAGTTTGGTGAAAAAAAGTGTACCTTTAGCTGTGACTGGAGGATTTCCAGCAATCAAGCCATCGGCAATACCTTTTGCGGGTCAACTTTCTAATTTGGAGGTTATCTTAGGCGAGTTTTTGAAACGAAGAGTTTGAATGTGTTCAGTTCAAAGTGGAACATTGGTTTTATGGGCAAAATCGAAGGACACCGCCACCGAGGGCACCAAACGAGGTAGTAAGCGCAAGTTGAGCCCCGCCACACTGATAATTGCTGCGTATTGTTGTGGATCGGAGTAGACTACTGTCTGCTGTGCACATGGCCGTCGAAATCATGAAGATCTGATGAAGAATTTCAACAGTGTCTAACGCAAGCTGGTATTTTGCTTCCCTAATTTTCACCTCGTGTTGTCTCGATTACTCACGCTTGTGCACTTTCAGTCTTAACTGCGGTGCAGATGCCATCACGCTTGAAGGATGAGTTCATTGGGAAAATTGTGTCCTTATTTAAAGAGCCTGAACCGGACGCCGGTCATGCATTTAAACGATCCAAAGATGGTTCAGTCGCAAGGAGAAGACAATAGTGACTTTTTACTTGCTTGCTTTCATTTCTTTTCGAAAGTAATGAAGTACCTGAGTTTGCCCGAACTCCACCGCAATGGCCCAACTAAACGCTCTTGAGCAAGCCTCGTGCGCGTCATGGATTTTAGTGCATTTGTCATTTACTTCTTCATGAAGGCAAAGCGACAATGGCGACACCGATATTAGAGAGAGGCATAATCTAAGGTAAGAATGAAATTGAGTTCCCAAATGACTTTTGTATGCTACCGGATATTCTATACCGATTAGAGAAGTGATTGCTTTAGGGATAGGTAATTGAAGGGTGACAAAACTCGGAACACTTTGTGGGTTCTTTAAAGTGACTTTTACGAGGCAATTTAAGAGCACAAGTTTGCCTTTTAAAGCCGAACACCCTCACGCCAGTCGAGGGTTTTGAAATCATTTGCGAAAATCCTCAATTTTAATGCATAACCATGGAGGGTTTGCATGTAATGACTGAAGAGTAGCAATGAAGGGCGAACTTGGTATGCATTGGCCCCTCGGAATAGTGAATCCAGTATCTCATACAAGACTGCAAAAGATGATGGTGAATACCTTAACCCAGCCTTTTATGTCCGGAAGAATTTCTAGCGCTTCACATGAAGCTCAGCCACTCTTTCCTTGCCACTCGGTGTGCATTCCACTCCGTGCTATGAGGAACGTCACTGAAGAACGATCTCACCATAAGCAGCGTCACAATTGATGCGTGTATTCAAGGAATAATGAAATCAGTACATCAGACTACAAAGAAGTGAATGAGCAAATGTGGGAGAAGGAGGCACTGACAGCCAAAGCACTCAATTTCTAAAGAAGAAGGATTCTGATTTATAATCTTCCATTTTAAGCAGAAAAGCTTGCCACCAATCGAAGATGCTCGCCAACACAATCGACTGCCTCCTGGTCGTCGTGTATTTCCGTTTCTAGAAGCTAAAATACGCAAAAGAATCTTAAAATCTGCTGGGTGCCTTGTATCACTTTTTCATTAGAGGTAATGCAGTCTGTGACCCGACGAAATACAAGGTCGAGGTGCTTAATTAACCAGTACGGCTGTCAGAAAAAAGCCTTTGCTAATCCCAGCAAATTTATTTCTTGATTATGAAGCGAGGTCAAGGTAGGCACTGCTTTTCGGTAGGCAAGAGAACCACAAGGACTTCGTCGTAAACTTCGCCCATGAAATCTACTCCAGCAATGCAAAAATGATGAGAGGGCTGCGGACAGGTCTCATGACACATGGATCCGCATTGAGGTCTGCCCGCCGTTTCAAGCAGCAACGGTTAAGCACTGCCTAGCACATCGGCCTGTGGTATTTCAGTGAGATGAGTGATTTGTAGCAGTTGGTGGGTTTTTAGTAGTGGCTCTAAAGGACTTCTGATTCATATCCACCGAACGTTCAGCGAATGAGACGGAGAAATGTCTCTGTGATTGCTTAAGAAGGGGGTGACATGCATGGGTGTGGGGTGGGGCAATTGACGATAGAAAAGTGGCCAACAGGCAAGCAAGGCCAATTGTTTCGTTTCATTATCAGCACTACCACCTACTCTTCTAAGTTTTGGCAGTAAATATAATTTTTGTGCTAGAAAAGAGAACATACCAGTTTAATTAGAAAAGCCTGGAGGTATTTGCCGAGATGACGGGAAACAAATTCAGCCAGGGAGACCACCGAGTCGACTTCGCTTCGAGGAGGTGAAGTGGGTGAGGATTGTCCACTCGAATCACAGTACTCGTGGCCTTCGAATGGGGAGGACTGAAAATCGAAGTGAATAATTTCTTGCTGACATGCAAAACCACAGACTAGGAAATTCAGCAACTGAGTTGCAAAAAGAGTTGTTTTCAGCTTAGGCTTAGCACTTCTTACGGTGGGTTTTCTTGGAGGGGAATTAAGTCCTCCAAAGTATAGACAATGGGCGACTTAATAACTAGGCAGAGTTCTTTTTGTTAATGCGTTAATTCCCGTTTGAGCAGTCTCCAAGTTAACAGCCTCGACTGCCCTCGCAGCATTGATGGAGATTTATTTGAAACAAGTGGATTGAAACAGGCATATCTTGGCAGTTAGTGCATTTAGGATGAACCAGGTAAACACCTCCTCGCGCAGCAAAATTTTGAAGGCAAATTTGTTGCATGAACTCGCCTCCACCTCCATTCCTTCTCTGCACATCGAAGGTGTGATACAAAGCAACAGCTGACACGAGAGTTTAGCGAAGGTAATGAAGACGATACATGAACCACAGTTGGATCTACTCTTCCTCTTTCCAGGTGAATGTTCACCCGCTTTGGTACTGACCTGCTGAGACGACAGGAGACAGGCGGGTATGTACACACTTAGTAAACAAATCTTGACAGAAAATTGACTAAGAAACAGGCAGAGGAAAGCGACTACGCATTTACTGCTGCTATAAAAAAGGCATTTGGATGAAATTGGATACGTCATGACGAGGTGCGACCCAAAGCGGCCAATGGTTTGCATATTCGCCGTATTGTGGCACTCAATCCGAGGAGATTTGCTATGACAAAGAAGTTTAACTCAGGCAGCTAAGACTTGTCTCCATGCCGAAAGTAAATAGCAAAGGAAGTAGCAAAAGTGAAAATTACGGCTCTACTTTACTTTGCAAATACTGGCAGACTCCAGTGATCAGTCGGTGGACGAGGTTGGATATCTGTTCGTTCTAATTTGGAATGATCAAAGAGCTAATTCTCCCCCATTCTTTATGCTCTCTATGAGAGTGCACTCCGCAGGGCAAAATAAAAGGCGCACATCTGCCGAGCCCACTTGACAGAACGCAGCCAGCTGCACTCACAACCCTGCCAGCATCGACTACAAAAAAATTTTTTAAAGTAGAGCTAATGCTTGCAGTCTATTCTGTCAAAATTGCCGCTATTCTCAAAGTAATTCCTGGTATTTTAAGAGGTTAACGCATCAACACCTGCAAACTCTCTACAAGAACGAGCCGGAGCAGTAGATTTAGCCCTTTTGATTTCGGTTGCTAGTGGGAAAGGAGCTGCGAAACCCCATGACCCAAAGTCCAATCCAAAGTGTTTCAAAAAGTTGTTCATTCCACCTGCTATTCTGTGAATTAGTTGTTTTGCGGTGTGTGGGCGACACTAACCCTTTCAAACATCAACCACTCAGAAGCCCTTTTCCCAATTCCCTTTACGAAAAATAAATAAGCCAGCATCTTGGTAAACAGTCTAAGGCCAAGTGACCTAAAAATTGTGAAGCAGCACATGGAACGCCAGACTTGGGTCTGACTGCGTACTTTCGGCTTCAGGGTTCTGGAGCATATCCAGGTTATTAATGAGAGTTTTTGGTCTCCTAATTTGAGGCCCTCGTCTTGACTTAAGATGTGACACACGCAACACAATTTAACTACTTTCTTGCCCTCTTAATGCGGTAGACCTTGGCAATGTCTGACGTTTCACCAAGGCGGCTTTAGTGTCATCTGCCACCAGAGCGTTCATTCACTGTTAGAAGTTATTTCCTCCTATAACCTTTAACCTTTGGGTAACGGCAGGATGGTAATCATAATTGTGCCGGTGTTGCGCAAGCCTTTCTGCCTACTTTGGAATCAGTTAATAGAAAATAAAAGAAGACCGTTAACAGTGGGTGCAGGAGACCGTACTCGGCAAAATGCCCGCCAGAAGGGTGCATGGATGAGTGACAAAGGGGCACAAACAAGTGCAAGTGCAGTGGCATTTGCCTCCTTCATATAACAAATGACAGTTTTCTGCAACACAAAGCCAAGGATTATAAAAAAAAACAGCACAGGTGCCCGTGTAAGTGACGTAAACGAAGCTTTAAAATCCATCCCACTCCTATAAGCCACGATGAGAACCGCAACTCTCGAAACCAGAACTCCAACTATGTTGGCTGTAGGAGAGTTAAGGATAGTCACGAAGCCTTCTGGCCTTTAGGCCTCTGTTAAGGCATTTTCTGTGTCATGGAGTGATCGAAGAGCCTTCTCGGATGTGAGGTAGAATGAAGTACTCAAGTTCTCAAATCAGGAGACCTATTTTATTTGAGATTTATAAATGACGTCTGCTGTCTTACTCCACCCTTCGTTAGGCAACATTTCAGCCTCCATAGGTGGATGCGCAGTGACGCCGTGTTCCCCTCTCCTGTCAAACGCATCAATTCTCATACTGATAGTGTCGCCCTCATCTTCCCATATTTGTCAAGTTTTGAAAGTTTTAATGTGTTTCGTAAGAAAAGAACGTTCCATTGACAACATCCTAAACATTAAAAGTAAATAATGTTAAATTCAGTCCAAGCATACAGCACTAGTGGTGTAAAGACAAAAAGAAAATTTGGTGGTAAGCAATAAGCTCAATCGTTAAATGAGGAACGAAAGGAGGATGAACGTTCGGATTCCTATTTTCCCCAAATATTTTATAGGACCCATTTATGCCAAAGGAATCTATGTGATACCCAAATAATGTAAGCAGCAATGTTTCTCCTTCTGCAAATCACATGACGTGGGGACTGGATGGAGGGGTTTAACATATCCTCTCCCGCCCTCTCTTCCTGTCTTCTTTTTCTGCAAAATTCCCAGACAATTTTAATAGCACTCCCAAAGGCCAGAATCGTTAATAGAATGCAGCAGCAGAGGAGGCGAGGGTCACAAACGCCATATCCAGGGTGCCTATTAATCACTTGGGCATTCCTCTGAGGGGCCATAGGAGAGAGGGTGAGAGGGAGAAAGCATTAATGTGCAAAAATTAATTACAACATCTGATTTACGCTTCCTTTCCATGCTGTTGTTTATACAAATGGGACAGTTTCAGGGTGCCAAATGGTGACACATTTACTCGCGTAATTGCGTCTTCTTGAGGAGGCGGAGAAGAGGAGCTTCCAATGCTGCCTTTTGTAAACGCCACTTGATTACGACTGCATCGGAGCTTAAAGTCTGGCGAGTTCACTGCTGCAGTGCCAAACAGGCGGTTAAACCAAATCGGAGTGCCCGAACCGACACGCAACAATAAATTGTGTAGTCAACTTTATGCCGTCTGGGCAATTTGCTTTAACAGCCCTTCCTTATGGAACTCTGCTAGGATCTCCATTCCACGCTTAAACAGACGTGACATTTTCGAAAAGTCGGCCTGAATCAAATCTGCCATAATGGTAGGAAATCACGAGTACACTCTGAATTCACTGTCACTTCTCACTGAAACAATGCCATTGAGTTCACCTATTGTCTAACAAATCCTTTCCGCCATTTATAGAAACCTTGGGCTATCTTAACTTAAAACAAATGGCTCTCTAGAGGACAAATTTTGTAATACTTTACGCAGCCAGCATAGCCACTGGTTGCCAGACGTCCATCTTCCCCTCCTCCAATACCCATGAAGGGGCGAAACTTTTGAAGTAGGTTGAAGAGGATGTAATCGACTGAGCGAAATGGACGATCACTGTGTGGGCTTCACTTACTTCCAGTTGGACTTAGAGACACGCCAAAAGAGGCTCGCGACGCCTCCGCTCCGCAACACCCCACAATGAAGAATGCAAAAGAAATAGTCTTTTAACTTGTTGGGTCACAGGATTGACTCTATGAAGCGAATCGCATCACAAAAGAGCAACAGTTAACGGTGATGCTTTCTAAGCGTCGCCTTTTTCGCATACTTTAATGTTGTAGTACGACTAGGTAAGGTTGTTCTGCAAAACCAAGTCCGTAAAATACCACCTCTTCGGATTTTTCTACCTGTTGCTGTATCAAGGGATGTGCATTTAGTAGAGAGGAAAAGGTAGCCATCAAACACTTGTTCCACAATGAGTCCTAGCAATAATTTGACATTCTCGCCCCTCTCGACAAGCCACTAAGTCTACTGGCCAACATGGCAGAGTGCGATCGCGAGAACGCTCTCAATGTCATCAAGTTAATTTTCATAACAACGTCTGTCTTAGACCAGCCTAAGAACTAATGATGCTCCTTTCCATTCAACTGGTGTTACAAAGGCACCTTCCAAGTTTGTCTTCAAAGCACCTTATCAATCTTTTCCAACTCGATCAACTGTCTTACATCAAATGAACTGCAACTGCTAGGGAGAGGTGAAAGTTTCACCCCTTTACAGCCCAATTTAAGTATCGTGACTCCTCTATAAAATCCAGTAACTTTCAGCCACATAACAGTGGTTGAACTATTTTGATAAAGAACGGACAAGAAGGAGAATATTTGAATGCTATATATAAAAGTTGGTTATTTTGGGGACGTAGTTATACCTTTGCATTATGGAACGAGTGAGTTGCAGCACGACTATTCGTCGACTAAGCGTTTGAGTGCTTGGCGAGGATGCACCAACTCCACTACTTCGATGCGCCTCCACTCACAGGCGTATACAATCAGGTTAGGAAAGTCTTCCTCATTTCATGCTGCATACTTCACGAAAAGTCAAAACATGCACGTAAGAAGACTTGACATCGCCATCATGGAGGTTTTCGAAAAAAAAACGTGCAATTCGTTTAAATTAATTCCCCGCCATTTGATGCAAGGTGAATTTTGTGGAATTTACACCCAAAAAGGTGTTGGCCAATGCTCTGCTTTTTAAGCACATAGTCTGTTGGGAATAATGGTTCAGGAGTGCCTCGCAAGATGCCTTCCCCATGGAGGGATCCACAGCTCCTTTGTTGATGTGAAAACAAATGATTGTTGTAGCTAAAAGTGACTGGAATCCGCTTTTACAGATTCGCCAGGATCGAGAGTTGGCTGCTAAAAGTTAGCGCCCAATGCGTATCAGACGTGAGGGTTGAGAGATGTCATACGGTGGAAGGCATGGACAGGGACTCACCGATTTCTGGCCAGACTTGGTGCCCTCTGAGTGGACGAAGAATTGATGCTGGAGTCCAGCGAGGAGGCGAATCTTGGTGCTCTCAAAGTCATCGCGTAGTCGCTGCGCCTCGCAAATCTGCTCCATCAACTGCTGTCGGCGGCTCTGTAGGGGAAACTGCACAAAAGGCAGACAAACAGTTTACCACTTTGCATTACTATCATACAATATGATTAAATATCGCCGTATTGTCTTTCAAATCCGAGCGGTAGAAAACATTTAATGTCGTTGCTTGGTGTGAAACTGCAACCCGGTCGTGACTTGCAGACAAGAGATATGTATGTTGATGCATTGTTTCTCTACTAAAGAGCTGAGTGATTTGAAAAAAAAAAATTTTTTTTGTTACGATGAAACAGGCTGTTGTTGCCGATGATACAAAGAGATTTGGCGCGACGCACACCATCTTGCACAAAAATACTTTGGTCTCCCTCTAGTTTAGTGGAATAGCGATTTGCAGGATGTTGAGAAATGGGTTCGTCGAAGCGTGCAATGCAAAGTGGTCAAATGCGAGAGTAGGAAGTAAGTTTAAAGTACTTCAAAGAGTTTGCAATGTCACCACTTTTTCCTGTAGGCAAGATGTTAACTTTACAAAGGCTGTTATCGAACTTCAGTATCCTTCGACTTCATTGTGCAGAAACGTACCCAAACGATGTTCTGCGGATCGGGACTGAGAAACTACAATCGGAGATACCCACATAATCCCTCTCTCTCATTGCATCCGGACGTACACACATCAATCCTTCGCCACCTGATATTTGTGGAGTGATTTGACAAGTGTGAGCACCTTATAAACCGAAGGATGCTTCTCTTCTTTGTTGGGAGATGGGCGGATTCCAACTGTCAACCAGTGGCTTTTGGTGTATCATGCCAAAAACGTCCAAAGCGACTTCGCCTCCACTCTGCCCAAACTCGAGTGCTTGCGCCCTCGTCGGATGACAAGGAAATTGAAAATTTGCCACTCAAAAGTAGTACATTTGCAGATTTGCAAGAATTACGGCCTAATCCAAATGACAGGGCAGCCTCACATATGCATCAAATCCTCGGACAGGAGCGTGTCAGCCTGTTGCGCTGCAAAATCTTAGCCTTGAGCGCTGACCTCCGAAACTCTCAAGCTCTCATACTACACTTTCTCCACTCTTGAAAATGCGGGTGTCGTGAGAGGCAGCAGCTATTTCTGTCGAAAGAGGATGTGATAGTAGAAGTGTTAACAAAATGTTGGAAGTCAACCAAACTGCCTTCACTGTAAAAATATACCACTTGTTACTTTTTTCCCTTTGATGACTCAGCCTTCAAACTCCTAACGGCTTCAATGCTATTCTAAAAGTGTTAGCAGTCGTAGTGAATGCAATGTAAAATTGATCGCTACGTTTTGTTGGTGTTCCATCGAACAAGATGGACAAGGCAAAGGAATTCGAGTAGTCTGATGGGTTCCACATTAACCATTACCGCGGCAAAATTAATCGCCTTGACTCTTTATGGATGAAGCAATCGAGGGGAACAGTTGGGAAGACAAACCAAAATTAACGGGTTCAAGCTAAAGGGTCAATCCGCCCATTGGTTTTGTAGCTGCACAAGACGTTGTATTACCATGCAAGAGAGACTTTTACTAAACAGTTGGGAGGAATGAGAACAAACGTCCATTGTAGAACCATAGATGCGAACACTTAATGGTCGTGCAGCCTTGAGGCAGCTGATGCAGTCGGGGCCTACGATTCGCCGTTAAATTGCACTACCTCGCAGTCTTCCCTTCCTTTCCATCGAAAAATCCTGTTACGTTTACAAAGGACGCCTCGAAGCGGTTCTCGTATAGACTTAAAGCGTGTTAAGAGGAGGGCAACGAAAAATTAAAGAGTAACAACTCCTTTAGCACGAGTTAGTAGGATACCACCAGAATAATAAAAAAACAGTAACATTCACTGCGTAGTTCCCTTCTTGAAGTAAGACACATCAAGTCCACAACTGGAAGTAGAAGATGCACATTTTATAAGCCAATAAAAACGTGGAAGTTGGCAGATAAAAGCAAGCCAGGAAAACTAAAAAACTAAGTGGGTTACAGTCGCGTTTCCATTGTTGACAAGAAGACGATTGTGAGAGCACACCGTGGTTCTATCAACAGCTTCCGTGGTATTTGAACTTAGAATATTTTGATTTTGTTATGATCAACGTGAGGAAACAGCACTGTAAATGTGGTAACCAACCTCAGTTGCAATTATTGAAATTACGCAAAGTGTTTTTCTTTCAAAATTTGATCAAAAGGCTCAGAGAACTCACAAGAGTGGCGTCAATTTCGCAGGGCTGCTGCTCGCCACCAAGTAGGTTGGTGGCATCAGCACCAGCCGCAATGCATTCGCCGATGCGGCGGTCGAGAGTGTAGAGACGACGGGAGAGTTGACAGAGCAATTCGAGTACAGCAGTCTGACTGAAGAGGAGGCGATCAAATCGAGGCAGCAAATTTGCAGTCACTTCGGGCGGTGAACTTGAGATCGACGAAGTCGAGGACAGCGGGGAGGACGGAAGCAGAGGGTGGGAAGATGTGACTTGACATAACTTCATCTCCACCACCTCCGCCTCTGGTGGCACAATAGGCGGAATGTTGAAGTAGCAGACGTCTCTTATGCTACCCATCTGAGGAAGCGCTTCTTCCGTAGCCATGCGAAGAACGCTACGAATCTTCAATGTAAGACGCATTGCAACTTAACACATGCTCATTACCGTAAGTTGACAGCAAGTCTTTTCTCCCATGCCGTTGTAGTTGTTAATTATGGACTGCCTGAGTGAAAAGTCAACCCATCATTATCAAATAGCAAATCTCACATAAAATAATCCTCTTCATTGACTCATGCATCAAATCTACTAGCGCCAGATTACTAGCACTTTAACAATGCGGTAAACGAAACTATTAATTTATTTAGCAAGCACATATTTTTGGCCTCACCACATTTGTTTTCTTGCCAAGTTCACTGAGATGTTGATTGGCCTGCTCGAGGAGGCAGCGTTTGTAGGCCAGACGGATGGAAATACTGCGAGCCAGACGGCGCAAGAGCGTCTCCGGAGGCAGATTTCTGGGTGCAGCTGCCACCACATTTCCAGGTGCTGACGATCCGTTCATCATCTTCAACGATCGCTCCATCATCAAAGTCTCCTCCATCTCACCTGATTGTTCTAATGTCATGCTGTTCCTCGACATTCTTCGTACACTAAATAAATTCCATCTGGTTTGTGAATGAGGCAATTTAAATCGCAGTGGTGCCTCAACACGCAAATGTCTTGGTCGAAATATGCTACATTAGTGATGATACCACTTTCCTTCTTTAATATCTAATTAACTTTCTCCAAATTTACTGATTTTGTATCTTCGAGTATCTGTTTTCAGGTTCAAACTGCTTTACTTCGTTTGCTCATTCAATGTAAGCAGATTTTTGAAAATGTTGGGCAATCCCTTTCTGCGTACCACTTACTCATATCTATTGGGAGATTCATTGACTTCCCGAACGCAACTATGTTCAGGTGTGGAGTCACTGGACATGAGGAGAGTCGCCTGACTAACAGCCAGTGGGTGCAGTGGCTCCTTTAAACGCAAAATTTTCCTCAGATAAGCCCTTACACCACAGGAAGAACGAAGTCGGGTCTTGTTTACGCCGCTCGTCATCAAGGCTTCAGTATCTGTCTCGCTCTCAGCATTTGCAAACCGTCGAACAATCTCCTGATACTCCGGATAATAGTTCAGCTTCCTAATAATCCGAAGGCACCGTGTGTCTAATTGCCTCTCACGGTCCTCTCTTACACGACACTCAAAGGCTTGAGGTTCCAGAAATGTCTGCTGCATCGGCGTTCTCGCCTCCACGTCAGTGAACATTAGTGGCTTCAACGGAGGAGGGGGCTCCATCTGAGTACTCTGCAAATGGGGATTTTTGGAAGGGGATTGCTTGACTAGCTTAGAACCCAGGACAGCAGTAAAAATGTCATTAAATGAGGTGTTGGTCTCCTCGGAAAAGAATGGGGCGACAGGGGAACCAGAGTATGAGGGACTTTTGGATCTACTTGGAGTCCCATTCCGACGGGAAGCCCTTGGTCGAGGAGAGATAAAGGTAAGGGACGGAGTTGTGCTTGTGGATGATTCGGATCTCCGGCATTCTCTGAAGCCTCGACGTACGCTTTCACGTCGTGCCATGTAGGAGTCTGGATGATAACTGAAACGTTAGAATACACGAAGTTTAACGTAAGGAAATATTGTGTGTGTAGGGTCCGACAGCAACTGTTTGTTAAGGGCTAAAAAAGTGGTGCACCAATCGCCAGCAGAAACATGTGTAGAGGTAACATTATGCCCCGTTCGATCTGCCCACCATTCTGATTGCTAAGGGTTTTCATGCAGGGGGAATGAAAAATGCTTCATCATGGTGATGCGCTACAATGTGTGGAGGATAAATGACGCCTGACCCTCAGTGTTTACTTGAAGAACATGCACTCCACCAAGTGAGGAAAAGAAGTCCTCTAATGATGTGATCTAAAGTGTTAGTTACAAACAGTGAAGCGAATATGCACCTTGGAGAAGAGTGAAAACGATGCCTAAAGTGTGGAGAGCCTTAAAACTAGACTCATGCTTAACGCATCTTCGTGTCCCGCATCAGTGTGTCAGATGGGTGTTTGAGTGAATTCACATATCCACCAGGGCATTCCGAGTATCAGACATCCTTTCACCTGTAAATCGTGATAAATAAAGCGGATGCATGTCAGTAAAACACGTCAGTGATTTCCTGAAGAGTAAGTTTATGTAAGTAGTGGGAATGTGAGAGCCGTCAACTTCATCCACCAGAGATGGTCTCATCATTTGTGACACAATTGTATGGTAATCACACTTGTTGATACGCATCGCCTCTCATCAGTATGCAAGGTGGTTATGAAAAAGGTAAAATTATTCACCCGAGATTCAGCAATCATGCGCATATATGCATGCGGATACTTGCATGTGACGGGATGAATGAGGATGAACTACGCAAGGGACGGAGTAAATACCACCTAATCGGATAAATGAGTGGCAATATTCTAAACAGACTCCAAATGACCTTCAGTTGCTGCCTCCCGGTAAGCGATATAAACTTAGGACGGGCCGAATCGCATGATGAAAAAAGCCTTCATTGGCGGTGTCGGCTAGTCCGGTGGACCATGATTCACGGAGACCAACAGTTGAAGTGTTAATGCAGTCGCAGTGAAACGATTAACTAGAGCATGCAAAGACATAAGTGATGACAATGACGCGAAGGTCTTGAAGTGTCTACCATGTGGGCACCATGCAATACCCTTCATCGGAGCTGCGAGCTTAGTAAAAGTTCATTCCAAAGGTGCTACTGCAAAGGCGAAGAGGAAGTTCCAAGACACCATAAAAGACTTTCCCTTCATGCAAGAAGCAGAAAACTTTGCTGCGGATACTATTTGCAATTTATTTTATTCAAGTAACCCTCCATTCGATAAGGTAGGTGGGAATTTGTGCAGTGTAGAGGCTGTACCGCAGCCGACATCCGTATAGAAATGGACAAGTGGCGATTGTGCGGCGCTGCTTGCCCGTTGGCAGAATGATTTCGCATTGAGATCCATGTGTGTATGCTTCCCAAATGCGTCTAGCATAAGCAAAGCATCACCACTGACAATGCTATCATGTAGACAGCCTGGTCGTCCCATCAAATGGGAGTCAAGGGGCTGGAATGTAATCGAAGACATTTTGGTTTATGCACTGATTAGGAAAGTGATGTACTGCACACTGATCGTTTTCTACAATAGCACCTGAGCTCACATTTAACCTATTTTAGTAGGAGATGGCCAATCATGCCTCGAAACTAAGGAATGAACTGTTCATGACATAAAGTATGTTACCTGAACAGTCATTTAGAAAATGATTAGTGGCGCTTTGACAAGAAAGTTAACCAGGGAGTTGAAAAATTGCAGTCAAAGAAAAAAAGGAAGTCACTTGCAATGGGAAGGGGAGACCTCGGGGGAGGGGAAGGGATAACGCATTCACGCCCACGTGAAGCGGGTGCTAGAGAAAAGAGTGGCGCACTCGTCAACTTACAAGGTAAGTGTGCCGTAATCCATTGTTTTCACTCCAGTCACAACTGATTAGTGGAACGAGAACCAGAGGGAGACAGGGAAGGGGGAGGGCTGGAGAATTTAGTTGTAGGAACACGTCTTCCGCCCTGTAGAAGGTATACATGCACGCACGTGCGACCGCTGGATGGCTGGATTGGCGACACGTTCGCTGACTGGTTTGCTCGCACGCACATACAGACGTTAAAGTGCCAGTGGTATTGGTCTGTTAAGCGTCCACCACCAACACTGTGCCAAAAATGGTACCTCTTTGGTGACGTTATAACGTGCACTGTGCTGAATGCAGCCACGACAGAAGCTCCGCGTTGTGCCGCCTTTGGTGCGTGTGTATTTGTGCACTGAAGTTGCATTGCAGTGCGCGCCATTTTCGAACAATGAATGATGCTGATTGGTGTAGAGAACAAACCAATCAATTTGTGGCAAGCGATTTTAGCAGCATCAACCATTTGAGAAAGGAACTTTCGGCTGCACCACAGTGATGCACTTCTTTCTGTGGCATTTAAGCTGATTGCTCTTATCATTATGACGCATGTCAGATCATTCACATGACAAAGTCCCAATTACGACTTAATTGCAGCGCAATTTCTCATAGAACTAAAAAGCATTAGTTTGAACGAGTTGCACCTCATTGTAGCTGTGACTCTAAACTTATACATATGACAAAGACCTCAGTGCTTAATAAGCAGAGGCAAGTCTTGCATCCTTAAAAGCTTGATGACCACATGAAGAAGGTTAGGACGTTTCTACAAGAAAATCAAAATGTCGAAGAACTATTCGTGTGATTGCATGATTTAACACGCAAATCTGCTTGAACTTAACATTCAATTGCTGCTACCGCAATACGCACAAATCGAAAATGCTGGATCAGTTAATTTCGATGCACTATTAATTGACGGTTAATTGTATGATTTGGCATAAATTGCTTTATTCTTTATGTCAAAAACCCATTCAGCGCAATCGTTTATTTTTGAGACAACCCTAATAAGAGAGAAGAGTTCCGACAAACATTCTCCAGCCATGCTCATCGACTTAGCGTTTATTAATTTCATTTGCACGCACAGGTGGGTGATTTGGTGCATTGAAAGTCGTTTTATGGGGGAGACATCCATTGATCTTGGTAATAAAAAAATGCACCATGTGATATGTGATATCTCATTTGCGCAATACGTCGTCGGCTGCCCTTTCAGTAACGCCCACTCCATCACAGGGTGGCAGGACGGTCACCGAGGTTGTTGTAAAACTACCCTGATCGTTTTGATACATTGTCTGCTGGGTGTCCAATGGCCTCGTGAGGTGCAAACTGTACAATATGTTCATCCGAAGGAGCGATTTGGAGGTCATTTCGCTTTTGGACTGTCATGAGGCATTGTGAAGTAGGAATTCGCTACACTCTGCAATGCACTTACAATGGCTTACATAATCTATAAATTATGCAAACTAAAGGCGTCTGTACAGCCTGTTTCAAGTAATTATTTATTAAATTAATAATTTAAACATTTTAGGAACAAACTTATGACGGCAAACTTGCAGTTTGTCGTTATATCTTGATAAATCAAGTATTACAAACACGCAAGTGCTAACTCAAAGTCTGCTCGCGTTGCAAAGGGCCCTAACAGCTAGAAGAAATTGATGCGCAAAAGGTGGAGCGTACCATAGTGCCTCTCCTCAAGCGTTTGAAAAAACTTCACGTCAAATGCGGCGTCGGTCACAAATCGAATGCCACCAGCTCACGTGTCAATCGATAGGCACGTTTTTGAGTCACCACCTTGACATCGATAATGAGAGAATTCAGTAAGTGTCGCAAAGGAACTGCCAAGTGCACCAAAGTGAGTTCATTTGGCATAAAAGTGGCAGCACTCTAAATTGCATTCCAGTAAACACCAACTGTCTTTATTGCACTTACAGCATAGGGTTGAAGAATCTCTACATCCCCTGGCCCATGTATCGATGGTTAAGGTAGGGATGCTTTGCAAACTTTTCCACATCTGCTGCCCTGAAAATTCGTGTTAACTTTTGGTCATTGCGACCTCTCAATCTGAGTGATAATCTAGTCTACTATTAATATGTAAGTAGGTTGTAATGTAATAATTTTCCTTTAGATCTTCTTACCACCGTCGGTAATTCGACTTCCACGCTTACCGACTTCCAATGGCCCACCACATGAGGACCCTGCAGATGACCTAACTTCAATACTCCAGTCTCCAACGTAAATGAACCATACGCGATGTCTATTCAATGTACAGTACGTCGATGTAAACACTAACCTAAGAAGTTTCTCTGCCTACCCTAGGAAAAATTTAGGCCTCCTCAAACGCCGTCAATGTATTTCAAACGCTTTTGCAAATACAATCATGAATTTGGCTCACAGTTGTGCGTAAGCAGCCCACACGAATGAGATTTGGGCTTTTGAAGGCCCTTGCCAACTGGTCTGCTACAAGGCTAAAGAGTTAATAGGCGCCTCCACGCATTTTGTTGCTCTATGCGGTAAGCCAGAAATGCAAACCTTAACTTCTGTCAGCTCAGCATTACTTTTAGTGGAGACGCCTTAATTAGCATACAGACTAACATTACATTTGCCTTTCAAACCTCGTAGCGGTTGTGAGAGTTCAAAAGCTGTTATGAGTTCCGATGTTTAACCAACGTGTTCCAATGCTGTTTCAGATCACAGGAGCTCTCTGTGCGATAGCTCTCTACTTTTCATCTATTGTTAGTTCATTATCGAACACAATCAGACTCGAATGTCTAGCCTAGCTCAGTTGCCTCGCGTACAGTTGCTCTGATACCTGATGTAACAGTGAATTCCAGAGCACAATAACAGCCTCAAGACCTAGGCCAAGTGTGGAATTTTAGATGAGTTTTGAATTTTGAGGTGTTGTGTTGTTTTGCTAACTAATTGACTCAACCAGTGACAAAATGGAAGGCTGTAAAAGAGAATGACATTCCATACGCTAATGTTGAGTCAGTAAAAGGAGACGAAAGCAAAGGATGGGACGATCACAATGTCAACATGACACTGGAACAGGCAGAACTCTGTATACAAATGCACACCGTGGGTGCGTCAGCATAGAACAAAGAACAATATGATGACAACGAAGATTGAGACAATGGTGGTGGTGATGGAGGTGGCCACTGTTATCATTAAACTTCAAGGTCGGAAGGACAGCTCGTATCCTCTGAAGTCGTGAATTCAGAGTAGCTTCCACTCCCCTGACCCACTGTTCCGATGTCCAATGTATCTAGCGGCAGCGTTTCCGGTCCCAGTTTCTCAGTATCGTCATCATCACCATCAATTTCAACGCAGCTATGATTGTTAGGACTAACATTCCCATTCACATGGCGAGCTTGTTGCCCCACCCACCCATCCTCTGTCTCACCGAGATAGGCACGGATTATCTGCGTGGGACCGCTATTGGCGCCACTGTTAGTGAGGCGACTGGGTTTGGGCTTTAGGTAATCCAAATTCACCACAGCCTCCAGAGCTGCCAATGCACTCTCCTCGTCCCTGTTTAGCATTAAGGCGTCCACTGAGTGGTGAATGGGTCTAGGCTTTCTGGGAGGACACTGAGGTGTCATGTTGGTTGGCGTGCGCTGTTGATCCGTCCTCCGTTGTCTTCGCCTATTAGAAATGCGTGCTATTAGTTGTAGTGTCGTATCCAAATCCGTTGCGCCGACTTTAACCGCGGACCTGATGTGCTTTCTAATTTGCGGATCTATAGGCGGTTTGACAACTTGAACAAGGTCAATCAAACTGGGAGCCCGTGACGCATGTAGCCCTATGTCCACATTGTTGACAAGCTCTTCCCTTTGCTTTATATAAAAGTAACGCTGAATTAAAAACGCTGCGATTTTTTCCAACCACTCAATCCACTCATCCATAAGCAGTGTTTACACAGGGCCCATGGTTACCCTAGCAACCGATGTAGAGTAGTTTAATAAAGGATTCGTCTTAGTTAGGTGCCTGTGAATGGCCAGCTGATGATAACACAAGTTTTAGGATGTTGGAGGGGAGTTAACACATTTCTTATCGAAAACTTGCTAAACAAATCAGTAACTCAGGCAAACTATTGGCAGACAATGCCAAGAGTTGTATAAAAATCCAGTTTTGGCCTTACTTCTCCAGCACGTGGGACAGTCCTCTCCACATCTGTAGCCTATTTCAGCTTTGGAAATTAGTAGAAATATGAAAGGAGAAGATCATTCAGTGAGTCAGAAGACAAGGAGCGATCCCATGGAAAGAATGGCACGCGGCTAGTTTATCAGTGAGAGACACTCCCTGATTTACGCTGAAAGAATGCTTATCGAGTACCCTAAGCTGAAAAGACGTGCCTCGTGCCCTCTGAATACGCCTGGGGTGTTGTCAAAAGCATTTGTGCTCGCAGTACCCCACAGTTCCCTCTCTAGGAGGCTTCGATTACAAGAACACAAGGCGTCTAGTGCAGTACTTACCTGTCTAACGGTTTGGGAAAGGGTCGAGAAGTGATCTTTTCCTTGCTCTCCTTCAACAAGACCACAGTTGGCAAATCACAGCACTAAAATGGTGGACAAAGAAGCCAGATGTGGGTGACAATCTCAACCGTCTTGTTTGGTATTGCCAAGAAAAGCACTCAGATTGTCATATCGGGCAAAATAAACCTTAGACGCTTGATCGTAAAAGGGTTTCCCACTATGAAAGACTTGGAGCCTATTGCAACTGAGAGTTTAGCTCCCAAGGTTCTCATAGTTTATTTAAGTAGAGTTACAAATCCTCCACAAAAATGCGAAATGGCGTGACGATCTCGATCCTCAAGACGGATGCAAATGATAGTGGTGCAAATGAGTGGAATGGATCTGCGTCTGTGGTGCATGATGGAATCGTGCCGTAGTGAAGCCACATTCAAAGCTTCTCCTCGAGCACAAAAGCGAGTGCAAAAATTCGACGTACCGACTTGCGCCTTTGCGAAATCGATGGAGGCTTCACCTCAGCATCTGTGCGTAGAGCTTCGGATGGTCTTGTCTTTTGTTCCATTAAAGCTATTTTAACAATAAAGCAGTCTTAGATAAGAAGGCTAAAATAGTCACAGTTCTTCCAACTGGTTGTCAGCACCCATCCACACAATACTTAACCCCTGCATTGGGTACCATCAATAAGAGGGACCATTTAGAATTTTAGTTTATAGCCTGACAGCTATCAAATTTTAATTAAGAGATTTATTACTAAAAGTGCACTTTACTGGAGGCCAAAAAGCGTGATGGGCAGGTAGACGAGACTTAAATGGCACCAGCGACTGCATCCCTAAACCCCTAAATTGCACCGTGCGCTATTTGCAAGGCAAATTTTTTTGCTGGAACCAGCAAAAAGGTTGCTCAGAATGACAAATTACCACAGGACTTACCCAGCATGTCAGCTGTATCCAAAAGTTCGTTGTAAACTGAAAAGAGGAGGGCGAAAGGTAAGTCACTAGTGGCTAGTGAGTGGTTCATGGCGGTTGTGTTACCAGCAAGAAGACTTACTCTCAGTGGCCTCCTCGTCCAGACTTCTTACTAAGTAATAAAGGAAAAAGGAGAGACTTCAGCTCTTGTCGAATTGGACAACCCTATTTCGGTTATGTGGTGGGCACTCTGCCACTGATAGCAGTTGTGGACATCACGCTCTTTCCCGTTTAGTGTATCAGTTGTAAAAGTAAAAATTAACAAGTGTTGCGTAACACTGACGAGAGTCACATAATATCGAAAGGGGATGGTGGAGCCACTGTGCCTTAAGGAGGTGCCAAGTTGTGTGATGTGGGAACTCACCATCAACACTGAACTTGCTGTAATCTAAAAGGGGGGCAATGCGAGTCATTTGGCCGTCCCTGCCACCCTCTTCTCCCCATTCAAAGCAGCTCTTTAATGATTGCAAATTTATGCAAAGCCTATTTGGGATCCACCTTCAAGTTAACAACACTTCTTTCAACTGGCACAGAAGGATTCCATAAAAGGCAAAACTTTTTAAACAGATTTCCTATTTTAAAAACAAAAGCACTTCAACTAGCAGTACAACTGCCGCTTACCTTGGAGGTCTGGTTCGGACTTCCACTTCGCTAAAAGGCAAAGAAGGTTGGAACCTGTTTGTGTCCACTTTCATTGCACTTATGCTTGCAATAAGCTTTTAACACAATTTTACCGTGTGTTTTGTTGCACTTCAACAGAAACGTGCATGGGGTCCTAATTAATCTTGTCACCTAGGCACACCAAGTTTGGCATTAAGTGCCCCCTCTCAAACTGATTGCCTAAAGGCGTGATGGCATAGAGCAATTTACTAACGGGAAATGAGGCATCTGTCAGCTTTAAAAAGTTAAAAATTAACTCGTGAACTCTCGATGACTATTTCGTTTTGGTTCAACAGAACACGCACTTCACCCCTCAACCGACCACGACGGGAGGAGAGGGGCAGAGGGTCGCCGTAGGCTTACATGGAGCCCGGTAGATGGGTGGAGATGGTCGGACGACATGAACAGGAGGATAGCTTTCATCATTTTCGTTCCAGCAGATGTTGATGGCATTGGTACTGGAGGAGAAGTAGGGAGAGTTGTTCTGACGGTGGTAGTTGTGGTTTGGATTGCAGTGATCACGGTAATAACCATAACTATTTCTATTAACTTGGCTATACTGATGTTGGCCGAGATGATGAGCTGGTCGGTACTGTCGCATCTGCTGCCTTCGGGGACCAGGGCTGGCATCGAAAAGGCGAGCTTTATCCGCAGTCACTTTCCGTTGGCACTCCAAACAACGTGGAGGTGATGAGTTATCGCTTAGCCGATGATACTGCGTACCTCCTAATAAAAAGGCACTGCTTACCTCAATTTTAATTTCACTTAGCATAAATGTTTATCAAACTATGTACAAAGCTCTCTTCATGCGTTGAAGAGGTTTCTTTGACGTGTTCTCACAGGACCTTCTCTCTCATACCTCATTAATCACCTCGCAAAAGTATTTGGCATTAAAAAGGGTTGTTCGGTAAACTATGCAGTGTTTGTCTTTTCAGTCCCTCTAGTCAACTTTGCTTCACTAAATGAGATGCGCATCTGCCACGTTGATGCCTGCCTTTTGAGGCATGTGACTTGGCACGCAATACTCGCCTCAAACTGTGAACGTCGGAGCACTTGATGGACAATGTCTCCGTGTGTGTGTGCGGGTGTGTATGCGATAGAGGTGGAAATCGTTACTGCTTTTGACATGCGCTAATGGCAAATGCTCCTTACAGTCAAAACGTCAAACACCTCATTAAAATGTCGATTCATGCACTTAGAAGCGATAAGGTTTACGCATTGACAACGTGCTTCTAGTCTTGTGTTTCGTTTATGCTTGGGGAAACTAAAAGGCCCAAACAACTCCGGAGGTGGAGAGCGGTTTTATCCAAACATGCAATCAGTAATATGAGATTGCGGTGTTTGTGTATCCTCTAGCGCACACCTTAGCTAGCACTGTTGGAAAACGTTGGCTTTCATGTCAAAACACGCGTTGAAGGTGGTGCAGGGCTGGGGTTTGGTTGTAAGGATTGAAACAAAGCGCTAAAACTTCTCACACCATCAAATCACCACATCATGCAGTCATCAAGAGGGAGCAGATGTCATTCACGATAAAATCGGCTTTACAAAACGCCTGACATTTGATTTGGGTTTAACTGAAAGTGCAGTGGAAATGCCTTAAAAGCGCAGTTTATTTCCACATCTAAATTAGTGTGAGAGTCTTCTGGTCTAAGGGAGATTGACAATGAGAATAAATTTTGTTGCCTTACAGCATCTGTAGGAAACCCTTGGACCTCTATTTGGATGCAAAGCAGATACCCATTTTTCCTTTTTTCAAGAAAACTAACCCGAACGCTGCTTGTGGGCGTTATAAGACTTCTTTCTGTAGTTGGCCGAGGCATCAAGTTTTGTGTCCTCAACCATAATGTCAAAGCTCAAGTTGGCGTCGTGCCTGGTATAGTAGCCGGTGGAGGCAGAGCTGCAGGGTACTGCGGTGTGTCGACAATAGCTCTCCCCATGCACTGCGCACGGAGTTCCATAGCCCGATGAGGTGGAGGCACTCTTGCTTCCCACACTGAGATTTCGCCAAGAACCGATGGGCGAGAAGGACTTCTCCTGTGGCTCCATTGGCAAGTAGGCTGGAATCCGCTGGATGGACTGCCGGTGATGTATCGGTACCGCCATCTTTGTTGGTGATGCAGACTTTAATGAAAAGCAAATTTATTTGGGTTAAAACACGTCAACTTCTGACATTCGAGGTGGGTGCTCACAAAAGCACTGCATTTTAATAAGTTTTTGGTGGATTATGAAAGGCGCCTTCTTAGGAAAACCAACAGAGGCGGTTGTGAGGATAAAACCAAACCCGAGGCAACCTGATTTGATGCCTTGAGATGCGGTGTAATTGATGCTGTGCCACATCATGGACGGGAATCCACACAAACCCTTTTTTGGCTAGTAATAAGAGCAAGTGAGCCTTGCTTTGCAGGCACCTCTCGCTACATCGCTTTTGGCGAAGAAAAAGCTCTTCAGTAATTGGTATGCCTTTACAAGGCATAAAAAATGTCACTCTGGAACTCCCTGCCCATTAATTGAATTAATGAATAAGGGTTCGTGAAAACTTATTGCATGCCGACTTGACAAGTGGAAATGCCCCTTTCACTCTCATTCACCTTCTCCCAAAAGGAGTCGAGGAAGCAGGAGGAGGAAAGGAAAGTAAATTTGCATGAGTAAAGCACAAAGGACTGCAAATTTACATCCCCATGTCCTATCACTTTCGGTTATTTACTCACAAAATAGTACAATTCGCATATCTTCTTCCATTAACCTATAACATGGGAAATATTCGGACAAACTGAGAAGTGCCTATTTTAGTGAGAAAACAAGCGATGTGCACTGAAAAGGTAGACAAAATGAGGTCACCTTTGGGATACTTCCATCACACTTGAAAATTTTCCTTCTTTACTCTCTCCACTTACGATGTCTAGACAATGCTATCGTAACTGCAACTGAAGAGCCACTCGAGGAAGGCGTTTTGTTGGAGGAAGACATGAACATGTCTTCTTTCTCTCTGTCCGCCTTAAGTGAGTAACTAGAAGGCGTTTTCTAACCCCTCGGAGGAAGGCTCACTAAGAAGCCAAGGTTAGTGTTGATCGAGCATTCGCTTGCAAATAGCTTTTCAGCATATCGGTCTAGGAAACCGAACATAATCGGTGGTTCAACTTAAACCACCTTTTATTAGGAAGGAGGAGGGGCCTTTTTGAAGTTGGAGACCCCTTTTGACGATGCTGCGGTTGGGATAATCCTATTTTTTAAATTATAAGGATATACGGAAATCAACGAGGAGGCAGCCTAGTTAAAGTGCCGAAACGCATCCTTTAGATGGAGAGAATACGTTATTTTCTATACGCACAAAGTTTAGGGCTGGAAACTAAGGGTGACCAGAGTTGGTCAAGTCATTGAGGCCGAGAGAGGCCTCAATGAAGGAATGAAGCTGGCGTCTGGTTTTCCATTTAATCGCTCATTTCATCTGATAAAAGCAAATGGCCATTCACTTTGGATGCGTCTAGTTTAACAGTAAAACGGAGTGGCGAAGGACTCCACTGGGGAGGTTTGTGTCTGGAATACGGGATGGCGTACTGTAGAGTGCTTCTGTCTCGTCCGTTATCCTCTTCCTCCCTGCCTCGATACAAATTTAGGTCTTTATTAAAGTAAAATGGATTGTCAAATTACTTGTGAAATTTTTAGTGAAAATTCTCAAATTCATGCTCTGCCCATGTGTGAAAAAGGATTTACAATTTGTGAAAATCCTGGTTTCCATGATTTATCTGTGGGTGGGTATTTGCAGGTCTTATGTGAAGCCGCCGATGCACACATAAAGTGTTTTGTTTAATCAACATTTTGGAGGAAACAAACTACAGAAGTGACCATTCTGCATAGAGTCACTGCAGCCCCTCGCACGAGCTAGCGTGGACACGTAAAAGAGTCCCAACATTCGCACAGCCTCGTCCACCCCTCCAATCGCTACTTCAAGTGAGTCCGCTAGAGACAACGTTGGAGCGCTTAGAGGAATGGGAAAAATCATCCACGCAAGGAAAACTAAGATTACCTAGCAAACGGTAAAAGGATAAGAAACAATACGATAATCAGTGTTAAGAAATGTCCTGTCGGGTTCTGCCTTGAAAACAAACCTATTATAATTTCGAGGCGACTTCTTAGGAAGGGTACAGTGTCCAGGAGGCGATAGACATGGCAAGAGTTAAGCGCACATTTATTCTCTATAGAAATGAGTTCCTGCATTTAGAAATCCCACGAGTAATTTCACCCTTTTTTGGGCTAACACATGCACAGCAGTCGTTAGTCATTTGTACACGGAAATGAAATGTGACAAGTAATTTAAAAATTTATTAAACATATTTCGGCCTAACTCGTTCATTTCCCAATCGTTCACCCAAACGATGGAACGTGGGAGCCTGTCCTTAAACTCATACGCGTCCACGAAGCTTAGGACTAATTGGTGGTACAAATAAACCCCATTGTAGGTATCTTTAACGTAAACAAGTTTCTCTTCCACGGCTGACTGCTATCAGTCCGGGTGTGTGTAGGTTAAGTGAAAGAAATGCAACAAAATAAGGGAAAAAATGAGGCAACACTTACGGTTGTTTGTGTTTCTGACAGATCAGCTACACCAGTGCAATGCGGGTGGTGCAAATACGCCACTTGATTTGGAATTCCGCTTTCTCAGAGGTTTTTTTAGAAAACGCGTACCTGCCTGAGCTGCCTCTGGTGTGTGTGCGTGCTGCATGTGCTTGCGGTGAAATGAACCAATCGCAGTCGCTTGACCTTGGCACCCTTGTGAGGGCATGTTTGATGGAGGCTCAGTGCTGATCCAATCCATGGGATGTCCGTTTTCTATTTCTCTCTCTCCCACACCGTAAAACGGTGTAAAACAATAAAAAGAACTTATTTCAGTGGTCCAAAAAATCTTCACACTATCAGTGATTTTAGGAGTAAAGAGGCTTTAAAATGAAGTACTGTCAAAGGCTTCCTATTTTTTCCAGTCCTCAAAAAATCTCTTTAGTCGGATTTTAATGCCTAACCAGCCAGTATTGCATGTTTCGCCTTTTTGGTGATACTGTTCTCACCTTCACAATGACACCTGCCAATGGAAACGATCCAAGTTCGTCTTCTTATTAGGCAAGGAGTGCGCTCATGTAAACCACTTTTTTTCTAATCTCAAAGAGGTCATTCATCCAACAGAAGTCAAGTTTGATACAGTTAATCTTGACTCTCCATAAAGCAATTTCTGTATTTAATCCTGCTATTGTTACTCTCGCTTTGCATTTTTGTGTTCGCTTGATGAAAGATTGTCTTATAGCAAGGTTTCTTGAGTAGGTTTACTGATGTTCATTTGGGTAGAATATCTGCTCCGAGTCATTCAGAGCCGTAGTAGGCACCGAGACCATTGACCACTTTGACCCCGACGTAGAGTCTTTCAAATGTAAAAGGAGATTGGTGGACAAATTCTGTCATTTTGCAGATGTTTGAGTAAATGTGTGCGTCAAGTGACGCTGGATGCACCTACGCCCCATTCCAGCTCCCATGAGTCCTGTCAACTTCAATCAGGTGACTCTGCCATTCGCCACACCGTGGTAGAGTCGCGAGTAGGTGTGACACATTTATTGACAACTGAGGTTAGCCTTACCTCATTTATTAGACTTAACACAGCTAATTTTCCGATCACTTCCTCTAGACATTGTGTTCGGCACATCGTGAGGTTCGCCATGGAGAAAAACTACCAATTCGAGGTAAGCGATTTCAAAAAGCGGTCTTGTGCGTCGGAGTTATTGTTAAGATGTGGGGACCAATTCAAACTGCATCAGAAGGTGGCATTCAGCTGCTTTTAATCTGCCATAAACTGGTAAGTAACTTACGATTAGGCGCTTCTGTTCTGCACGTGGTCTGTATGCCAAGGAGGCAGACAACTAGGCAATTGGGGGGTGAGTCAACGCAGAGGTGTGGTGTGAGTGGGTAAGCTTTGATGTCGGCTGGTGACGCCTCTTGGAGGGTGAGTCAGGGTCTGGGTCGGCTTGGTCAGACGCGGCTATATTAACAATGCACTAAACATGACCTCAGGTGGTCTACATATAGATTGGAAGCCTAGTAGAGAATGGAGTGAGGATGGGATTTCCGAAGAATACAAGCATTATAGACAAGAAGGAGGCCTTTTGTAAACTAGAAAAGAACGGTATTCCGGAGCTCTAAGTAGCACCAGGGCACTTTTCTCTGTAGTATCGCTGTAATGTTTAAAACCGTAGTACAGTCTTGTTATGCCCCTATAAATAGAGGTGACTCCACAGCTATGTGAGGCCTGGAAAGTGCTCTAGTAGCCGAAACATGACATGGAGCGCCGAGCTACGAGCTTGGCCCTGCGCGAAAATAAACGAGTAAAGTGACAAAAGACAAGCGTGTTTCGCTGTGGCACCTCATGCAAACTGAAGCCCTGCTAACCAATTAAGGGCTCGTCGACACAATCTCGGGTACGCATCATGTGACGGTTGTCTCATCTCCATTTTGCTTGCATTCATTTCATTTCCGTTTTTTTCTTAAAGGCTGAGGCAGACTAAGCGCGACAGCTGCGGCACCTAAAGCTTTATAAACGCAAACGTTCTACTGATGACCGCAGCCGGTGCATGAAACGGGCAAGATACTTCGGGCTAATTTTGCGCTCTAACTGTTGAATTAGCTGGATGGGCTGATTTTTTGAAAAAGGTAGCAAAATATGCACAAAATGAAAATGCGTTGGAGGTTCCTGCTGTACTGCTCACCTTCAAGTTCTCCAGACCTCGATTATAAGCAGGCCCATAAAACATCTCCCGCCTGTCAGTTAACATCACCTGTTTTGATACATGCAGTTTACTGACGGTGAGAGGAAAGTATAACAAACCCATATGGTGTCTTTTGCATAGTCGATTTGAGATAAAGTTTTTTGCCATTTGATTTACAGCACAAGTTGGGCGCCTTTGTGGGGAAGTAAGGAATTGCCATATTAAAACTTGTCAATCATAGAATAATCTGTTTTAGTTCCGGTGCATTTCAGGAAGTTCGTCAAACGTTGATCTTGTTAACGGTACCCGTGTTGCACACCCCCAGCGCGGTACTGGTGGCATTGTTGATGTGCATTTTGTTCGAAGCCTAAGCAAAGTCAAACATCACATTGTCGCGATTAGCAACGAGTAGAACTAGTGACAGTGCTGTCAAATTGATGCTGGCCCCACAGTCGCACTGCCATTCACACAAAGGCCCGACGACCGCGTTTCGCTGTGCGAAGAGCTCTCATGCCTCATAACGCACCAACGCTCGTGGCTCGAGGCCTCTTTCAAGGCAGACAGCTCAGTAGTGCAACACATCTTGCATCGCCAAGACGCCCCTCTCATTTCTTCCATTCAAGCGGCTCGCTTATTTATGGAGAGAGGAGGTCGACAAGATTATTTAACAAATTCCACCAATAATCGCCTTTTCCTATACCAAACTTGCCTTGTTAGTATCAATGTAATGTAGGCATAAGTATGCACCGAAAGTTAATTGAAAGAGAGCAGAGACACCTCCACCTTCGACGAACCTACTACATTCAGCTGTGCAAACAAGCAGATACAGTTGCTTAACTCGAAAGCTACGCTACTTAACACCCACACATTCCAAACTAGGCCTTTAACTTTCGCAGGTGGCTCATGACAAACAATTTCACAACATTGTGCAGCCATTAGGTAGACCAAGCTTAAACCACTAAAGTGGATGTTTGGCGAGCTTGCTGCTGAGTGATAGCCGTATTTATCAAGAACGACTTCCAAAGACTTGAGAGAACAATGGTAGACGAAACTTACCAAAACCACGAACTACGAGGTTCTATAAGGCATTGAGGATTGTTCTGCCCCTCAAGAAGTAGCGCGCTTCGAAGAAACTCAAGAACAAAACAGACCTCTCGAAGACCCAGCAGGGAGGCTAAAGTGGTAGCATTTTGGAACGATAACGATAACAACCCACTCGTCTTCTGATCCATCAGAGAACAAATAAACAGAACTTAGTTGTTCTTCATTGTGTCGTGAAAATACGTACCCTACCACTTAGCTCATCTTAAGTGCTTCATACTGACGCACTACACCCCCCCTCCCACCTGACAAGTCAGATTAGTAATTTCACTTGAAACGGTTTGTGGAGGCTCCGCTATTGCAGATGTTTACTCACAATTGAGCATGTTTAATTCACAAGCGACATTAGCAGAAACTCGAGACCTTACTCGACCAGACGGGACCACGTATTGATTTGGGGTGCCACATAAACAATGCAACATATCTGATTTTTTACTTATTTCTTATTAGTAGACAAATTGCCGTGAGCATAATCGAAGCTACACAAGGCTCACAGGACCTTTGTGATTCACCTCCAGGCGAACCCATACTTATCAAAGGACTTAAGTGGTATCGCATTCAAACCAGCGACACAAACCACTTTGACTAGATCAATACTGCTATAGCGACAGGAGATATTTGTTAAGAGCGTCAAAGTTATAGATCTGCAGATCCCTTAATTTGCAGATACGCTGCGCTTTCCTATCACACGTCACAACTTTGGGGAAGTGTACCCATACATGGCAGTAGTTACTAAAAATTTAATTGTTTCGTATCATCGAGATTAGGAGTGAAAGAGAAAAAGAGATAATAAAAGAATAAGTTCGCGCAAGCGAGGAGATAAATAGATAGATAATGGACATAGAAGATTCGCTTTAGGAGGAAGGAGACGATGTTGGCAAAGAGAATGCGTGCCAAAACCTTGTCTCATCAGATACGCTCAAGACCGCTGGATCTAGAACAACTGGAGTCACTGACATCAGAACCGTTGTCATCCTTTTGGTACCTTTCTTCCAGGTATCGCACACGGTGCTCTAACCGTTTCACCTGGTCAGACAGTTTGTCCACCATGCGACCCATCTCGGCCATCATCTCCATACACTTCGGAGGAACATGATCGTGGTCAGAGGAGACGGGAGGACCGTTGAAACTTTCTGAGACCGCTGAAGACGCATGATATGGTACCCTTGTTTGCTCCGAAGGAGTTGCCATAGACTATAGGGAAAGTATGCGTTCCAAAGGTGAGGTTTTTAGTGCTTTCAGAATGGTAAAATCATTTGTTTCAACCCTTCTAATATCTATTACTGGTACGACAGGGATATCAGAGCCCTTTGTTTACCTGCAGCGTTGAGGCATGAGAATTTTGGCCAACTACATCACGAATTGTTGAAACTTTATAATGAAAATTTGCGCAGCGGAGAACACGGGTGGTAACGCGAAACGCAAGCAATAAGAATAAGAGGTCCGCATAGAACTAGAGTTGGCAGCCACAAATTAGTATTTTGATGCAAAGAACGGCAAGTCCGTAGAGTGCACACATTTTATTTCACCTAATCCGCGTACGTTTCTCACTTTGGCAGTAGAGGAATTCGTTGGTTCGTTAACATGGTGTCAGTTGATCAGATTTCCTAGTTGAAGCACTATTGTGAGGCATTGGTGTGGTCCATCGCCAATCAGCGTTACAAAGATGAAGGGTGACCCCACAAAGCATGTGGCTGGTTACCCCAGTGGCACTTCACCTACCGTGGCGGAGAGCAGCAGCAGCATCTACACCTCCACAGTGAAAAGTTGGTCGACGTTACCCAAAACATGGGCAGAATAGAGGATTTGCTTGAGCCACGTTATTCGCCAGAGAAAAGTATCACAAACACAAAGCAGAACTGAATCGTTTTAAATCAAAAGTAGGTAATGTATGAAGGCTTTGTTAACCCGCCCACGAAATTATGCAAAAGAAGATCACCTGACTCAACGCAAGACAAATGCGTGAAAAGGCATTCTTGATTTTGCCTTGTCATAAACATCAACCGCTCTAAAATGTGAGAATGGGGGCATACATAGATTGCACGGATGGTAGATAGCTTGAATGCAAATTTGGAGCTGAAATGTGCTAAAAATCTCATTCGGATGACTGCAGAGGCTTACAGTTCACATCACCCGCACGTCATTACAGAATTGGCTACCAATTAGCTCATTCAATTTCGACGGAAAGGGATAAAAAGAAAAGTGAGACTTACGAGAACCTATATTGCAGCTAAAAACAGGAGAGAAATCTAACACAACTGAGTTAGTGCCTCTATGCGCTAACCATCGTAAAGCATGCACAGCTGTGTCCCTTCAACAGAGCCTATCAAGCGTGAGCATGCATTCTCGTGGGACTGATCTGGTAACCTCACACAGATACATAACACAGAGAGAGGACTCCAAAATTGTCTAATTTAATGGCGGTAATAATGTTTTTTTCTAACTTACCACAGATCGGGAAGGGAGTTGTGGCTGCAGTGAGGAGCCCGATTTCGGAATATTGCCAGCCTCCTTGACGGAAACCTTCAGAAAAAGGACCGTGAGCTTGAAGAAAAAACCTTGAAATGGAAGTTTCCTGTTCTCACTCAACATTAAATGTGAAAGTCTAAGGAAGCACACTTTCAGTTGGCTTAAAAGTCTAAAGTTTCCCAAGAACTTCTATGGGGCACAAATGTGCTACAGACTGCCTCCATGCTGAAGTTAAGGTGACTTGACAGATGTGAATAGCTTCGCACTTGTGTCTCACAAGACCCGTCAATCACCACTTAATGACAGCCGGCCAATGAGAAGTGGGAGAGGGAGTGACGCACGCTATCGCTGAGATTACAATTCACTCACCTACCTGCCCTCTACTTCAGGGTATGCAGCATGCAAGTGTGCGCTTAAGGGTGCTGAGTGCCACCATTGCCGTGTCCTGCCTTTAATGTTAAGACGAATCGAACTTCAAGGAGCGTAAGGTACGGTTGTTTCCTTCGCAATCATCCCTCACATCTGTACAAGCTCAAACTTTTAACACAAGGATGGACCCAGAAACATTTGTTAGTTCAAGTTAGCCATGCTGGAGCAACAGGATGTACCACCGTTGAAATTCCAAGCATCCGTCAACTATTTTCTTCCTTACTTTACTGTGACAGTCAGGAACACACAAGTTCACTACAATGGCTGAGGGTTCACTGCTTTGACAATCCAAATATCGTGCTATTGAGCAACTAGAGGTCTCGGCACTGTACTGTACCCTTAGGCATGCGCATTCATAGGTTCCATACCAGTGGAAAAGGGTGTCCATTGTTTTCTGATCTGCACATGCACTCGTTAGGACTGCTATCGCCTACGCGGCTGAGGGGTTATAAAGCGACTTGACTCACTAAAATTGCGTCGAGTGAAAGCAAATGCTTATCATCATTGCAATGGTTCCTCTTTAACCTGATCAACTTCAGAATTCTCATTTGGTTTGGGCAAACCTCATACAGGTTTCTAACTGCGCCCCCTATTGGTAAACTGGAGATACCTACTTTGATGGGATCGGCGTCCTGGCCTCGGAACCAGGCATCACAAGAGAGAGCGGCGATTGGAGCAACAGTGTCGGGGTACAGGTCTTCTTGGAAGAGACCCGACTTACGGGGCACCGTGAAGGAGATTACCTCGCACCAATTCTTATTATGTAGCTTGTACATGCGAGCGATTTCGCAAGTCGCCACGTTGAGTCCTAGTTTAGGCATGAAGGCAAAACCGCGCTGAGGATCGGTGCTGTCGTAGCGGCTAAGGTAGTAAACCTGTTTGTCTTGCGGCGAGTATTCGAAGTACCGCACAGAACTGTCACCCTATGATTAAAAAAATATATGAGCACTGTAGTCAGGTCTGTGTTTATCTTTGACTAAACTTTCAAATACGCTGTTTACTTCAACTATGAAGGGTCGAATTTGCATATTAAAGTGAAGACTCTGGATATCTACACCAAGATCAGCACTAGACTAGCGGAATGAGTCCACGAAAGTTGCAACTACATACTTACGCAATACATCTCTTTGTAGTGCTCCTTATAATTCATTAAAACATAGTGACTGCTGGGTCAGATGCTCAATCAAATGAAATAATATTGTAGAAACAGGCTCAGCAAATACAAGATGCCAGTAAATGGTGTACTTATAAGGCTTAAAAATCTAGGAATTAAACGTATCAGCGAGGTAAGGAAGTGTAAACAAGATTTCCTGTTTTTCTTTCATTTTACTTCGAAATGCCGATACTCCGACGAACGGAGTTGGAGCGCTAGGTCGCGTAAGACAAGCATTGGGGTATTAAAGGGCAATTTTCTCCTCAATAAATGATATTAACAAGGGAATTTTACCTGTGAACGACTGTTCCTTGATTACCAATTAGCATACCATTTGATTAACTTCGTGGTGTACTATTCAAGCAGAGTATTAACATCGGCGTGGATATTAACGCCCCAAAACAGTAAGACTAACGCTTGACTGTCTGACTTTTCGATGCATTAAGACCCTTACCAATTAATTGGAGGACCAGAGACAATGAAAGGCTACTGTGCTTTTCGGGTTACCGTGGATCCCAAAATTACAGCCAAAAATAATGGTGTAGAGCAAGCGTAGTGCATGGTGTGAATCAGAAAGGAGCTTTCATAAATAGCAACATGCGTACTACTGGCATGAAGAAGTGTTTAGACAAAATCGAAGTATGTGATTACGCTGGCGTGGCGTGAATATGCACACATAATGCCAAAACTCCGGTATTTTTTTTGTCGCAAATACAAGCATGGGGAGGTGAGGATGAGGAGGCTCCAAATCTATACGGTACACGTGGAGAACACATGCGCACTCCTGATAGAAAGGAACATCCACCAAGTCCCACGGCATGGCACACCAAAATCAATCGTTGTCTGTTGAAACAGCCGCAAAGCACATACCTCAATCTGTATGCATGTATACAGTCTGTGAGTACGTTTCAGAACAAAAAAAGAAACACGACCTTGCCCTCTCCGCTAAACAGCAGCGCCACACTGAAACCACCTACAGAGAAAACTGTTGCACTTGTCTTTAGCTTACCCTGGCACAGTGCGAAGTGAGAATACAGACTCGTATTTTAATCGCTAGAACTACCGGAGGCATAAACAAATTTTTATTCTCACCTAGACACCAAGCTTTGGAACTCTGTAAAATAACTATCAACCTAATAGTTACATTCTCTCAAGACCCTTTTATTAAGTGATTCCGAGGATGAAGTGGCCTAATGAGTAGGCCGTACCCCCGAAATTCAAAACTCAGCACTTGGCTTGTCGATTCAGTGTTGACGACATGGAGCTGTTTCACAAATGCTCCATGTGGAAATCGGGGCGCCGGTAAGGGACGATAAGTCAGCCAATCACCTCAATATCGTAGAGAATTACCTTCCTGGCTATTGCACGCATTCACTTATGAAAATGAAACAACGACAGTTATCTTACCTTACCACAAACAAATATAAGTTGCGTGTCAATGTCGTAGAAGGGAAAGAGGATGCCGTTGGTGATATCAAGTTCCTCGCGCCAGAGACATTTACTCAGGTCGCTCGAGTCCCAAAGAGCCAATTGACGCTCACTCATCCTCGAAAAGCCTGTAGTGAAGAGACGGTCACCTTCTACGAAGACGCACATCTGCGGCTTCTTACCCTCGTGACAATTGCCCGTCTAAGTTGGAAAAAGACAAGTATGAAAGCCATGGATGTACGTTCAAATGGAACAATTTCTACTTCCCACTAGAATTTGTGAAACCCTCTAGTGCGCTGCTGCTTTGTCCATAGTAGCACTACTATAGGAATGATGAAGTTTCACTCCTGATGCAAAGGATAAAAGGACGACCGGACAAACGTAGAGCAGGAGGGATAATTGACTGATCAGGCAGACCGAAGAAGTTCGACTAACCGTTTACTCACTGTCTGCGTATGTTGCTTAAGTAGGCGGCGGCAGACTGCACGTGGTCGTAGAGGTGGGATGATGCGACACAATACTCCGATAAAAGCATTACTTTTGAGGATAAAACAGGACCTCATAAGCAAAAGGTTTTCGATGTAATGACATTTTGATGGAAAACGAACATCATTCAAAAGCATAATGAAACTTCAAACGTTCTGCACAGGGCAAAATTACCGAAAAAGGATAGTGATGTAATCATCATCACCCAATGGGTTCCCAGGAAAAAAAGATCTACCGTCCGTAGAATGTGCAAAAGGGCAAAATTTGAGCTTACTTCGGTAAATCTTCCAGTTCTCGGATCCATTATGCGTGTTATACCATCCTTGCAGCATACAGCCAACTTTGAGCCGTTGTAGTTGAAGCTAAGGCAAGTGACAAGATTGGGAAATTCGACGGATATAAGTTGAGATTGGCTTCCCGAATCCCATAAAATTGTCGTGTTATCGGCACCTTGAGTCGCAAAATGTAACATTTAACAAATAATCAAAGTGGAGTGGTGAAGTGTGTGCCAGCACACGAGAAAGTTAAACATAACAAGCGAAAAACCTCAGCATTTGGAGATATTTGTGAACAAAACGTAACGACACACGAATGCAGGTTTCAGTATTTGACTGCCAGGGTGTTAAGATAATGCAAACCATAAGATACAAACCTACTTGAAGAAGCAATCACACCCCGTGCTGTAGGGTGCCAAACAACGAGGTAAACGCGCCGTTGGTGACCAAGTAGGGTGGCGATCGACTCTGTTAAGGGTTCATTCCCTATACCTCCCTCGGGTATCTCCCAAATTTTTACAGTACAGTCATCAGAGGCACTTGCAATTACGTCATTGTTATGAGGACACCATTGTATATCAAGCACAGCGGATGTATGACCAGCAACCATGGGCAAGACGCTAGGCATGCGACCAACCTACAATTCAAAAGCATCAATTTAATTACTAAAATGTCGTAAGTACCGGTTGAAAGCCGAGGTTTGTATTAAAGCATGTTAATAAACGAAAAATCTATTGGACCAACCAATAACTATTCAACTAGATTATTATGTGAGAAGTGTATGTAATCAGAGCAAACCTGTTTTATTGGAATCACTGCAAATCCCCCACCTCCGCTGGATTCAGTAATAATTGCAAGATACTTGGGATTGACTGAGCAAAATGACGTGTCATGTGTGCTTCTCGTAATTGGAATGCATTCATAACACTCATCCCGTTTCAGAGGTTTTCCAAAAACATGCTTGAACTTACTCTGTCTAATTGCAGACATATCGCACTCCACTTGATAAAGGAAGAAACTGGACCTTTATACACAAACCCATTTAATTTCGCGCCGATGTATTTAAACAAAGAACTGACTAATCGAATATTCAAACACACTTGCCAAATTTATTTGATTGCAATCAATTGCACCGTCAATTAATAAACTTTACTACGATCTGCTGCCGGAGATTCTAAATGCACTGAACTTGCTTCTGTAATAATCTTCTAGAACATTTTCCGCAAAGCTATATTAGAATACACAAGTGAACAAAGTTAATTACCTCGCTGCATTGCTGTGACAACCTTTGTTTTACTTTTTGGACTCTGATTACAGCAATAGGTGAAAGAACGTTACCAAACGCTGGTTTACGGTGCCTGTTCTAAGATTCGTGCTGGCGCAACCACTGATCCCTCCCCGACTGGTTGAACGGCTTAGCCAAGCACTTCTGCCCGCCTCTTCGCGTCCCTAGTGTCTTGTGACGCAGGAGTCACACACGACACTGGATCCGCACCTTCACCAGATTAAAAAATAAACTCACCCCTGTAGTAAACAAAAAAAAGGGCGAAGGAAAGAGGTGCGCATATAATTCCGCATCGGTTGAAAGCTTAGAGATGCGCCATGAGGGTCGCGCACCGGTTAGGCATGCGAGTAGTGTAGACAAGAAGAGGTTCAAGAGGAAATGTGCACTCCATTCAGACCTCTTTTAGCAAAGAAGGGAATGGTGCAAAAAGGCGTACACGGAGTCTGATCGAAAGAGCGAAAAGGTAGAAAATAAAGTGCACGGGCGAGTATAACTGCCTCAGTGGGACCACCAGTGGCACGCACAAATAAGGGGGTTCATGGCTCTGGAAGCTCGAAGCATCGTTGTTTCCGGGTTTTACAAGGAGGCAGTGTTGAGAAGGAAGACATTGCGTGTAGAGATGTGCATCTTATTGCTTCTCTGTTTGGTCTCCATGAAGTATTCTTTGATAACCCTCTGTCGAAATTGCATCGAATTCGGAACCTTCGAGATTTTGTAGATAAAGCAGACGCGCCATACCTAATTCGAGAACCGTATTTCGGATTAGCTTTAATCGTACTTGTTGCAACCAAAGCGATTGCTTTAACTGTTTAGCAGCCGATGTTAGTTAATTTTTTGCCAAAGCCAGTCAACGGAATTTCTTTTACTAAAAGGGGGGCCTACCCGATGGCTGCTGTTTCTTTTTGGATTTGAAGAGATTGATCAACTTCGTTCCTGCGGTGTCCGATCTCTTAGGAGGTAGCTGGGCCGAATATGTTCCCAGACTCTCTAAACATCGAAGTACAACGCTTGATTATATTCTGCTGCCCAGTGCCTTGGACTGAGGGGTATAGTGGAAGCGAATTTCTTATAACGGTAGCCAAAGCTACGACACGAATTTTAGTGCAATACGAAGATAAGACAAGTGGTTGAAATAAAATGGCAGCTAGAAGCTACACAAAGTTAGACAAAAATTACTGGTAGTAACTTACACCACTCTTTCCCCTTCCTAATTTACCTGCTACATTTGCTGCAGGCGCAGCATACCTAACCACAGTATCAGTGAGTGGCTCATGTTCAGAGATCCCAGTAGTGGCCATAGGAGTAGCAGCGCCCTCAAAGAGACAGTCCACTGGACCCACAACTGCACTACCTCCAGCTCCTGTCCCCACGACTCTGCGATCAAGAGCCGCAGAGGCAGAGGTTGAGCGCCCCGTGGCAGCAGCCACTGCTACCGCCGAGGCAACTGCAGCAGCGGTGGAGGGATCAACGGAAGCACCAGAAGAGTCCACAGATGCAGCAGTAAGGCCTGCCACCACTCCAGCTAGTTGGGAACTAGGTCCGAGAAGGCCAAATCCACCGGTGGTATTCGAATTACAGCCGCCCAAACCGCTGGAGAGGGCGCGGGGCACCGACTTGCGACGCAAACCACCGAAGCCTCCACTGACCCGATGTCCGTACTGCTGACGTCTGGTCAGAGCGACGTTGGTATCTGCTAGGCGCAGATTCTCAAAGGCCGGTTCAAAGAGACGCGAGCCTCGTGTTGAGGTGGAGCGTTGAAGGCGACTTTCATGCTGTTTGCCGCTCTCCGCTTAGCACAAAGTTAATTTCAAGCAATGACAACTTTGGTGGGTTTGCCTTAAAGCTGTGGTGACAAATGAATGGATCTGACTAAGCATCCGTAGTAAAAGTTGGGAAGTGAAGAAAGCATGACAGCCTGTGGAAAAAGTCTTTCTGATGGAAAATTGAACAATGATAAATCCTGCTTCGAATCTCACTTAGGTGGAGAATTATACTATTCCTATAACTGGTCAAGTAGGACGCAGATAAAACCAGACTTTTTGAAACAAAGGCACTTACTGTGAGGCGTTGGTGTGACGTCTTTGGGAGTCTCAAGCTACAAGAAGAAAAGAAACCACTTGAGGGTTCCAGTACGTAACTATCAAGGTGAAATAGATATAACTACTTTTGCAAAAAAATGCTGAATACCAACAGAGTGACTAAAGAAACTCATCTGACGCAAGGTAGTCTTATAAACGAGGCGACATTGAGTTAAAAACATAGAGAACTAGGGGACCCATGCAGACTTATTAGCATGAGTTAACTAAAAAACCTAATTCATACGAAATTTAAAGTAACCAATTGATCACCTAATTACATGCAACGTAGGAAGTCCAGCTTTTCAATTCACGGGAAAGCATGTCTGCCTCCATATCTCAATAAAAGTTGTTATTACGAGTGTAGTCAACACAGTGAGACACAGCAGTACCCTCTTCAGTGCCTTTTCTTCAACTTTGTGATTACGATTTTGCATTAATTGAACCGACCTTACGATAAAGTCGCATACCAGCAAAGGTAGACAATGTCGAGACTCTTCACAAACAAACTGAGAACACAGATTTTCACGCTTTCCAAAGTTTTGTCGCAAAAATGTGATCAGACTCCCACACTCCCAGAGAGGTTTTCCTTACCTTCAGGACTTTCGTTTTGTGTCAATCAACAAGTATCCATCATATTGAAACATAAGTTGCAAATTGGTTCGAAATCAGTGGAGGAATAAGCCCATTCATTCGATTTACTTCCTTTCCCCACTGCCATTGTTAAGCTGGTAGGGCATCATTCATGCTCACAAATCGTTGCACAAATAAAACCATGACTTGGCAGTCAACTTTAAACGTATGTAAATAAGTACAACAGTGCAGATGGAAAATGTCCTCATTTCGGAATAAATAGACATGCACGCTATATACATATATACAGTTCCACCCAGCGCCCAGCATGCCCTGGGACCGAGATCGAAAGATATTTTGGGCAATATCACATACGCCACGAATAGGACAGGACAAGTGATTGCCCGAAGTAGAACGACGCACTAAGTTCTTGGAGGAAGAGGGTACACCAATGGCATCATGCACGCACTCGCCTTCGTCTCTCCTCCAAGATCTTACTTCACTCCTCCTATCCATCCCTATCCGCCCTCGCCCTAAGGCTCCAAGAGAAGACGCAAGCATGCATATGCCTGCTGCAATCACGCACGTTACAGATCTGCTGCGAAAGGCATCCTAAACAAACGCCCACAAGAGCATGAATGCCGACATGCATGCAGTGGTGGGATGTTATGGATAGTGTTAAGCTGAACCTTCATTTAGACACACACACATGCACATGCAGCGGCACCTAGAAAGCACCCACCTCCAACTGTTCGTTGTCTTCCCCTCCCTCTGAAAAAGAAACGGAGTGTAATACGTGAGTATTAGAAGTACATGATTTAATTCGCCTTGATAGAGGGAGTGAAGATGGATGGGGAATTAATTCAGGTGGGACAGAAATGAAGGCGTATTTGACTGCTGGTCAGCATCTGCGCGAGGAAAACTACATGTGGTGCAGGAGGAAATGGATATTAAGAGATGACTAATATAGGCGTATGAATATCTACTTGTAGTGAAACAAACACATCTGCTTCAGCGTATTTTTAACAATGGTGTGTTTTGTGCAATATTTGATACAAGCGAAACGAAAGCCACGGATAAGCATGATTCTAAAATCCAGACAAACTGCAGCAAATCTTGGTGTCAAGAAAACAACATAATCCTTGCAATACCAGGTTCCAGTAGAGCTATCGTACTAAAACCATTTCCTCGTACCAGTAATTTGACTGAAGGTAGCAAGCGAGAATATGAATCGCAGACATTAATTGTTTTCAAACGACACAAAGGAAGAATGCGATGAAAGTTATCCCAATGTCAAACCTACTCAATGAACCGCTGTTAATCTTACTTGCTTCACCAAATAAGTGAAATTACATCTTAATGAAGTCTAACTCGATGTTATGTGACTAGTGATAAGAAAGTGAAAGAGCATGCATTGAAATAGCATACGTTCATGCAAATAATTTGCTGCAGCGATGATGAGAGGAAGGATGATGGTAGGAATAGGACGGAGTACAATATGCAATTTCTCCTTCCAGGGGTTCCCCTCCCATCATTGGTGCGCAACGATGCTTACCTTGTCGGCTGGCATTGAAAGTGACTGCCCTCCGCAGACGAAAGGAGTCTAGGCGTCATGGAAGGAACAGCAAGACTTACTTAATTTTGCACCTCAAAATACACCGTTGCTTCTGGTTTCGTAATCCTGACGGAATGTGCAAACCGCGAACCAGTGACAGAGTCCTTTTTTCCTAAGCACTTAAACATCTTTCCACAGAGGACCGTCAAATCTGCTAGTCAATATAAATAAAAACAGGATGGAAGAAGAGTGCTGTTATCCGCTAGCAGCAATCGGTGCACACCTGCGTCCTATGCAAAGCAATGAGTCTAGGTTAATCTAGAAGAAACAGCTACTGCATGCAGGAAGCGGTAGTGGTTTTTCGGAAACAGAGGATCGCTTACCCTTGGAGCCGTGAGAGGCGCGATCCGCACTAGCACTGATGCCAATGCCAGTGGAATCAGAGGTGGTTGTACCGGCCGTCTGACTAAGAGAAGAATCTGAGGAGGAGGCAGGAGAGGTCATAGTTGTTGCGTGCAGCTTCAACAATGGAGTGGGTGAACCGACACCAGAGCGTCCTTTGCAAACTGAGAAAGGGTCGTCAACTATCCGCTCCATAAAGTGGAACTGGAATTTTAAACAGTGCTTAACGGTCAGACATGAAGCATACTAAGACCAAATATTCTTTGGCTGACCGAAAGCATATGACAATCTTTGCTCAGCAAAGATAGCATAACCATCTCAAACATTCATTCATGGGTTCGTTTTTTCAAAGGACACATCAAGATGCACTAGGTTAACCAATATCCCCGCACCATGGTAATGATTTTCTTAATCTATTTTCTTTGATTGAAGGATGCTCCTCTCATGAAACCTTCAAGATGCTTTGATTAGCATGAGTTGACAAGGCAGCTAATAGGAATGATGCGAATCAATGGGTGCAGAATCAAAGGCAACTCCAATCTATAAAACCAGATTATTCTTTAAAGTAACATCTGCTGAGGTTTCTTTATCGCTGGTGGCGGTGCCACGGTAGCAAAAGCAAAGACAGAACACCTTTTCCTAAACGGTAGTGTGAAGTTAGGTAGGCGCGTGTGCAATAAAGTAGGACGCTTCGACAGCCAATTGGCGTCGGGAGAACAGCAATGTGACATTTGTCACGACCATATGGAAAATACCCAAATGACACCCTTGGATAAGAAACTATATACCTATCCGAATGAAAATTGGCGTAAGAAATATCACAAACTGCGTGCCGTGGAGTATTAGTTGATTGAAGATATAGCCAGCAACATCGAAGAACAGCATCAGCAAACGTGAATGCTTCATCAGTAAAGTAAAATCCGAAAACCATAGTGGCGACAAATTGGTGGCATTGCTTGGAAGGAAACTGCATTAAACAGCTAGTAAGAGAGTTCAAACTCTCCACGAACTAAGCTAAAAACTATTTAGGTCTACGAGGAGGTAAACCAAATAATGTCCATATACATACTAAATACTAGATTACTAACAGTTTCGGTTGTTACAAAAACTACTTTCGCTTATCCTGTCTTCAGAATAACCCTCATTTTTATAGCCAAAATAACCCATTCATACGGTGGTAAGTCCAGGCGATTCTCGAATTAGAACAGTCGCTGGGGCACTTTGACGAGTCAGAAGTACGATGTTAGTAGAGGACCAAACCAACTCCGTTGACCTTGCTAGAACCCGACAAGCTGATCGTTACCCATGGCATGCTACCAGAAAATTCGATCTACTCAGTGGCTGAGGCCGTTTAAAAGAATACAGGTATTGCTTCAACGAACAACAAACCTCAGCACTTATTACTCTAAAAAAAGGTTCTAAAAACCACATTCAGTGCTGAACTCAAATCAACCAAAAAGATTAACGAATAATCGTATTAGAGCTAATGCAAAAGTTAGGCCTTAGTGAATCCCAAAAAGGAAATAATGCTTGAAAATTTACCAGAGCCTCAATGCTAGAAACTAAACTAGTTTTTTAGGTTGGAAATCTGGAAACACCTCAGCAGTGATAGTTGGTTTGCGGATGGCGAGCAAGGCGGAACTAGAGGCGGAGTTCGAGGTGTACTCCCACTTCCCTCCACCGCTTCCGCCGACGTTAGCAGCAATGCCTAAAGTAGAAGATGAGTGCTGCTTAAGATCCAGGGGAATGCAGCGCAGGAGCTCGCTCGAACACCCTCCAACAGAACTGGTCAGCAATTCTGGTAGGTAGACTTCTGCGTAGCCCCGTGAAATTGATTCTGCAAGGGCCAGAATGGATAAATTAATGTTTAACCCAATGCACTCACTACACTCAAAGGCGAAAGATGTAGCAAAAGTTAACAAATTTGAAGGACGAAACAATAACATTTTGGAGGAAATATGCACGGACAATCGAGGTATAAAATGAGTAGTGCAAAATGCCGAGAACTTGAGTTATATGCTGATCTAATTTTGCAGAGCGTAACCATAACGTGAGGGCTATCTGACTCAATGCACAAGGCTGGTGGGTTACAGCCATTGAGTTCTGCTGTCGAAGATGGCCAACGAACAACATAATCACACTAGTGCGGCGTTAGAGCAAAAAAGAAATTACACCAAGTGAGGCTGCCTGTACATTTGCGATTCATGAATAGTACATCATTTCGACCATAAATCACATAATGCCAATTACAAAATGTTCGAAGTAGGCTTTCAGTGAGGAGGCGGATCCCCAGCTTCAGGTAAACACTCCCGCGAGCAAAGGAGCAAATAAGTAAGTTGTAAGGTACGAAATATTCTTTTTAGTTGACATATCAAAGCGCATAAATAAGTTGGCGACTTAAAGTGATTGATGCGCCAAAGTTCTGACGGACAACCTTTCAGTGAGTCATCGAAGTATCTGCGTGAATTACTTATCGAATGAAATGATCATTTAATCTGGGCGTTTCATTGGCAGTGCTTTGGTTTCCGTTGCACAAACCACCCCACCCGACGTCTATAGAAATACCAGCTCAATATCATTCTTCAATCTTACCGTGGGATAAGATAATCAATCGAGACAGATCATTTGATTGGTCAGCTTATTTGGATGGTTTAGCATGGTCGGACAATAGATTACAAGGGGTGCACGTGCGTGTTATATGAATTATTAGTGATGCCAAATTGCAATGTGAATCAACAGTCTTACTGACCCTCTCAATAGGCAGTAATTACGTCTTGGAATCTAGGTGGGAATGTCTTCTGGTCCATAAAACTATTAGAGGCAGCCAGAAAAACTACTAATGACATTTTGCCCTCAAGTACCAGTAGAGAGAGTTAAGAACTTCCACAATTAAGAGGACAGAACAGAGGGGAAAAGCCTAAACATGTGCATATACACACACACAAACAAGCACTCCTTTCAGGGTGCTGTTTTGCACATGTACATTGACCCAAGCCCCAGGGCACCCGTTCGCCTGTCCACACCCCATCCGCCAAAGCTTAGATACTTGTGTGCGTGCACACACCCCAAATCGATAAAGAGCTTGCACGCACACACCCAAACGCGGTGACCAATTAACTGATTGCACACACACGCACGTTAATATCCGCACTGATGCAAGGCGTGCACTAGGTGCAATGGGATCACCATGTTTGCATGCCACGTGTACGTGGCGTGACGACAAGAGGGGAACGAGAACGGAAAGCGCGAAAATCGATGGGCCGCAAATGGGAGGCTTGCTTGAGCAGAACCACTCGTAAGATCAATAGAGAGGATTGATCTCAAGTTTCTACACGTGCAAGTCCATTTGACATAAATGGAGTTTTGCAGCAAATGACTAATTCAAAAGCTTCAGAATCTGCCCAAAAATGGAAAGATTAAATGAGTTAAATTCTTCAATGTCAGATTCACTATCGTTTGATGCCCAAAAACGTAACCGATTCTAATATTCCTTAGCAAACGCCAATGCAGACTTAAAGCCACTCACTTCGTCGTTTTGACAATTCAAAAACCTCGAACGCCGCACGTTTAGAGTTGCTGTTAAGTCCGCTAAAACATAAATGAAGAAGAAACTAACAACTCGTATTAAACATGAGGCGATGGTAGAATCCGAAGTTTATAGAGAGTAGGCGGTGTGAAGCAATTTTGAGTCAAACACCATGAAATTAACAGTCAGGTCATACAACTGAGGACGACAGAACTAGATTAAAATATGTAGAATTTAAATTAAATAGGAGCAAACAGCTATTCTAAATATGAAGTAAGAACAATATGTGAATGTCTATTTAGAGATGAACATTAAAAAATGTCGGGATGGAAAAGGCGCTACCAATTCTTCAGTGATGAAATTGTGCACAGTTGTTTCAAGAAAACAAGAAACATACAACAATAAATGCTGGTCCCAAAACAGTTGTTCAGATGGTGGTACAACATGCGTAGCGTGACGTTGGTATGGCTCATCCAACTCTACAACGCAGTAGGCATCAGAAGAACCTATTTACCAAAGAAAAAGCCATTCATTTTTTTAGCAATGCGAAAAACAATAAGTGGCACAGAATAACATACTTTTAAGATCAATAAAGTCTGCCTTGACCACCTTTACAAGCAGATTTTTCGAAGCGAGGTTCGGAGTTACGCGTTCATGAAGAGGAGAAACGTCTGTGACTCTTTTGAGAGAGCGCTGATTATGGGTTAAAAACACCGGTTTTCCTTCATTCTGATTTGTCGGACGTTGCTCCTCAGGTGGATGGACAACTGGGTCCAGGGGGACAGGTTCAGTGTCATCAATTGTACCTTCAGTGACAGCCTTCATCTCTTGATCCACAAAGTCTGATGCAGACCGTTGATGTCGGCGGCAAATGCTTTCGGTGAGTTTCTTCTTCAAGCTGGGGTTGTACGCCAGTACCACAGGCTCGGGTAAAGCTTCTGTTGACTCATCTGATTCGCTACTGGGCGTGAGAACATTTGCCAAGTGGAGGTGGCTGTTCAGAGAAATCGCATTTATAGTGGCGGCCTCAGGTAGCGAATGCACAGACTCTGTCAAGACATTTCCATTGAATTCAATCGCCGTTCTTGGATCCCCCTTAGGCACTATTTCTGATTCAGAGTGGAAGCTTTGTGAAAATGTAGACGAATACAGATCCTCGCACTCATTTCCCATACTTTTAGAATCCTTGAAGCAAAAATAGCATAAAGATGGTGAGAAGAGACCTACCAGGTCCGAAAATAACTCATCACATCCGTTCGAACTCTTCAACACCTCCTGACTGTCGAGTAAAGCCTGGGCGTCTTTCCATATGAGATGCAAACTGGAAACAATGACTTTAATTGTGAACAAAAGGTCCTGTTTTGCATTATCCAACTTAACTGTTAGCGAAAAAACTTTCCTACTGGATTGGGGGATTCAATTGATAAAGAAAAGTAAGGATGTGACGAAACTCCTTGAAGAGCGATCAACTCAGCATTATTGAAAGACAAATTCAGTATAACCTTTGAGGATGAATAGTTTAAAAGCGTGTACCTCAAGTGAAAAATTGCTAAGTGAAAACTTGACATGAGAGACTTTTTGATTTCCTTGCCATTCACCAGAAAATGAAAGACGATTAGCCGTTACAAGTACAGGTATGCTCTACAAAGATTAACACAATCTGCTCGGCATTTAATACCATGCTATTAGCTGACACGGTTGGGGAAGACCTCTGTAAATATGTTACAGGACTAGACACACGAGACAAAAAAAGAACATTTTTCAATCCGTTTGGGACCTAAAAACATTGAGCTGAAAAATGCAAGGCACCTTAACCCTGTCAGGATATGTATTTATGAATGCAGCACACAGTTCTACAACATTTGCACAGAACTTTCGGTTTTGATCAACCCACAAGTTTATCAAAAGCTGCGGATCGATGCTTCTATGTGCAATGTTTTTTGAAGCGGAGACGCGCTGAAAGAGTGTACGATACACAATGCAAAGGGAGGATCCGATAATGAATATGAAAAGCAGCAGTGAAAACAGCATTTTTTCCATAGATTGATTAAAAAAACTGTCCACAAATCCAGAGCCATCCATAATTTTATATGTTACGAGTCTTGCCAGAAGACTTTCCATAATGTGCACCGTATATGCTCACTACATCGCCGACCACGATAGCCAATCTAGCATAAGGCAACTTTCAAAGCTACTCCCTAATGCTCATATACTAAAACAAATCCATGCAAAAGATATTTCTAAATTTTTTTTTCGTGTTTTTAAAATAACATGCTGTAAAATATATAGACACTTAAGCGTTATTTCTGTACAGCATTCAACCCTGTGGCATTAGCTCTTTCCGTGTACCTAATGCTCTCAGTTTTTCTCGAGTCTTCCCGATGTCAGGTGTCTCCGTTGTTGTAGGTGCTCAGTGGGGCGATGAAGGGAAGGGTAAAATTGTAGACATGCTCTCTGCCCGTTGCGATGTTATTTGTCGGTGTCAAGGCGGTAACAATGCAGGTATGTTTCATTCTATTTATCTTCTTGCTCCAGGACACACTGTTGTTGTTGATGACGCGCAATATTTCTTCCACCTTGTTCCCAGCGGTATTATTAGAAGTGATACGATGTGCATTATTGGCAATGGCGTCGTTATTAATCTGCAGGATCTATTTAAAGCATGTTCTTGCCTTTTAGTAATTCGACTTTAGGAAATTGATGCCCTTACTATGCAAGGCATTCCCGATGTTGAGGGTCGTATACGTATTTCTGAGAGCGCCCACCTTGTTTTTGATGTTCATCGTCGCGTCGACGAGCTGGAAGAAGAGGCGAGAGGTCGTTATGTCATTGGTACGACAAAACGCGGCATTGGTCCGACTTATGCTTCGAAGGTTTCAAGGAGGGGTCTGCGCGTTGCAGATCTAGTCGGCGATTGGAATGTGTTTTGTGAACGATATCAATCTCTGGTTGATTTTTACGAGTCACATTATCCTACTCTCAGTGTTGATGTCAAAAGATCTCTAGAAGTATGGGCTTTCTTAATCTCAATCCGTTTTTAACTCTCCTTATTACTCGTGTCTGTGCTTAAGGAACTATCTGGTTACCGTGATCGTCTGAAGCCCATGGTTAGGAATACCGCTTTTTTGGTGAACAAATTCGCGATGGCTGACACACATCGCCTCCTCGTTGAATGTGCTCAGTCAACCATGCTGGATATCGATTTTGGCACTTATCCCTACGTCACTTCATCGAATTGCTCTGTTGGTGGTGTATGCACTGGCCTGGGCTTGCCTCCATCTCGTATTGGTTGTGTTTTTGGGGTGTCCAAGGGTAAGGAGCTCTTTCCTCTATACATATGCTACCTTTTTTACCGCTAATGCAAGGATTTTTTTAAATCAAGCGTACACAACTCGTGTTGGATCAGGCGCGTTTCCTACTGAGTTAACTGGTGAATTAGCTGAAAAGTTGCAGACAGTTGGCTATGAATTTGGCGTTACAACTGGTAGGAAGCGCCGTGTTGGCTGGCTGGATGCGGTTGTTCTGCGCTACGCCCACATGATCAACAATTTCACTGCTATCGCGCTCACCAAGCTCGATGTTCTGGATGACTTGGACGAGGTAGATTACTTAAAGTTATCCCCATTCTCTATCAGCATTAGCGAAAATCTCATTAAGAACTTTCATAGGTTAAAATTGCAAAGGACTACATCGACCCAACTACTGGAGAAATACTTCAATGCTTCCCCTCCGACCTTTCGCTGTTGTCTCGAGTAAGCGTAATCTATGAGACGTTACCTGGGTGGAAGACGAAGACGACAGGCATAAAGAAATACGTAGATCTGCCAGAGAATACGCGTAAGTACATTGAAATGGTCGAAAAACTCTGTGAACTTCACGTTCGATGGATCGGAGTAGGACAGGGTCGCGAGGACATCATCTCCAAACCTCTCTCATAGTTCCCTCTATTAACCATCCTTTTATAATGATTGCGCTTTCAAAAATCACGTCCTCTGTATTCCCGCGTATGCAATCCAATTAAATGAAGGCATTTTTAAATGGTTCTTTTTTGTTATTCTCCCATCTTTTACCGTTTCGCGTTTTTAATGAGGCTCTTACAAAAGGCAGTTTTCCTGTACTAGTAATGTCTACAATCAGTTCCGTGTTCCCTAGGATTTGTGCAGGTGATTACTTGGTAGCTTGGTTTGAAGTTTGTGTATATGTCTGACTCGTAAACTTCGAGTTCTAGGTTGTCGTCTGGAACACTGCTTGAGGCTTTAAAACGTATGTTCATGACAGGCCTCCAGGCCAAGTGATGGATAGTGTATCGTCTATCAACTGCAAATGCCCATTTTTGTCTGGAGTTCGTGGTCTGGTTAGATGATGGGTGACCTCCAACGTAATGGTCTACGCTTTCTCTTATTTTTCACGACACAAAGTCGCCGAACCTTCTTCGGGCTTAGTTAAGTTCTGTCTGTCTTGTGAGCGTTACGGGCTTGCATTTGAGTAGGTAAAACCTCGTTAATGATACGTTTTAGATATTTGTTGTTCGCGTCAAACCTCTGGGACTGTTCGCCTTATAGCAAAAACATCCTCTTTGTAAGAAAGTTTTGGTAACCTGCAGAAAAACTAGTGCTGCTGAAAACATTAAGCATACTCTTGTCACCAGATGAAGCCCGTGGAATAGTCGTTACCAGCCTTCATGGGCATTAGTGAATGTCATTGGCTATCTTCATGAGAGTTTTATTGAGCTATACTTTCAAGCTACCTCCACATTTTAAAGCTGATTTTATCCTCGATGCAGTCTTGTGTCACCTGGGTGGATAATTAGTAGACCAACTTGTCACTGAACCGAATTGTTGCTAGCCCGATTTGCACTCTGGACGATATCAGACTAGCATGCCATAAACAAGCCCTCCAGCCAGACAGTAAACCATTACGTTCCCTGGGTCAAGAGCGGTCTCGGCTCCCACGGTGTTGCAGTATGCACACCGGAAGCGCTTGTTGTGCACTGAAGTGATGTTTGAGGGGTGGTGAGGTTAATTATTGTCAATTGTTCCAAGTTTATTCACCCATTCATTGAGTGCAGTCTAACCTACGCACTTCAATCTGGCCACTATTATTGTGGGGTTGGACGGTTGTTTAGAGGAATTAGATAAACAAATGATTGGAACAATTGACTTGCATGGGCGTACGTTTGTTTGGTGAAACTGTCAAATTCTAAAAGGCGGAGCTTTGTGGTCACGCTTTAGTGGACTACGGTGTTTGGAAGTCTCCAAGCCAAAGCTCTATGAGGAGAGAAGAGTAGACCCCTTCCTGTAAACTTTCTTGTCTACAAGAGGGTGTCAAAGCCATGCGATTTGGGAAGAGTAGTCTGTTTGCAAAACGTCTCTTTTTTCTAAACTCATTAACAAGAACCGTGCTGAGGTTATTTTTGCTATGGGGTGACGTGCATATAAGACGGAATAGTTAACGTCATTTTGACAGTGGCAAGCGTGATTAGGTTTGGCTGCTGCAACTTTGAAGCATTCTACTAAAGGACTAACAAGGTCAAATTGCCAAATAGGTGCCTGTTTCGTAGCCTTTGTGACCGACTTAAAGTCGTTTGCAAAGGCCTAATAGTGCTAGGCAATGTGACTTTGGACTGAATGCTTCAGCAGTCACAGAACTCCACTTGGCGATTGCGCTGAATACCGCCCAACGCAGACATGCGCAAGTGCAGTCTGTGACTTGTTTATCATGGCCTACTGTTCTGCCCTCATGGTCGCCGCTAGAACGTCCAGTTTCTCAACAGACACCTCGTGGCCTCTTTCAAATGTGAGAACGGTGAACACACTACTTTTGGAATGTCTGCGAAAACCAATAAACTGTGCAATTTTTGCCTTTCACATAAAGACTGACATTTTCGATTTTTTTCCCAACAGCGTATTGGGATGTGTTAAGAGGCTAAAATTACTAGGCGTAGTCACGCATACTTTGACAGATGTGAAAGCTAAAGGTAGCATTCATCCTCAAGGTGGTAGTTCGTGTCTACTATCAATCGCGTCTGCATATCGTGGAATCAGGTTAAACAATCCTCGGGGCAAAACCTTTTACGACTAGTTATTCACCCTCAAACGGCTGAATTCTGCCAACTGCCTTGCGTGGTGCAAACAATACGGACCCCACCGACCTGCTGCAGGATGACGCTGTACGAAAGTTTGTGCTCATTTTCATTGCATAACATCACATTGACATTACATACGCACACCATGCAAAATACCTCCCTCTAACAATTAAGGTTAAGCAAAGTTTGCTGAAAGAATCGAAGCTTCATCATTACATTCGATTTGGTGTGAGCTTCCCAAAACAAAAAAATACTTTTGTGAGAAAAGTCTCCCACTTGTGGTAATGAGAGATATCGTTGTTATTGCAGCACCCGGTGGGTTTGATGCCTTTATATCAGCTTTAGTATTCAGGGTTCGACACATTAGGCTGTCCACCAGCGACGAATTAAACGCGTATCTATCAAAAGAAACGGAGGCAGAATGATCGTGCAATGTTGCTTTTAGGCGGGTCGTTCACCGTGTCACGGTAACACGTGGAGAATATTGATTTTAGGCGGGGTAATGCAAGGCCCTTCAAGCACATGGCGATGGTATTGCTTCTAGTGGAGCAGTCATGCTACTCACCGGTTAGTTACGATGCTCTTAATCGAAGCAGTGCTGCTCAGTCTCTGCGTGGATGCAATTGTGATAGTGCCCGCTGCCTGTCAAAGTGTGATGGTGGATATTGAGCCATGCTTCGGTATCAGCAGTCCAACGCACAGGACCCATCTCCGATCTATGTATTCAGGCGCTGCCTATGCTCTCAAAACACAGGGTGGAGATATTCCTCTCGTCGGTCAACCGTACAATGGATCCGCACATCCCCATGCGTGTGCTTTTGCCTTTGCTGCCCCTACACATCCTCAATTTCATTTTGTTACTGTGTACATTAAACAAGTTCATTTGAATATTACTGCCGGCGTAGGTGGAGAAGCAAGTTTGGTATTTATGGGCAACTCGCACCCAACTGTTAATCTTGCCACCGTAAGGCTCACAAAGATGTTCCCCGTGAAGCGTGATTTTTATGTAGATACGCAAGACTGGCCAAAGAATTCTACTACCATTTATGTGTTTCTGATTCACAATTTTATCGGGGATAGAAGTGGAGAGGCTACACTCCATTTGGACCTTGCTCTCACCCCAACGTATCTTTGCGTGATGTCACAGTTCCAGGTTCGGGGATCTCATGCTAACCTACGCAATCCCTATGATATAAGCCTGATTAACTTAAATGAAATGTTTCATCCCGGCTGGCTTATTTGTACAACCCCGGTGGTTGCCAATCGCTTTGGATTTAAACTGACCTACCGTTTTGTAGCCTATTGTGTTGACTATCGTCTTAGCTGTGACGGCGTTGTCAACTGCCCAAGAGGTCCGACTACGCTAGCCAACAAAGTTTTTGCAACTCTTCCTCAGAGCAGCGCGGACGAGTACTCGAGGGGCCTCATCTGTTATGCGCCTTCCGTCAACTGGTTCTTGGTAGCGATTGTCCTCTTCAGCATCGTAAATATTGCACTTCTATTTTTGATAAGTTATGTGGGATTGCTGAGACGCTATTCTCCACTTCGTTATCTGCGTCTTCAATCGCAATGTCTTCGCTATGGATGCTGTTGCCTGCCCATTCGATGGCGCCAGATAGTTGTGGGAAGCCCTTCTATATTCCGTCAACATTCCATCAGCAGCGCAGACCTCGATATACCTCGAAGTCCACCGACCTACGCTAGCGTAGAACAAGCCGACAAGGCGAATCTCTTCGCCAGACAATCAAATCGTCACTTTCGATGGGGACGTCAAAAAACAGTCACTGTTGCTAAATCTAGTCACCATCTACCACCCTCGTATTCTGATGTGAACGAAGAAATCGGTGTTGCACCAGAAGGTGTGATTAAAAAAATGCAAACTCTCCAAGGTTCCTCCTCCTCTTGTTCAGGAGGAGGAGGACATGTAAGCTCTTCGCCAAAAGTAAAACCGCTACCGCAACGTCTTCGAAGACCTACCCGTCGAATTAATCTTAGAGTTGAACTTAGAATCGCCCTGAGACGTACTGTTTCCCGGACCAGAGCCCTTTTGCGTTCTGGCTTCCGAATCGTGAGGTTTCGATCTACGCCCCAACCATTGCTGAATTCCGAGGCTGGTGGAGAGGGGAGTTCAACAAATCCCCTTCCACCACCAAATTACTCGGAATTTCTTAGTGGCGACTTTCCCAGATATCCAGCAACCGTGATTGTGGACCACATCAGACCACCTCCATCCACTCCTACCGAAAGAATACCTTTCCTAGGACCTAGACGACACCGACCACGTCGCAGAAACGTGTACCTTTGCAGTAGAAGGTAGAGGATGGTTGGGTGTCTCTGTAAAAGAATGGCTGATTTATACCACTTTATAAGTTTTATTTGTCTCCGTATGCCATTGTGCCGAATGCCTTCTGTACCACCTCTGCTCATCCTTTCTCATCTGTCTTTTTGAAGGGTTTTTGGAGCAAAATGCAGTGAAAATGCACTGCAGTTGCTGATCCTGTACTTGTACAAAAGTAGCCCTTCTAATGGAAACTTGGACGCTTGCTTTTAGCTATGTGGGAGGGTTTATGAAATTGGCCCAATCCCCTCCTCGTTGTAACGCCTCTAGCCAAGAACAGTAACTGTGTTGATCAGGGAGAGAGGCCATGCAGTGAAGCAAGTCTATAATCCAATCTGTATCGTGATTAGGAAATTGCTTATACAGCTAGAAACCTCCCTGGACACGTGAAAGGATCTGAAGGAGGCAACATTTTGGTGTATGCACGTGTGTTGCAAAGGGAGTGGAGACCAAATCGCCATTAAAGTCTCCAATGTATCAGCAAATGTAGTAGCGCAGAGGGCGTGGAAGGAGCTGGGTGATGCAAATTGGCGAGTGGGCTCCAAAGGTCTATCAGTTCCAATAAAGTCTGCAGCAGTGTAGATATTTTAAGGTAAATTATGTAATCTTGAGGTGAGGCGCACAGTTTGGCAACTAACTCTAGGCAACAACACAGAATAAAAAACCAATCAGGCGCCAATAAAGATGAAACATTCCTAATTGCTTAAATTCACCCTTGTCTGCGGCAGAGGGGGGGAGCTCCCGGTATCACTTTCTCTTAGAACGATGATTTCGCATTTTAATGCTCTCATTCTGTCCTATCTCTGCAGCCTTCACTAGTCCCTACTTTGTGGTGCTCTTCAACGTTGACTTCTAGGCAAACTTGCAGTCCCGCGAGTACCCGTAGTGGCTTAATAGAGCAGCAGAAAGGCATGAATACCTCTTAGACTAGTGTCTCGTTCACTACCATAATGCAAAAAAAAGCTTTGACTGACCTCGCCGACTGACCCTAATGTCAGCAATCTATCTGGCTGCTATCAGTACAGATTTCCGGACCCCATATTATCAAGGCACTGCATTGTAAAAGCATCGAGATGCGGCAAAGCTACCAACTGAGAGTGCACCTAAGGTCACATGAAAATACTAGCAGGAAATGAATCGAAATGGATTGTTAGGAAGTGCAACCGTTATTAGAAAGTTCAAAACAGCCAGAGGCACTGAAACAGATGAACCTCTACAAAATCCGACCCCTAGGCCAGGTAATTCTGAAGTGATATGTGGAATGGGATGCTACTTAAACCTCTTAATTTATCCTGTTTCTAAAGCTGATTACAGGAGCGCTGTTCACGTAATCAACTTGGAACATGCGTAAAAGGTAGGGCGGACACCTTTGAATCAAAGTGACTTTCGCTCACTTTAGTACACACCCAACCCATTAATTTGGGAATCAAACTACACCCTCCAAGCCTCCTTCACCTCAGCTTTGCTGGAAAGCACACCCATCGAAACTGATCGCACGTACGATGCTCAACTTTAGTACCACAGGTTAAAAGCATGTACTACTTCGCACAAACCTGCTAAAATACAGAAAATTTCTTTTAGATACCTAACTCCAACTCCACTCTAGCGACAATTATGAATGCCATTTGCTTACAACTTTAGCCAACAAAAACTCATTTGGATGTATATGTGCAAATTTTTTTATGAAACAAGATTTTTTACATAGCACAAAATGACGACTTTGAGAAGCGAAGTAATAGTCTGTGACTCTCTGTTTTTAATGCGTTGATCATTCCGCTGCCTGCATTGGTGACGATTGCTTTAGCAGCCATCGCGACACGGTTGGCCTTCGCCGCTATCATTCCAGTCCGAATACAAAGATTCAATCAGGTCACATGCCTTCTATTATTAACTGTGAAGGCGCAGGACACTACAATGTGCTTACCTGCGAGGACCCTGGAGACGGTATTCCTACTCAGGAGTTTGGAGTAAAAGCATCGTATAATGGACTAATATAACAACTCACTTGCTCTACAACTAAATTATAAAAAAAATAGTCCGGTCTTGTTAGGAGTGCAGACAAAAAATCATTTTGTTAAACATGGGTAGAGGTGATGCGTATTTGTACACTCACAATCAATTTGTTCAAGAAAACATAGTCGAGTTAGCACTAGCTCCGATGGCGATAAAATGCGGCTGCATTTATAGTGTGCGTTCAAAATAACACCATTGCATGCAACAAAAGCATGCAGGGTAGAGACGCTGAAGGTAATATTTATGTTTCACAACGAAATGTTTGATAAGTGACAATCGGTCAGTTGCTTTCCTCGTTTTACAATGGACTAAGATGTCCGCTGTATAGGATGGTTCTTAGATCATACCTAGGACCCAATCTCCTTGTCTTCCGCCTACGTATATGTGCTCAAGACACATACCACGCCCTCAGCCATCTATGAGGAGGTCTTGGAACCCTTGAGTAATGAGAGAGGAAAACAGCCCCGACTTTAGAACAGCTTCTATCCCGGTTTCCAACGTTTGCGACAAGCTGCGGTGCTAGTGGAGTGCAAACGTTCTAGAGAGAGAATCCATTAATTTTCTTTTTAATTGAGGGGTTGAGAACGAAATGTGCTTTTGCACTTGCTCCATTGCCAAGCCCCACTGGTAAGCTGTCAGCAATGGAAGCAAAATCCGGCGCAATTTGGGGATTACCTTGACATTCATTAATATGGCAGCTGCAACATTACATTCCAAGAAATCTTCTCCTAACATTACTATATTCTCTATTGCATTACCGTTTTAACCCAGTATCCCAACACCCCGCCCTTTGCACGTATGAAGATCAGCAGAGTTCTCACGCTTTCTGACGTCGAAACCCCATATACAGCAGAAATGTTGAAAGAGAAAGTGATTTTATAATTAATAGTTTTCCTTTCACCCTTTCTCCAGTCACGTGGGAGTTGATGAGGAGTTCGGCTGGCGTCGGTAAAAGAAGAGCAAAACCATGCTTTTTATTATGATCGCTAGACTAAGTAAGTGGCGGCTATATCGGCTGATATGCTGCTTCTTAAGAATAACCCGACCTTAGACCATGCCAATAGTCGTATTTTTTTAGTGTCTAACAGAACATATGCATTCTGCCATGCATTTGGCTTTGCAATAGCAAAATCGGGGTCTCAACATGCTGAAACATAATCAAAGTAGATAAAAAAGCACAAACAAAGGCCAACAGTACACTTATGCTTATTTTCACGAAAATTCCTTGCCGAAAATTTTGAATTCTCACCTACCAATGGCCATCTATCAAAAAAGATGGTGTAGAATTATTAACCAAATTATTGATCGTTGATATCTTATGATGCATCATTCAAGAGGCTCGTAGCAAACACACTTCGTGTAGAAATATGAAATAACAATTGTTTTAATTAGCTACTTCCAAATGCATTATTATGATCCAATCAAATTTCTATACAGTCGCAGCGGTTTGTTTGAATTAGCGTGATTGGTGGGTTTGTTTAGCCATGAGCCGTAAGCGAAATCGTCCGGAAGAATGGGGTGACATCGAGCCCTCTCCTGTCATTCACATTACGGATCTGCCGGAACACACGCTAGAAATCGACTTGGAGAAGTTATTTGACAAGTACGGCCGCATAGTTGAAATAATCATGCTACCCAACAAACGTCAGGCTCTTGTCGAGTTCGAGGATCAGAACGATGCTGATCGTGTTATTCAAAGGTACTTATGTCCCACTTGATTATCACTTGTGATCTTGCATCTGTTGCATCTAAAGTAGCTGGCCTTGGCATTATGCTGTGTATTGCTAAATAACGAGTTCATATGCTATTCCGGAGTTCTTCTTTTACAGTAAATCTTTCAACTATCGATCTCCAGACTTTGTGTTTTGCTGTGCTTTTTATTTACCCTTACGTTTGCACATTTTTACTCGTTATTTTAATAGATCCAACGAATATCCGTTTATGGTTGGCAATCAGCGTCTTCGATTGGCATATAGCACTTCAAAGCGGTTGACGTTTCGTGGTCGCCTTGACGATGGTACCATACAGAGTGACCGGCCACCACCTATGGAAAATAATATTCTCCTTTTGACAATCTACAATGCCCAGTATCCCATAACAGTGGATGTTATTCATCAAGTCACTAACCGTCACGGCAAGGTGCTAAGGATAGTCATCTTTCGAAAAACTGGTGTTCAAGCCATGGTTGAATTTGCTACAGTCGCAGACGCCCGGGAAACTAAACGTCATATAAACGGCGCGGACATCTACTCCGGATGTTGCTCTCTCAAGGTCGAGTACGCAAAGCAGACAAGACTGAAAGTAACGCGGAACTGCCTTGATAGTTGGGACTACGAGAACCCGACTCTTATGGATGAGACTGGGATGGGCGTTCAGGGAAGACCTGTGGCCGCCGCTGCAGCTGCTTCTCTGTTGGGTAAATTTGATGGCGAGTTAGCAAAACGGGCTGATGCTTACCTGCCTGGTAACCTCGCTGCCGTCTCACCCAACTCTGTCATCAGCGCACTCGCAATGGTGGCCGCAGGACAGCAGCAGCAACAGCAACAACAGGGTGCTTTTGGCGGTGGATACTCCGACTTAAGTGATAGATCCGCTAGTCCCGTCATTATGGTGTACAACTTAAACATGGCCCACGCCAACTGTGACAGGTGCGCTTCTCCTTACAAACTCGAACATCAATCTATCCGTTAATGGGTTTATCAACACCATTCATACTTGTATCTGTTTTTGCAGGGACTTACACAATAAGTTCCTCAACGGGTTTTCGTTTGTTGAAGATTTTGTTCTTTTTTGTGTTCAGATTGTTCAATTTGTTCTGCCTTTATGGGGACGTTGGTCCGATAAAATTCCTTCGCTCGAAGGAAGGAACGGCAATGGTAGAATTACACGGGATTGCCAACGCTAACAGTGCCCTTGCCAACCTACCGATGATTTCATTCGCTGGAAAACGGCTCAGCGTAAGTCATCCTCTGATGGATACCAAAAGGGGTAATTTTAATGGGCGCACCTTTTACAATCCAGGCGGATCCTTTCTCTTCTCGTAAGTGTATTTAAAAAGATTAGCGCTGTTTACTGGGTTATGGTAGTGCTATTGTCACACTTCTCCTCTCTCTCAATCGTTTATCAACCCCTTGCGCTGATATTTTTTTGATTATTTTCTCTGGTGCAATGAGGCGGGATTGTCTATGGGCTCCTTTGCTTTTGTAGTTCTTTAAAAGTTTCGAGGGTTTGATTCTTGGTTTGGAATGTGGCTTCAAATTATTGGCCCAGATGGTTTCAGAATTTATCTTACTCCCTCCTCAGCAAACTTCCTATTTGCTATTGCTATAACCAACCACATCCGCTCATACATTGTTTCGATGCTGAAGAATTAAAGCTAGGTTGTATTTATTTCATGTTATAAGTGTGTGAATAATGAAAATGAAGGGCGTCGGACTACTTTTCGTACTTGCATTACACATCATTTAGTGGCGGGCCAGCTTCTATTAGAAATTCAGCTTCAGCTTTCTTATCGAGCTGTGATACTGTTATGTCCAGTAACAGCGTTGAAGAGTGTCTCGTTGCTATGCCTTTGCTTGCATCGTGCTGGCTTTGCCATGCTATTGAAAACAGAATTGTGCAGTCTTCACCGTATTTGAATTTAATTTGTCGTTGTAGTGGCCAAACGACATTTTTTTTAAAATAAGTAATCTTTTTGTAAGTAACGAGGATCCACTATCATCTCAATACATTCGACATCCAATTACTAAAGACATTTTGGAGCTTGAGGCTTGAAAGTACCAGTCCGAAAATGAAGCCCGCACTGGCGCTAAGGTTCACTATTGACAACAATGCGATCTAGTGGAAATAGGTATTCTCGTATCCATAATGAATGCCTGAAATAAGTTGATACGATGTTCTCTGGTGAGAGTAATTTTGGTCGTGTTACATGGGTTACCAAGGTCGGAAGACCGGTACCACTACCTAATGATAATGGTGAACTTTGTGCTCTCATTCACACACATGCCTGTTTTTCGCACGTTCACCTTGCTCGGGTTAGACCCAATCTGCGACAGTGTGCGTGAGATGACCTTTTTTGAACGAAGGCGTGTTTTATGGTCACCTCATGGCTTCTTGATCTAAAGCCAGTATAACTTTCAACCACAGCTTCCTCTCCGCTGCAGTATCTTTTCTGGCGTATTTTATGCGTTGTTAGTGTAATCTACCACAATTTCACACATATCAAGACACCAGTCCGACCACACTGGCCATACACTGCGGGCATTTTCACTCCTTCCTACCTCGCTATGCATCACGACATTCATTCATCCATTGACAGGGTCAACTGAGCCGACAGCAGCACATAGTCGAGGTCACTCAGCCCTACATCCTGCCCGATGGCAGCCCCTCATTCAAAGACTTCACAGGCTCCCGGAACAATCGGTACACCCACGACAGTGCCGCGAAAAATCGCGTCTACCCTCCCTCGCGCATGCTTCACTTCTGGAACTGCCCTCCCGGCATTAGTTCCTCACAACTTCAGGAGGTCTTTGCCCACGCTGGGGTCTCTGTCCCCAAGTACGTACACAACTATCTCTTCCTCTTCATGCATCTTCATCTCCACTCCCTATTTTCAGCAGTCACCGACTTTTGTGGTCCTTCAATTTGCCTACACCTCTCTCAAACGATATGAAGCCCTGTTTTTTACAAGATAGTCATGTAGAGGATTTTGTTGAGGTCATCATTTCCTATAGATGAGGCCCTTAATTTGACTGCTTTCTTCACACACCTACGCATAGCCACAAACTCGGTTACTCATGCGCTCATATAGCATAAAAATTATGAAGCTTCTATTTTTTTGTATTTTCAGTATTTCATGCCATTTCATTATTGGAGATTCACGAAACACCCAGCTCCTTTTTCCCCCATAACCGTGGTTTAGCATCTTAAACGTTAACGTTTTTGGCACAGCACTGATGTTTGTGCCTAAAGTCGGTGTTCTGCTGCATCACCCATAGGTTTAGTTCAAGCCTAGAATGGTTCAGCTCCGAGTGAATGTTAATTGCTTGACAAACTACCAAAAAGGTTAACTACGCTGGGGGCTGTACCCAAGGCCAGAGAAATCCCTCTTTTCCTCGGAATAGCATAGTCACTGCGCCAACTGGGCTAATACATATTTCAAATCTATCAAAAGAATGTTCACGCGGTTCACTACCTTTTGTGTTAGCTACCAAATAACGGTTTTTTGCGGCAGTATGCCAACATTGGCACCTGTCATTCGATTTGCCCAAGCGTAGACGCTAGGCAGTCTACTAGCATTACTCAGAAAATAGGACTGGCGCAGTGACAGTGAAATTTTTTTTACTTTAATAAGTTGATTTCGTTAATGAGACCATTCATTAGTCTCCCACGTCGTCTGACCAATCGGTTTGCCGTATTTTTCGCTCGTCCGCTCTCATTTGTGCTGTTGTTTGCGCAACGATTCCTATGACGACGGCTCACGCAATTGTGAACTTGTGTGCACAGATGTATCTATGGCTGGTGCCAGTGTAGACAGCTTAATATAACTGCTGGCAACATCACAATATTTAGTTTGGGACGTTGAAGCACAATTATCCCTCGTTCATAGATAGCACTGCCTCCCATTTTTTTTTTTACTTCCTTTTCAACTAACCTCATGCTTACATCTTTGTTACATTTCTATTATTGGCTAGGTGATGGCCTCTCTTCTAGCGAAAGTTTGGTAAGGAATTTTTCGCCTCTCTCTATAGAGAGCAAAATGCGCTGGTTGGACTTTGCGGCCAGATGAATCGATTTATCGTAGCTTTTGCCAGTGACCTCAAGCGACCTAGCTTTTCACACTCATGGTCTTTTTCATTGTCGTTGGCCTTGCTTTTACTGCCCCTTTGGCAATACAAACACGCGACCAACCTTGCTACACCTTAATCTACTCCTGGCTTACCCTCACTCCTTGAAACTATGCATATGCACACTTTTATGGGTGCGTGTGTGTACTTCCTTCAACAAAATACTCCCTTGTTGGAGCGTGTGTACAACCTCAAGTTTGCTTGATTTATTAGGATAGGGCCTTCGAAACCAGCTTCCAGTACCCACAGCTTTCATTTTTCAGTTGCTGTTCCCATACCTCCTGCCCCTTCCAGAAGTGGGGATATGTGCAAGGTCGCGCCGTTAATGTGTTTATGAATCTGCTTTTTGAAAGAAGCTAGCTAAGAGCCTCACCAACATGCTTAACAATAGTTATCCACTCCGTTTGGATGCGTACACACACACACATCCATTCAGCAACGCACAGAGCATACTCTAAAATCTTCTCAAGTGGTTTGTCGGTTGGTTGATTTGTCACACGCAGTCTCTGCTGGTAATTTCTCATTACTTCTCTCATTGTGTGCGGACCAGAACTCACTCACTTTTGCAACGACTTGTGCGCCTTCCAATCGAACGGTTTCCAACTTAAAAGTATCTTTCTCCATCTATAATTTTACGTTGTTTTACTTTCATGTACTTGCTAGTGAATGAGATGATAGCAGTCGGATGCTGCCTATGCTATCCTCTCTACTGAATTTATACTTGCAAACGTTTTAATAGGCGGATTGATATGAAGCTTTCTATTAGGTCACTCCATCCTTCTCTCCTATTTTTTTGGTTGAGGTCTGCAGGGCCTAGTTGGCACCGTCACTTTCGGCACCGCTGTTGTCACTGAATCTCAGTCTCCAAGGTAAACAATTCACAAAGGTCCAATGTTTTGCGCTCTCTTGTGTTTGTGTGTGTAGTTGATAGAAGTCACAGTACGAAACTTCTGGTAAGTTAGTGCCTAATAAGATCGTGGCCAGCCTAGAGCAGCAGCATTTTGTGGTATGGGATTGTGCTGCTGCAGCCAAAATTCCCTGTCACGTACATGTTATGGGGAGGGAAGGCTTAGTAGGATTTTCTGGCAATGATCCTGATGAATCACCAGTTTGGAAAGCCGAATGTCAAACATCAGGTTCGTATGTGATGCGGTTCTGGTCGCACAAGTCTTTACGCTGAAATCATTGTTTTTGTGGGTGTGCGCATGTCAGACGTTGAGAATACTTGAACACGTCTTGTAGTTCCTAAAATTTCTTTTTTTATTGAGCAAATAGTACAATCCCTAGCAAAGTGTGGCAATGACACAGGTAGAAAAATATACGGTCCTTTTGTGGAGCGCTGGGCATGATTCAAATGAAGTTGTCTGTGTATACCAGCACACCTGTATCACTCATATTCCCTCCATCTATGTTGCTCGTTATCGGTTGTGTGAACGTATGAATCATCCCATTCGTTGAAAGATTGTTGGTATCCCGATTCCTCCTTCATTAATGCCTGCACACTAATTTTGATGGCTCTGAGCTATGCAATACAGAGTGTATTCGGCTATTTAGCGTTTGTTTACGTGCCTTTCTCCCTTTGGAGTCATTCTAAGGTCAAGTTGAGATATTATCAGTCGGCAGCAATAGATCACTTGCTTGAGGGCATCACCGAACGGGTTTTTCTATTGCACTTGGGCGTCCTATTTGCATTATTAAATGAAAGTAATAACTTCGAGGTTACCTCCACTTTCCGAAAGTATGCTTTGATCATTTGCTAGGACGCAAGTTTTTTCTCCCTACTTTTATTTTCACCCCTTCAAGCTAACTATCTATGCTGTGCCCTCGCCATTCGCGTGTGTTGACGTTCTCTTCCCCTACCGATGAAGGTCCAAATATGATCTTCGCCCACAAACACCCAATCAGGTAGTGAAACTGAATACGGCTGTGGTTCTGCACGTTTTCCTCTTTTGTAATATATCCTACCTCCAAGTTTGTCCTTGTGTGGCTCTTCTGTACATCTCTGGCGTTCATCTAATCAGTAGCTTAATCATTTAGGCTCACCATCGCAGCCTATTATACCAAATATCGCCTAAACTAGACCTTAAAGGATGCTCAAACGCCTGTGGTAGCGGCAGGTTATTCACTATACTTTACTTAAATGGTGTCAACCTTAAGTAATTAAAAAAAGCGAAGACAGGCTGTGAACAAAAAACATCCTCCCGGTTGCTGACGTTGGTGCCATATTGCTACGAATGCATGCGTTCAACCGCTATTTCATTCAGACATCCAACCACTCCATGTCTTAAATATAGGCTTCTTCAAGGCCGCAGCCTCCTTTGCAAATCGAAAACAACACCGTGCGATGTGGCACGTCCGCATTTTCCTGACATCCCAGGCCTCTAAAGAAAGTGCCAAATTTTCTCTTACGTTTTCTGCATTTATCTATTCTTTAGATTTTATTTGAAGAGAAGACAATTCCTATTGCCTTGAAAGCGGAGAATTTGACAGTTCCACTTCTTTTAGCTGAAGATATAAGGCAAACTGAAGAACAAATGAGGGTCCGAGCATAGTTTCGATAGTAATCCGGTGACATTTGTAATATCTATGCAGCTCTTTGAAGGCACAGCCTTGTACCTATTTTTGCGTCCCCCAATCTACCACACGGTCTGGGCTGAGCCTACTCCACCTTCCAATCGAATCCGCTTTAACCCGACATCTTCAAAAGCTGTGTCCTTCGACCCTGTGATAGGGAATTTAGTGACGATGCGACAGCAGGACGCACCGATTCAACAGCAGTTGCGAGGAGTCGGTTCTGGTGATACGAGAGGCGACTCGTGTTTAGGAATGACCATCGACAGTGGCGGGAGAGATTGAGTCGTGTATTTCAGAATGTTGGCCGGTTAGCCAAGTGGCTAGATGATTTGTGGTGTGGAAGGCAATTTGTGCGCCCTCACGAGTAGACTGGCAATGGCGCGTCAACTTGGTCTAAAGTGCTCTACGCATTGTCGGTTCTTGGGACACGCTTCACGACATCCACAAACCCGTAGACGTGGGACAAACTTTTCATTGTAGGTCGAAGAGGTGAGGTGGGAAGATGTTAAGGAGGAGGAGGAGGAGATCAGACAGTGACGTGTCGTGGCGTGGGAGAAGTTGAAGGGAAGGGGAGGCAGAGTTATTCCTTCGATGGTGGGTGTGTTGGCTTACGCAAGGTGGTGGTGGTGGTGGTAGAAGTTTTGTAGAGGGCACGCAAAACTCTTCTGAGGTCACTGCTTTTACCATCAAGAGCTTCATGACTGCTCCCTTTAGCAACCGTAGTGTGCAAGTGATGCGCAGCTGAAAAGTGTGAAAGATTATTTCCTACTCTTTGGCGTTCGGGTCGAGTCTACGTTGTTCTGGTGTGCCTTTTTTGCCATTTTGTCAGTACAGAATTAGGCAAGGATCACCGCTCTCATTCTGCGCGTCCTTCCTTTTGTTTTTTATCTAGTGTGGTGAGTCTCTTCAAGAAAAACGAGCGTAACTCGTCCGGAGTGCTTGAGTGGAACTCCGTGGAAGAAGCATGTGACGCCCTAATCTTCTGCAATCATACTGTCATCCCTTCGCCTGGTGACCGTGTGCCCTTTGTTATGCGTCTTGCCTTCTCTAGCTCGGGAGCTGCTGAACGCCGCTATTCACGCACTCCCGTTGGCAGCAACTCCTCCTCTAATGGGTGGCATCTTTCCTCCGGTAAAATTCCCAGTGCCGCCGCCAGTGGGTCCGGACCAGCCTCCGCTGGGTCTGCTGCACCCACCGTTGCAGCTGGTATCAACAACAAAGGGGATAACTAAGTATTGGTAGGTTTTGGTTTATTTTATTTTCTACTACTATTGTTTAAGTAGAATCATGTTTTGTGACATTTCTCTCTATTGCCTAACTCCTTTCTTCCCTTCTCCATGCCTGTGTCACCACCTCACCTCACTCGAATAGGCGGCAGTCACCACGCTACTACTACTACTACTACTCAATCTACATCCAACACCACACATCATCTTCATCATCTGCGCGCAAAAAACAGAAACAACTAAACAGCAAATGCAGCAGTGAGCCCACTCTACCTTCACAACATCTGACTGGATTCAAATCACGATTTTAAATGTGTTGTATTGTCGTGTTTTTTTTCAGCGAATATATGTCACTGTGGCCCTCAAGAAAGGGTTGTTTCTGCATGCTTAAAAGTGTCGGGCTATAACCTATTTTAGCACCATTTGTAATCGAGGTTCGCAATATACCCTTCCCACTAGGTGAAAGTGAGGATATTGTTGTCGTGGGGTTTTCTTTAAAATTCGATTTTTTGGCATCTGCAAAATGCCATTAGTCAATCTAGAAATAAATTGCTCTTGTTGATACCACCTTGTCAGGCTTAGATTTTGTGCTTATTCCCTATTCCAGCCTCATCCTTAATTTGCACTAACCGGTCAGGATCGTTGGTAGGCCCGGTACTCAATTTTTTGCAAAAAAAAATTGTTCATTTGAAGCTTGTTTCTTCCTCGAAGCTGTCTTTCTGCTAAGTTTATAAAACAGACGTGTTGTTCTTCGCGTTGCGTGGTATTTATGGCTTCAGGTATGGACTCCCTTTTGTGTAGATGTATGTCCATGCAACTAGTAAGGGATGGGTGGTTTCACCTCTCACGGGGAATGCGTTGCCACTCTCCACTGAAGTCTCACGAAGGGAAGCTGTCGATAGATTGGCTCAGCTGTGCAAGTATGTCATTAGTTGGAAGGTGCGGCGCTTGTTTGTTTACTGCCTCTTTACTGCGACGTGAAGAATTTCCCACATTAACACCCTGGACATAGCTAGAATGTAATTCTTAAGCCAAATCAAAAATGATACAATCTACGTGGTATTGGATGTGAGAAAAAATCCGACTTTAAGAGCTTTGCTGTTAGTCCAAATGTTCTGTTTGTAGAATGACCCAACGCGAGTCATGTATGGAGTTGTTAACCGGATTTCATACGTTTGCTATTTTCTCAACGTATTGTTTGAAGGCATTGGTATGTATGATATGATTAAAGCCTATATATTTATCAAGTTAGCAATTTTAAAGGCATTTCTTCTTGCATCTCCCCATTGAACGGCAGCTAAGGGCGGTGAGAAACACTTATTGGGTGATAGGAGGAAATACGTCTTAAAACGTTAAAGCACAACTGCTCCATTTTCTGTCTTTTTCCCTCCTTTTTGCCTCTAGGAGTACACCTCTCATGTCCTATGTTTGCATCGGAGGGGAGTCGATTGTTCGCATCTTTGTACATATACAAGAATGCCTCATTTCATGCACTGCGGCAGTGACAGAATCGATGTTGATGGAGGCTTTGTTTACACTGTTCTCTCCCCTGCCCCCCTGCCTTCTTCGTGTTATGATTACATTGTCTTCCTTCTCCCTTCCCCCTTTCCTTCCTAACCTTGAGCCCAGTTTGCATTTATTCGGAATCTCTGGTTTTAATAAAGCTAACCAGACCGTCAACTAATTGCCTTCTCGATTTTTGGCGGAAAATTCAGCCTAGATGCGTAAAAGAGTAACCCTAATTTTATGATAACGAATCGGTACGCTAAGGGAGTTCTCTTTTGGCTTTGTCCAACAACAGCTCGTTGTTTTGTCTGGAATGAGGGCTGCTGAAGCCAGATGGGATGCCTACGTGCCTCCTGTGCTATCTACGCCCATCGACTGCAAGGAGAGAGCAACCTTGAAGTTGGTTGTTGGATAAAAATATATGTACGCAGTCTGTTTACACGCGCCATATATGTAATGTGTGGGTGTTCGTTAGTTCGTCAATCTCTCCTTTCTAACAAGCACTGGAAAAATAAACAAAGACCAGAGATATCGTTCGTGGGAAGGTGGGTGGATAAGTGGTTGGTTGGTGCACTCGCGTGTTTTTTGAATGTGGTTAGTGACGTTTTTGAGGAAGTAAAGTAGAGTTGAGGCGAAATGAATGAAAGGCTTGTAGATCAACTTTCAGGAGCTAAGCGTCTTCGTCTTTGTTTTCCCTCCGCTTCTACGACGATCGACCGGTGCTCTCCGTGCGTCTCTGGGTGTCGTCGTTCCTCTTGTCGTTGTTTTGGCAGCAGTGGAAGTGGCCCTCGGTGAGATGGAATGCGATCTGGAGGAGCCCTTTTCAATAGAAGATGTCGAAGTGGAGGAGGAGGAAGAGGAGTAGTCCGTGCTAGAGGCTGTAGACGACGTAGAAGATGAGGAAGCAGAGGATGATGCAGTGGACGAAGAGCGGGAGGAAGCAGTACTGGTAGTGACAGTAGTCACAGAGCTTCCTGAAGTCATACGTAATCGATGGCGCTCCTGCTTCTGCGCTGTTGTCTCCCCCTTTCCGTTAAGACTAGAGGTGGAATTTGGCAGGTCTTTCACCAGAGGAACGCAGGGCTTCCGACGTAGTGCGTTGGGATCCTGTTCAGAGTAAAAAAGCCAGTCAGGCGCTGTGTCATCCTGTGCCGCTTCTGTCGACCTCGTGCCCGTCTCCGTCAAGGCCTCCTCCGTTTTTTTAGCAATGGCGCCAGTCTGTGAGGGTATCGCGGAGCCGCGAGGTGATGGACGCAGGACCATGTAGTAGAGCAGATCTGAGATGCTTACTACACCCTCAACCCGACAGTTCACTTGGTTGTCCACGATTATCAGTCGATGGTACTGCAAGCACAAGAGATGGAAATCTCTTCTATCTGAACACACCCAAGGAAGTACTGGATGGTGCAAAATATTTATCAATACACTGACTACCTGATCAAAGTAGTGGCTACGCTCTACTCGTTAGCACACCAGGAAGGGGGCAAATAATTGTTTCAAATTACAAACTAACTAACTAAGTCTTGGTACTTCCACGAAGTCTATATGAAGTTAATTCTGAGAACATATAAAAAGAAAGTATGGAAAGAAACCGAAGAAATCAATTTACAATGAAGTTGACACCTAATTCCGCCCATCAACGTCTGACAATGGAAAGACGTGTCATCATATCTGACCTTGACATTTTCACCTAGTACATGGAGGCCTAAGGCATAGGGAGTAAATGGAAATTATTTGACTAACGCACGACTTGCGCAAATGGTGAGGTAGCACTTGCGTCTGGTGAGAAAAAAGGTGACTTTTAGGTTTAGTTTAGAGACAGAGAGGCTTCACGCACCCCAGTCCGCATCAATTTGTTCAAAGCAAACTGGATGGTATCCGTTGTACGGCAAATCTCCACATCGAACTTGTTCTGCCCTTCTGGGATGGGTATGACACCACGATGGATTTGCTGAAGTGGACAAAACAGTGTTACTTCACCATCCCAACTTCTTTATTCAACTTTCGAGGCACCAAATTAGCTCTCCGAGTTTAAATTTGGTAACAAGGAGTTTGTTATCAGAAGAGAGTGATAAAAACGTAGTGATCACGAAGACAAGTAGTTCCTTGAATTGGTCGAATCGAATCGCCTAAAAAGGCTCCAGGAAAAGCTCTTCGGGTGATGCTGAGACGGTCAGTGTGCTTTATTGAACCGTCTTAGTATTCTGGACGGGGTTTTGAAGACAAGCAAACTGCCTTCTTAATGCAGTAAAAACAACTCTTTTTTCATATTGTAAGCCCGAGAGAGGCCGAAAATGAGAAAGAGAGGAGGAACAATTCCCCTTCTCCCCTCTCCCCCCTCAGTCAGGCGCATGTCAACCTCTGTGACAGGCGCTTACAGCACCACTGGTCTGCCCACCTGCCTCGAAAGGAGTGGAACACTTTGACTCCAAAAACAACGAAGAAAGTGTAGTTTTCATAACTTCAGTGAGTAAAACATTGAGCAATAAAAGTTCAAAATTTTTTGGTTATACTGAAGCTGATAGCTCACCTTACAGATATCCAAAACGTCTTGAACGGTCATGTCAGGTTTTTTGTGCTTTCCAGCCAGAATAAGTGTCTGTAATGTAGATGCAACATCAAATATGAAGGAAAACTTAATGTCAGTGATTGCTAAAGTACGAACAAATAAACAGGAATGAGTGAAGTTACCAGCAGTTCGCCAAGCTAAAACACAGGCGTGAAAAGTTTTGCCAGGCATAATAAAAAAAAATGTACAAGAATAAATGATAGTGACAAGGTCCACTCTCGAACTTCAAATCTAGAAATGTCCAAACTGTAATTTGAATGAGGCATAGGATACCGGGAGGCCTTAGCATTTATTTACTGTTAACCCTCCAATTGTGTATGCGATAGGAGGCTCAGGCTAGCTAACAAACAAACGAGTAGCTCTGGCGCTAGGCATCGAAGGAAGAAAATTATTAAATAAACTGGCTAATTGAGCGACTTGAATAAATTTCAGTAGGCCGAGTAGCCACTTCTGAGTGAAGTTTACGCAATCGAACGTCCAAAAGGCTATTTTGTTTCACATTTTTAACTTCCACTGCTCATGCTTACTTCGCCATCTCGAGTACATTCCAGTCTTTAGGCGAGCAATTATCTCTGCTAATTCATGATTAATGCGAATACGTCTGCTCATTCTGATCAGCTTGAATGCATAAAAGGGAGTGATGGCTCTCAGTTCCTCTTTGCATCGACAGGGACTTCAAACAAAATACGGAATCATTCGGGGTATGCTACTCGTCCTATGAAAAAAATTGTTAAGTAAAAGTGTTGCAGTGTAAACATTTTAGCCTTAAAAGATTTCAATGTATCGAAAAGACAAGTCTGTCCGTCTATCTGTTGCGCATGACCACAGAACCTTCGCACATACTTCGAGACAACTAATACTAGAAGCAGCTTCGAAGTCGCAGATTTCGCGCTAAGTAAAGGCGATTTTCCTGGAAGGCGCTGATTTTAATTTTGATGCATCATGACACTTACGATAACGTCAAATTTGGCAAAGATGTCAACGAGACGACGGTTTATCAAGGAGTCGACAACGGGTAGTACGGAGACGCGCTCATCCTCGAAGAATGCCAGTGCATCAACCAACTTTGTGGAGGGCAGCACCAGTGCTAGGTTCTCATACGTGCCCACTCGTGCCTCCTTCAGAGGCGCCTACAACAAATGGGAGGCAAAAAAGTGTGTGATTTGGAGGTTAATTTCTCGAGAATGCTGTCTATCTTTCATTAAATTTAGGAATTACGCCTGAGATGGTACAATCAGGATAACGTTCAAGATATTATGAGCTATTGAAAAATCGGAAATTTATGGAGTAGCATAGTGGGTTGTGATGACAAAAGCACTGCCATTTGCTTTCTTCCACGTCCTGTACCTCTGCCCCTCTATTCATGAATGAGCGCTAAATTCACGTTCAAGTGACTTCGCTTCTCTAGAGTAAGGATACATAAGTTTATCAGACTTTCAGTGAAAGTGTAAATAGTGTAGGGGAATGGAAAACTCCTTGTGTCTTTAATGAAAGATTTTCAACGCTTATCATAATTGAAACAGGAAAAAATGGGACTGTTGAGACTTGTGATGATGTTTAGCATCTCATCGCAGTTGACATTCAAGAGGGGCTTAGGGACCAGAACCCGCCTATTCAATGCCAAGAGTGTTTGGAAACGGCTGAAACGCTTTTTTTTCTCTACCAGCATTATTGAGAAGAATAATGCAATACTTGAAGGACTTCAATGACATTTTAAAATTAGTAATCGGTACCGCGATTCACTACTAAACCGTCCTCTCGTACTAACGGTGTAATTCAAGGCAGTGTTCATGCCAATCTTCACCTTAACTCCCGAGATCAAAGTTATTGCGTGCTCTCAGGTTGATTTCACGGCCATTAAGACCCAGGAAGAGTTGCTAAGCCTATTGCCTATTCCCTTGTGCAAAATTAATGCTTATTTTGTTGCGTCTTGTCTTGGCTTAAGTAGGTTGCATAAGCACCCAAAGGAGTGGGGTTTTTAATGTCGCTAGGGCCCTAAACTAAAAATACTGTCATGCATGCACAAACCCACACGCACACACACACATGAATGACAGTTGTGACACTGGTTTTGTTCGGGTTAATGCTTGTCGTCTCAACGAAGAACTCAACATTAACTATTCTTTCAAAAGACAAGGTGGCTAGTTTTTTGGTAATCGGTTCATCAGAAGGGCCACTTGCAGCAGTGCAGGCCAGGGTACAGGTGCGTCCTGATACCCAAAAGCTGGGACATGCAGGAAGGGAAGGGCGCTCCCTTCATCCACACGCATCTGTCGAATTGCCTTTCATCGTCTCCCGCCAAGCATCACAATGGCAATTAATGACTCCGCTCTTGTGTCCGGCTACCAATGGAATGCGCCTTTTAGTCAATTAGCCTTCGCTTTTACCAAAATTGGTGCAGCCCAAAGTGATGTTTGTAAGGTAAGTCAGAAATTCAAAAGAATGGACAGTGAGATTATAATACGGTACTAATAATAGATAAAAGCAGCACTATAGAACACCTTGAATGAGGCAAGTTTTTGGAGCGCAAATGCAAATTTTAAGTTGATCAGAGTCTAAAAGGACTCCATCGCACGCTGTGTACTTTCGGTGTCATCAATTTCATTTTTAATGCCTCCATTTGACTCGTTCTGCATTCAAACTCATCGTGAAAGTGAAGACGAATCAGCATCGCCGCTGTCGACACCGTCCCTCACACAGCTTTCCCCTTGTTTTCCTTAAGGTGGTGGTAGCTGAGGTAACAAAGATCATAAGTACCAAACCTGGCTTAGAGACTTTTCAGGACCTGAAGAAAGTTTTGCATAGTGTTGTGATGTTAAAGGCGTTTGCAGATCATAAAATGTACGGTATCAAAACAATACACAACATTTCATTTTGGTGTATTTTAAACAGCTTATGGAGCAGTTACAGAATCAGGCTTAGGTTAAGCATTCCAGCATAGGAAATGTCATCCGTCTTCTATAACTACAATTTCTCCAATCACACCAGCTCATAGAATTATAAAAAAAACTGGTGCCATCAAAAGCGATAATAGAAAATGGCAGAGGAAACCTACATCCCAGCTTTCCTCAAAAGAGACTGTCCTCATTCACTCAACGTTATTAAATCTGCAATTTACAAAGCATTACAGCGGTCCACATAAAGACGGTTTTCTGCCACCAAGTAAAGAGAGAAGCGTTTAACGGCCTTACATCAAGTAATCACCATACCAGTCCGAGTAGATCAACTCTTGATATTATAAGAAGACAGATGGTGTTTAGAATTGTCGCATTTTGTTTGACTGTGCTCACTGTTGCCGCCTTTGTTAATTTTGTCAGAAAGTTGATGGCACCATTTGGGATGCTACTGCTTGTACAAAGCATTTCCTCCGTACCAAATCAAATCCTAAAGGGATGCTGTGGAAGGTGCTTTTATAAAGGCCAACATAGAAGCACAAATCACAATTGTCAATGGTTCTTCAACAGTGGGAACACTTCTACCAAGTTAATCCCTGGCTGTTGGATCAACTACGTCTAATATAAATCGCCTTTGGAACGAATCGAGCTTCTTGTAAGGCTAACTTTTCGGAATTCTGTTAGCTCAGAACCGCATTGTCATTTGCAACGGTGAAAAGTTTCCCGCACAGTCAGAAAGATGAGTAGTCAACAAAGCTTACCTGAAGATATTTGGGTCTGGGCAGATCGATCTGTTTCTTATAAAGGTAGGCAAGGAGAGATCGGTGAGTGAGCACGAAAAGGGGGTTGCCGGTTCCTCCGACTGGATCGTCGAAGACAGGCAAGCGGTGTATTTTGCAATGAGCGAGGAGACGTAGTGCAGAATAGAGTGATTCTTCGGGATTGATAATGGTTAGGCCGCCCATCCGGTGGTACTTTAGACGCACGCTGCACTTGCCTCCCATGCGGCGACACTCACAGCCTCGCGCCGATTGCTGCTTGTGCTCTTGATGGTGATGATTGGAGTGAGGATGTGGGTTAATTCGAGTGTGATTCGATTCTCCTAACTGAGAAGGTGCTGATGCAACCGAGTTGGAGTCTTCGCCGTCGTCATCGGCAGTATCGCTGGCACTGCTGCTACTACAACTACTACCACCGCTTGAGCAGCTTCCATCATCTTTCCCTTCATCCTCCCCATGCTCTTCCTCAACCTCCTCATCCTCTTCATGAATAGTGTCGTGCTGGTCCAGGCCAGAGGATTTCCGATTCCTTGTGCAGGCACGAACTTCTAGATAAAAAATTCAAAGATTTAGTAAATTCAAATATTAATAGCAGCACAAAAACTACAAACCAATGAAATTTGTATCTGAGGTAAATTGGAAAACTTTCTCCCATTATATGAAACCACAACAACAGGCATAGACCAAAAAGCACTTCTTAAAGCTAATGTACTGATACTCTGCCACATCGCCTATTTGCACGACAATTTCCACCTTTCTTCGGAAGTGACAGTCTGCTTGTGTGACCTAAGGCTATTCATGTACTTTTACACTTCTGCCTTGAGGTGTTTGAGCAAACCATGACAACAGTAACAACCACTTCCGGCCTTCTGTTGCCTCTACGCATTGGCAAAAGCGATTTCCGTTGTCCGCCAGAAGATCACAGAGTGAAATCAACTACTACAGCTGAAATATTTTGTGACTTTAAAGTGAGACTAACATTTATACTGTTTTCTGGTAAATGTTTGACGCTAGTGGCAACCACATCAAAGTATGTGAGTTTTAGCAACGGGACCACCTATGTGTAAAGGCAAATATGAACTTCGGAATGTTAATTATTCGGTCATATCATCACTTTTTCTTCGCAGTTTTCTAATATGATTATTCGAATTCTGGCTCCCTTTGGGAGGTATCTCAGACTGCACTAATGATAACTCCCTGAAAAGGTAAAAGTAAAATTGCAAAAAAAAGTACATTGGGTGTGATTTGATGTGCAATAAAAGTGCTAACAAAGGTGGGACCAAGACGGCAATGGTGGCTCTTCGTACGCTGGCTCAAGAGTCAAGAAGTGAATGCACCACGAAGGTTTCACCGGTTGTTTCACCTCAAAGTTAAGCATAGGAAAACAGGAAAATTGAAAGCAGATTTGGACTTCACATACTCCGAGAATGCGAATTGGATTTTGTACTAAAGAGAGCGAACTAGGAATCATTGAACGAAAATATTTTGTGGTATAAAAGAATTAAAGGGTGCCTTTGAGTCATGCATGAAATGCAAACAACCTCAAAGGTACGAAAGCGTGGTTAAGGAAAACATCGAGTTTAAGTTATCGTACCGCATTTGCACCAAACTTCACGCAAGTGAGGGACCATTCCATTTCACCTATTTAATGTGCATTCGCCTTCTCTCTCAGTGTAGGCAAGCAGTGCACAGCATTGATTGGTGTCTTCAAGAAGTATCGCCACAGTATACCAAAGTTTGCATCAAATCCAACCTGCATCATTATGGGACAGCTTTTAACCGGTTAACTTATTTTTCAAGTAAATCACCAAATTGTCGGTGTGCACATCTCTTTGTAACAAAAGGTAATTTTTTTTCTCTCTCTCTCTCTCCTTCACAAGTGAACCGAATTGCGATCGAATTCGACGGACGCTGATCTTGCTCACGGCACTTACCTTTCCACTTTTTGATAGAAGTTGATTCCAAGTCCTCGGCTGCAAGTTTTTCACCCTCTCCGGTAGAGTTACAAATCTGGCGTCGCCATGTGTAGGTGAGCATTTCGAGGAAGTCATTTATGGTGAGGACTCCCGAGAACGTCTGCGTCTCTGAATCCCACACCGGCGCAGCTCGAATACCGTTCACGCAGAGTGCCCGAAACGCCTTCCCCACCTTCAGAACAAGGCAAAATGAGCTTGCACGAGGAAAAAAGGTAGACTTTATGAGTCCTTATTGATAGAGTGGAAATACTATTGTCACATAGGATAAAATAAAGATGAGAGCCCCTCGAGAGCCCTTTCAGTTTTAATTAAATGATCGCGATAATTTTCAAACACGTTGACCTAACGATAGGTGGCAATAAGCGCTTCAAATGAGAGTTCAGAGCTGCCGTCTTTACGCATAGTAGGCAATGAGTAATAGTGACAGTACTCGTTGGAGGAAGGGCAAAGAACCTTCAACTGTTTTTTGTCAAATGCTCGCAACGTTGCTCGATTAGTCAAGATAACAAGCAATCTATAGATTTCGTGCCTCTGATTACTTGTAGAAGACTTCAAATCCTGCCACACAAACACAGCAGTGAAGCATTTGATTAATATTTTGCAAAAGGTCAATCTCACGTCCCATGTCAATGACGAGTTCATTGGTGATGGTTCTTATCCCATCACCGTCCCAATTACTTCACTTTCACCTTTGATTCTAAATGTGTTGTCAGCACGCAATTTAGCGTGGTGTTTGACAAAATGCATAAAAGAGGGGTTTTTCTATGAGAAAGGTGAATGCAATCAGTGACCAAGACGAACACTCGCCAATTATTTTTGCGAGTGTAGAGCACAACCAGTATCAGGAAAGGAAGCCTATTCCTCACTGGTTAAACTACACAGAAACATTTCTTCAAGCATTAAGCAAAAGTAGTGGAAAGTGTACAACTGCAATAAGAGGACGTGCTAATTGGTTAGTTGGATTCGCACTACTATGAATGCCTTCTTTTCCATTCTCTCCACAAATTTGAAAGTCCCTGTGTTTGTTGGCAACTCATAGTTTTCAGCTTAGAGATAAATCTGTTATGCTGGATGAGTGGGATAATCGCAGTGTTAATTGTGACCCCTGCGAGTTGAAGTTTGGAAGATAATTGCTCAGACATCAGCTGCTTGTAATTTTTGTCACCTCAAACAGCCATTGGTGATCGGTGTGATGACCGAAGTAGGGAGAAACCCGATTTGAAAAGTTTGCAAGAGCCTACCGGAAGCATGCTGTCCAAGGTGACCAACTTTGCGCTCTCCGGCATCAATTCGTAGCACGTAGTATGCCGAAAGAGCACCGTGTAGACCTCAGATTCATCTGCGGGGAGAGAAAAGCAGAAAAGCATTTGTTTTATGTTTAGTCATGGCGACGACATATTTCCACACAGGAGATCATGGAAGTTCCACAGCTCCGACCTGATACCGAGTCAACAATCACAGAAAAAAGGGGAATTGAGAGGAGATGGTAAGGCGAAAAAAGGAAAAGGGCTCGGATTCGGAAGACCTCGACGATCGCTACTTACTTAGTCCCTTGCCACGAGTTTGGAGGAATTCGTATGGTGACTGAAAGATAAAAATTGTTGCGTAAGCTAAGTTCGAAGCAGCCACTTAACAAGGTGCGTGATTTGTTGTGATTGAGGAAGTAGATTATAATGAAACTTATTCAGTCTCGGATTTCATATGAAGATGTTTATTCAGGTCATGACTCAAATATTTTGTCGAAAAGTTGGATGTCTATTTAGGACAGGTATAACAACTGTATGGTTTACATGGTCAATCCTGCCCCACAGTTAAAACTTGTGTGTACACGCCCACCTGTCTTGCTCTCTACGCATGCCTGCGGTGCCGCAATCCGAGATGCGGGTGAAGCTGTCTGGGCAAATGGCAACCGTGCTGTATCACATGATACCCTCAGACACCGGAGATGGGAGGAGAAGGCGATAGATGTGGAATGCACCAGCGCTAATCTGTTGCCGTGACTCCCTTCCGACAAGGCTAATGTTGTGATGGAAGAGTGAATAGTGGGGCGTAGTGGTGTCTGATTTTTTGGTTGGCGAACGAAGGCCACTTGACACCAAAGCTAATGTGTAAATAGGCAGCGGATAGGTCTGGGACTAGAATATGACATTCATTTATTCACCTCCTTCCAATTTTGCAAAACAAGCTACTTGAATAGGACTGTTTGTTTGCAAAACGCCACTGTTTTAGTTTATGGTACCAAACAAAGTTCTACAAAAAACCTTTCTCTCACGGCTGTGTTACACAACGGCATCACAACGCATCCATGTTTCAAAGTTTCCACGTACCCACAAATTACGGTACCTAAACCACAATTCCAAAGGTGACTTTGCGTCTCACTACCTCATCAAACTAACTCCGAGCAGAGTTCCCTTCAGATCCCTAAATTTGTAGTCAAATTGTAAATCAAAAGGCCAACAGATTGGTTTATCAAAAATAAACATTTAAACAACATTTTAATTGTGCCTCTTAAGTATCGTTTTTCGTCTACTCTGAACTTGACAGAAAAAGGAGACTGCAGAGATTTGTATGCGACCAGATTGAAAGACAGCTATCTGGCAGGTTAACTTGAACTAAGGAAAACAGAGTTAAGCAGTTAAAAGCGAAAAAAAAAACATTTTTATTTTACTGCGCAGAAAAGCTGCCGTATAGCTTTTAGTGACTAAAAATTCTCCCATTGAATTTTCATTGGTTGCTTTCATCTGGTAATCCTACGGCGCAAGTGTGATATGCTCAGTGAGACCGAGAGCGTCTAGACCGCCACCCTCGTCGCCTCGTGGTACGGCGTGTTGAGGAAGCAATATTATGGAGAATTGTAGAGGTTGGATTTGCCCGGGATGAAGCCATTAATGAGGTGTAACTGAGGCTTCATTATGGAGAGAGGGGCGAGGGAGTGCAGTTATGTGTTACAAGGCCCTGCCAATGGGCGCGCAATAGCATGGGATGCAGAGGAAAGGCACACTACGTGATGGGAATGGCACCTTACAGGGTGGAAAATGGAGAGCATTAACACAATGCATGTTATCCTTGTACTACTTTTCATCAACTTGGAAGCTTATTTTGGAACGCTAAAGGCAAGCATTACTACTGCTGCGAATAATACTGAGACACAGGCATGCAAAGTTAGTTTTCTTCGTAAAACACTTGTGTATAAGTCTCTAGTATGACAATCTAAGGCCAACAGGAGCTTTTTCATGACGAAGAATTTCACTATTTTTACCCTTTCTGTTAGGCAGACAGTTAATCGAAAGAATTCTTGCAAAAAAATACCGTAGCCAGAGGTGGTACTCCATTTTGTGCACTGGAGGGCGATATGGTAAAATTTTCACTTAAAGGTCCATTGTTGTCAGCAAGGCTTTGGTTGACTCGTGCTTTAACCGTGACACTATCAAGCTGGAATGATGAGCACTGTGGTTGAACTCCAAGAGGCAGGAGTCGACGTTTGGACCATCACTCTTGATTCAATCTGTATGTGCCATTTTGTCGAGCTGAGGGCACATAGTAGATTATCGTTGCTAAAACTACTAAAGAAAACTGCGGCGCCATGTGCGCATGGGGTCGGTAGAGAAAGTGTGGAGAACTTCAGCCCCAAATTCGCGTTACGCGAAGTCGTGCGGTTATTTAACGCCACATCAGACCTCTACAGATACTTTACCCCGACCCGGTTCGCATAGACAAAAAAAGAGCGTTTCATAATCACCAAAAACTTCTTCCTCAGGTGTGGAAAAGCGGATCTACTTTGGACCACAGAAATTGAAATTGTCCAGTGACACTTTGAACTCCGTTAACATGATCATCCGTTTGCTACAACTAAAAGCTAAATTTCGCACAATCAAATTCAGCTTGCAAACCTCCAAATATTATCGCCACACAAATTGAGCACTTTGAAGAGGCTACGAATGGGCGCTCCTTCTCTTCCCAGCTTAAAAATGAAAGGTTTTCAGTGGCTTTAGAGACCCTGAAAACAACCAGAATAATAGGTAGTGTTCCGATTTTTGATAAGATTAGTCTTAAAAACTCTATCTTTCTCCTTTTCCAAAAAGGATGGATAAAAATTTCACCCACCCTTGAGGTAGATTTTACGCTGATTTGGAGGGTGTTGATGTAAAAAGTATCCCAATCAAATGGAACTTAGAAGTGTTGTTGACATGGCTCACTCTGAATGGCGAGGCCTTGGTGAACATCAGGTAGCGCCTATTCTCCGTGACTCTCGTTAGCGTCATGGGACTGACAGCGCACCTATCGTGACTATGGTGACCACGATGGTGATTGTGGTGTCTGTGATGATGGCCGTAGCTGTGGTGGCTGCTTCCATGACTACTGCTGCCAGAGAGTGACCTTGAAAAGGCACTGAGCAAGAGTTCCTCCGACTTGGCTCCGCCCTGGGGGAGAACGCGCGGAATTATGTCAAGTTGAGGCCCTAAAAACAACCAAATTAAGGAATTAACTTTGGCCTCTCCACTTCACACACAACCACAAAGTGTCAGCAGTTGCAGAATGCACCATCACAACCGCTCCTGCTTTTGTCACTATTTCGAGCTGTGGAATGTACATAAAATGACAAATCCTGTTATCAAGGTAGTGCATGTCCTTTTCACTTAGGAAAAGTTAGTTACATTCGCTGGGATTGCAGTCGCTTAAAGACAGACTCTACCAAACTTTTAGCACATGTGACAAGCACATGGCACCGATACTATCGCAATGCTCAAGGTAGAAGCCAGTTATCTACAACTACATTTTTTTGTCTTGTGGTTCAATCTATTATGAAGGATAAGAAGATGATGATGATTATGATGGTAGCGGAAAACGCAAACACAACCATAGTTGTCAAAGAGAGAAGATCTATGGGCATCCAAACGATGCATCCAAATGCGCAGCATTGGATTTCTATGTGAAAGGAATTTTTGGCATCAGTTCCGTATTCTCTTCCAAATCAATCCAAGAATTTCCAGGAATTTGCTTTAAAATGGATAATTAGGAGCTCTGAACAATAGTAAAAAATCTAAATTGCCCCAAGCCAATAAAAAGGTTCCATCAAATGAGTTCTTCGGCTGTCAGAGAGTGAAGTGGAACAATTTTTTGTAGTAAAAATAGCAAAATGGTTTCATTAACATCTTAATTCCCCTTGAGATAACGCTGGTGAGCGAAAAACTCTCAAAATTAGAAATAAGGAATTGGCAAAATCAAGTTTAGCGATCGAGTTTGAATGGCTATAAAAGTGTCGAGTCAAAGCTACTGATTTGTGACATCTAATTCAAAAGATCTCTTCATCATTTGGCTGCCACAGTGGTTTCATGTAAATCCTCACAATCCGCCTAAATTAATACTCTTGCCAACTGTATGTGCTTAGGGGTTCCAAAGCCCTCTACACCACAGCAAGGCGGAGGAGGTAGGCGACAAACGCGTCCAACTACCATCCACTTCAATTTGGACTCAGGCCATGCTACTGTTTAGACAACACTAATCGAGACGACATATAATACTGAAGTATCAAGCTTAAGTCCAATTACTCCCTCCTTCTCACAGAGAGCCCCAAACACGGTATCAGTGGGAAAGAGAGGGAGAAGAAGGTAAGGTAAGGGGGAGGCAACTTAACACCCACCTCCAACACTACAGCAGGAAGGCATTTGGCTTTAGCGTAAACAGTTCACAACGCTCAACCTCACGCCCCCGCGTCAGTTACGATTCTAATCGTTGAGGCTCTCACCTCGCCATCGTCAAGGTTACCACCGTGAACACGCAGTCAATTAGTTGCCCTATTAGCACTTAGCCTAAGTTGTTGCGGGACGAGGTTGTGCAAGGGGCGAGTCTCTCTGTGGTAACGTGAAAACATTCACCAAAACGAATGTTTCTCATTTCAAAAGTCTGCAAAGACTAACTGTTCAGACAAGCCTTTACTTTTTAATGTCGCAGAGGATTTGAAAACCTCTCAGACCTAGAACAATGGCGAGAAAACCGTCAGCGTTATTTTAATTCATGACAAAAGTTGGTAGCAAAGCAGTGGTCTCTATAGCCTTATGACGAGATAAGGATGATCCTTGTAATCAGCGTAGCTCCAGAGTCGTAGACGGCTCTGGTGTTTTAAAGCAGTTTTGAGGACATTGGCTGGGTCTATGAAAGAAACCTTTTTAGGCTCGAAAATAAAGTCGCAAGAGTGATGCGGACGATATGATTCGCTAATTGTACCAAACGCTAAGATGATAACGGAGGAAAGATTCACTCAACTTCCTGACTGATAGGCATCGTATTTAGCAAATTCTAAAATTACTTTGCGCCTGTGGCAATTTCTATGAAAGTGAGTGATTGTAAAGCCACTAATCACGAATGCACAATTTTGACCGCTAAAAGGGCATGGATGCAGATCCTGTGCCTAAGCATGATGCTACGTCAAAATTATTGATGACGCCATGATAACAAAAGAGCTGCCAACACCACCAACAAAACGGAAGTAAATGTCAGGCAGAAAATGCCATTTTTTTCAGTAAAATGGAAACATAACATCCAGCTGTTGCAAAACCAAGAAAGAGGCGTTTGATGCAAGGTGTTAGTTGCATCCCAGATATCGCTCCTTTTGTAAATAATAAAAACGCAGTTATTCTGATGTCTTCCTGGGTTGTAAGCTCTCCTTTTGATCTTTTACGATGTAGCATAGAAACGAGAATGATTACAGAATGACCTTGTAAACAGGCTTTGTCTCATCTTGACCTGCATTTTTTCCACTTTCCTGCAAGCAGATTACAGGACGAAAGGTTGGCAGCCTCCACACCTTATTAACACTGTGTTGGGTCCAGCTAGTAAGGCAAACCTGATCCCAAACCGATTGGAACATTCTTTACTAGGGGGAAAGGAAGTATGCGAGAGACTGCTGCATAATTGGCAGCCACTTGCTAGGTAGGAAACCAACCGATTATATTTAACCACCTGAATTAAAATTAGAGAGGATCTAAAGTCCATTGATCTCTACAGATCAGAGCCCTTTGTGCCTACAAGTCTGCGACGCATTGACGAAATTCAGACAATTTTAAGCTTGACTATTTCTACCCAATGTCTCTGCAAACTAGTCAATGCCGAGTCGACATTTTCCTTATGTCATCGTAACGCAGTACATCGAAGACTTACAGTCCGCTATGCCAGTTATCAAAATCTTATCTAAAACTCAGCATTACAAATCGGGATGTAACCACGTGTTTCGTCTTGATGCCCTAAGCCTAACTTGCATGAGGGGCTTCAGTATGGATAAAGCAAATAGCTTTAAAAATAAAACATAAGAACCACTTCTCTGCATGGAGAAAAAGCCATGTACCAGACTGAATGGGGGATGAACTCCACGGAGTGCCACAGCTAAAATAACGCCACAATGCCATGGAACGCGAATAGAATGAAGAACAGTGTAAATACACGCACTCCACCCTCCCTTCCCTTCCTCCACCATCAACAACAAGCTGATTACAAATCAGAAGATTGGGACTTTTCTCCTTCAAATGCCATTCCACATGCATGGTAGAAAGGAGGGAGAGAAGAAGCAAAAGTGCAATGCGTCCCAATCAAATTAGTGAATGAGGCCAACTCACCCGTTTTGCCCTTCCGCCCGTAATAGTTGGAGGGTACACTCTGAAAAGGAAATGATTAAGGATGTTTTAAAGTTCCACTTAGGCCTTATTTGTCAAAGTAATTTCGTGGCTGTTGTAATTTTACACATTTTGATGTTTAATGTCTTACTTTAAGCAGAGCAGTTGTTAATGTGACAAAAGAATTTGCATAGCAGACTCCTAGATCGCTCATGTTTATTCTCCTTATAATTTCAAGAGCTTCTACCCTCAAAGCAAAAAGTAATAAGAGTCGGGATCTAGGAACTGTAAGTTTAAACTTGACACCCAATCTTATATCCCTTCAGCATCCGTGTAGACGTTGGGAGTGTAAAGACGTTTCAATACCTCTTTTGGATGTAAAGTTTGGCTTCAAATATTCCGAAAAATGACCCCAATTTTGAAGTCATACGAGATGCATGGTGAAATTTATAACTGATCCAAAGAGGAAACCTTATAGATGATCGGAAGTCTTGAACTACCGACATCTATGTTGTCTTTACTATCACTGCAAAATTGACCTCAGATCAGCGTTTGTCTTGCCCTTTCAATTTCGTCCCTAATGAGCTAACGCTCTACCCCGATAACAGGGCACAAAAAATTAGACAGACGGTGGACGGTCAAGTAAAGCGAAAATACCAACGCGCGTCACACGCCCCTAAAGAGCAGTGTTTTAGAAACACAGGAGAAAGTCGTTCAAAAAAATTCGGTAGCAGCTTTGTGTGCTTTGCACCTTGAGGAGTAAACATTTGCTTAAGTTTAGGTAATGTTCTTTGCTAGTTTGAAAATACTAATAATGGCTCGTCAATAGCGAGGTTAACGTGTTATGAGACCTTAGCTTACCCTTCGTGGGACATTCTTAAGTCGAGATTGTGTAAATTCCAGTGAACTCTGAGGGAGCTCCCTCGGCAGTTTTGAAGGATCAGGCAGTTCTCCAGCCTCATAACCCTGTTTCTTTTGCCCTGGTGATAGTTTCAACAATTTCCGCACCATTTTATGCGTTGATTTAAGGCGTTTCTTTGAAGCCGGGAAGGAGCCCATACCATCACTGTCATTGACGGAGGTAAGAGAGATCGAGGGATAACATTGTCTATTCATGGGTGAAGAAGACATCCCTGAGGTGCCTGGGCTCATCTCACCCACTCCTATAGATCCATCGTCCTTTGCCCGCCGCGTGTTTTGGAGAAGGGCTCTCGCTACCGCTGAGCTCGTCCCCGCCGTGATGGTGTGTGCGTGGGGTGGCAATCCGGCGCCCAATTTGACCATCGGTGGCTTTAGCTTGTTTGGTGACTCACCTAGCGGATAGGCGCCGCGACTGCTGCTGCTGCTGCCACCCTGGTGATGGTTTTGCTGCTGTTCAGAGTGGGTCCGCAGACGGGAGGAACGAAGGTTCTCCACGAAGAACTGGCGGAAGCGGGAGTGCATAGGGCGATTGGGTCCGCTGCTAGTCGGCCGACTGACATCAAAACGACGAGCTCCAGGTGCAGTGAGGAGAACGCCCTTGCCGCCACTTACAGTCCAATAGTGATTCTCAGGAGGGCCTGCTATGCTATTTGACTCGTTTTCCATCCTTGTATCGTCTAGTAAGGGTCCCTCTTCGTTGGTATTGGAGACAGTGGCCTTGAGCACCACAAATCGGCCCACGTGGTGCGATTTGGGGTCAGTAGAGTTGGGTAAATTTGCAGGAGCCAGAGATCGTAAAGGTGTTACTTCCTGCAATTCAAGCAGAAGAACGTGATCAGAAATCGTGACAAATCGAGCAAGTTGGACCTTATGACAGCGTGCCTTTAAATGTCCACGGAAATCAAGAAGCCCAAGTTTCCACAAAATCGCCTTTAACCGTGATTAGGTAGCTAACTTGGGGTAATGAGTAGAGGATGCGTCTATGAAAAGACCTGTCCTATTCTCCTACTCCGTTCGTCATTCACCCCGTGACTTGGTATGCACGCGTAATAAATGCCCGTGATGAGTCATCCCCAACTTTCGGAGTGGAGACACAATTTTCAAAAATATAGTAATGGCCTTTGTTTGTTGATTCAACAAATCGACGACCGGCGATTGCTATTATAACTGAACGTAAAACTCCACTCAAAAAAAGGGGATTGTGTCACACCATTTGCTTCAGTAGAAGTGAGGTAAACCCATACTCATTAACCAGTCTCCAACGTAGTTATCAACGAAAGTGACGCATTGTTATAAAGTGCGCGACCACCAAATACCTATTAGCTTGTCTTATGCAAAAGGGAAGCAGCTGAAGTCAAAGTGGCTAACAGTAATCTTGCACTACTTGTAATCCTGCAAGAAGGAAAATGGAAACGCGGTGGGATCAAAATTGCGCACGGGCAAAAATAATTGTTAACCTCGAACAGGAAAACAAATTCACGCATAGAATTGGGTCAGAAGATGTCGTAATATAACGTTGATAGATAGTGTTAGGATTACCTGATCTCTGGATGTAAGTGCTAAATCATAGGAATCCCACTAGCTGTCGAATTAGGGACAGCCGACTCAGCAGAGGTCAGGTGGTGCGAGTGAGGTGCGTAATACGCCCCAGTGCGTGCGCACGCTCCAATGTCAGCACCGAATAAGGATATAAATAGCGAGGTAGGAAAGGCGTGGAGGAGGCGATTCATTTCTCTTGCGCTTTGAGCGACTCTGACCAATAGTACGCACGCACGCGTCCATAGAAGGTAGCGCGTGCGTGCGTACGTGTATCCCAGTCATGGGCACGTGGGCGGCGAACAGTTTGCGATCAATGACTACTCCCACCAATCAACGACTTCTGCGGGACAGACAGCGCAATCATTGGCTAATGCCAGAAAATTACGCTGGGATAACCTCATATCAAGGTGATTTGAATTCGCCGTTTTACTTGGGCTTAAACAAGCTCGTTAACAATGAAAGGGAGGAAAACATCTAACTGAAGGAGAAAACAACTAGCAAAACTAATGGTGATGGAGAAGAAATGGTAGAAACGATCTTAGACAGCTCTTAAACACCCGTATACATTTCGTTTCGTCACAAGTGAGTAAAATTATAACTAATTGGAAAATTAAAGTTGGAAGGTAGTTCGTGCAGTTTTATTAATTTCGATCTCAAGTAGTAGAGAGCTTAGGCTTAATGTAGTTGTGCTAAATACAGCTACTAATATTAGATAAGTACCAACTTTCCTGGTGGCGCACTTATTGACGGTGGGAACCGGAAGGAACCAGTGAGCGACTTCATGCGATTTAAAACGCTCAGAAATAGAGGAAAATGTACATGTGATCTTATAATATATATATGAGTGAAATAAAATGGCCAAATGCGAAGCTGAGCAAACATTTAAGTGCGATTGAAAGCTATAAAATTTTTATCCAAAGAGCGTGCTTGTGTTTGCGAGTAAAGCCTAACCTAAGTACAAACTTGAGAGGAACTCTATCTTGGAATGTTAATCACGATTAGTTGCGATAAATTACATGAATTTGTGAATTCAGTTTTGCTGAGCTGTAGCCGAGCTGAGCCAAATATTTTGGTAAACTTAGGGCCAATTAACCTAATGAAATGCTTTTCTTACATAATGCACGGCTAGCATCTATTTGTTGGCTGTGACTTTGAAGAGGACAGAGCTGAGTGGAAAAAGCGATGGCAAACGTCGAGACAGCTAATGATAAGGGAGAGGAAAGAAAGTAACCATATTCTTAAATATACAGACGATTGCTGGAAATGTAGAGCTTGGTAGCTGTCAACTACTTGAACAACCAAATATAGATTAAAGCATGTTACGCTAAAATTATTTGTTGAATTATCCCAAAATCAAAATGCAAAGAACAGCATTAGTACAGCTGCCTGGTGTTGTGGGCGTGAAGAACTTTAGTGATTGATCTGCTATACTAGTGTCTTAGTCTTGTTTTTTACGTAAGTAACTCCTACTTCTCTTTTCTTCGCTACTTGAATATGCCATAAGCTCCGTACATAAGACAGTGGCGCAGGTAAGTGGATGAATTGTTCAAAATAAAGTGGCAAAAAAACATGCGAAAGTATGTAGGAAACGGCACTGCTGCACCAACGAGGTGCATCAACGGAGTTGGACAATTGTTGACGGTTTCATTGTTCAACCAGCTTAGTGGGTTCAGTCAACATTCGGTACGCACTAGGGGGATGGACTGGAGGACCGATCAGTAATCCACCGTTCAAGTGTTCTACATCCTGATATTGACACATACTTAAGTCAATGACAGAAAAGCGTCAGTTCAAAGTTTGCTCAGGGCATTAAGTCGATGCCTTAACACTCCTTGAAAACCTTGAAAATACTTCCCCTTTATAACTTAGCTTATAGCAATATTTGCACCCAAGTGTCAAGTAAAGGTGGAGGGGCAATTAAAAGGTAAATAACAATATAAAGAAGTATAGACTCAATTCATCGACCCCATATGTACTGTTTTATTTTGAGTACTTGGCAGAACTTGTACTGAGCCTCATCGTGCATTTTCATAATTTGATGCCTTAATATCCCCAAATAGATGACAGGATGGGGACCCTAGTTTCCGCTTATCGATGTGAGGACTGACGTAAGTTGAGGCAGTTGCCAACTGTAGACCATTTTGATGAAAAAGTCAACTCATGTAGCTTCACCCTCCTAGACACCTTTACACCTTTTGACAAACCCAGCAACCGTTATTTTCCACTTTGTAATATTTTTACTTGCTCACACAAGCCTATGCTGTGGTGAACTAAAAGAAGCCTTAAAAAACTCTTGTCAGGTAAATCGATTGGAGCAAAGTGTAATATAATGTGAAATGAAGTAAAAAAATGAGGGATTACACAAAAAGGATGTTGAGATTTCAAATGATCACATGAAAGTTGGGTCAAATTCCAACTTTGTTCTCACATTTCGTATTAGCCACTTTTCTTTTCGTCAAATTGCACTCATTATTACACAAATATGCATCGCATGTACTTTTACAAGTACTTTCGTGAAGAGGCGAGGTGATGGCCTCCTGGCATGCCCCTAGATGCCACACAAAAGGTTAAAACCGACATGGTCCTTCAAAGGGTCTGACCGTTTACATAAGGAATGTGCTGAGTGAGCGAATTGGGAAAAGCCCTCCTCCTACAATGCTGTTGAGACGAGATAATCGACCGACATTTACCGAAAATCGATAACAATTAAAGCAAATTGATGCAGGGTCGATGTTTCCACAAGGCACTTTACCGCACCACCGTGACGAGCCAGGTTGCAGCAATGACGTCTTAAGCCAATTTGGTCTGATGGAGGTGTGAGTGTCATCTCCCCACCGAAGAGGCATCTTCCCGGCGATGGAGAAAGTATTGTATAGAGTGGAAAAACTGATGCTGTAAAAATAAAATTCGCACCACTGATCCAAAGTTATGTACAAATGAATCGCAAATAATACTGTTTGAGGTAATCGAGGAAGCTTAACTTTACATCTATCTCTTGAGAAGGAGCCTCAGACTGGTGATCGTGCCTTGACCCAAGCCAAATTTTGAGAGGGGGAAACTTGTAGGCACACATCGGACTCAGGCTAAAAATAGCTTGATTACCGATACTAGTAAACCGAGGCACGGATAAATGTCTCGTCATGCATACGAAAAGAGTTGGCCTGAGGTATGGACTCCACCAACTTCGATCAAGTTAAAACGTCTTCAACGCTATTTCCATCTCACCATTCGGTCTATATTTAGGAGTGGTAGGAACTCCCACGTTTCATTTACAAATCTCTTGACAGGCTTTAGCAAACTACTACCCTCAACCTTGACAACACGCTTCTTCAAAAGGAATGCAAAAGACGTAGCTCTAGGAGGCAATGCATTCCCATTAATTATGTCTAAAAAGCATTTATAGGACACATTATCGGTGGTAGATATGTATGCATATTCGGAAGGGGGCAATCTTTTCATTTGTTTTATCCGAAAGACGACTTAAGTGGAAATTTTTGGCATAGAAAGTAATTCCCATGTCATCCAACCAGGGACTAATCATTCCCTCACATCTATCTTTGAATAATGCAACCCTACTCCGGAAGATCATAAACTCGTTTTCAACTCAGTATTTGAAAGGGGGTCTTAAGGAAATTGCCTACATCACTTGCCAAGAAAGGCAGAACCATCATCATTTCACTATTAAGTCAAGTGCAAGGCGATTCGGTAAAGGTGGTGATATATTAAATTTTTTGAAGGAATTTCTTTACAAAAAAAATGGAACTTGTGGGGCGTAATTTAATCTATGCAGCGAGCAATACAGAATGCCGAAGGAGACCTTTGCACAATGCACAACTGACGTCCGTCTAATGGAAATTCGTACCAGCAAAACAGCGTTTACATGGCGGCAAAAAGAAAATTAATTTTAGTTGACTTGCAAGCGTTTACAAAAAGTACACCAAATCCTGATTTACTGCCTTGTTTGAAGCCAACAAAGTCGCAGTGTCTTCACACTAAACGGAAATCAGTAACTTATAGGCAATTAAAAGGGACGATACTTCTTCCCTAATCTCTTCAACACTCATTCCATGCATCAGACACTGTCAAAAATACTGCCCCATTGCTTGCTAAATAGACATATCAGATCTTAACTATTGACGCGAGATAAAATATGAGTGAGAGTAGTAAACTTGAGGACGGAGTTGAATAGGCCACAGCTCTACTCACATCCGTTTGAATCCTCAACGAAGACGATGTGAGAGTCACCCCACCGCTGACCGTTGCCTCGTAGCTTGAGGCAGATTTCAGGCTAACTCCACTGGAGGTTGAGTGTCGCTTTGAAATCCAGTGCATATCATTGAGATTGAAGCCCTTCGCCACTCGACGGATTTTTCTCCCAAGGGCATGCCTGCTCCCCGACCCGAAGACCTCCAAGTGATTGCAATCAGAGTGCTGGAACACTACATCCATGCACTTATTCTGATCTTCCATGAACCTTCCAAGGGAAATCGATCTTCGCAAAGGAAAATCCATAATATCATCATCCTCGGATGCTTTTACTGCCTCCACTACATGCGCTTTTGAGGTAGTATTGATACTATGACGCGTAAATAATCGACTCCGCCCCCTTCCTTGGTTGTGGTTCGTGGTATCATAGTCCTCCTGTTTCCCCACCAAAAAGTGTACACTCTTGACAGGTTTTACGGGACTGGGTAGACCAAGAAGTAATCCCGTGTGATGGGTAGTAAGAGCCACATGACCTGAGAACTCTTCCGTCTTGTGCGTGGAGTGTTGATAGTGGCCGTGATTGTGGTGTTCAAGGAATTTCTCGTGAATGGGTCCAATAGAGGATCTGTGTCGTTTCAAGGCACCGAGGAGGAGGTGCATGCCGAAGGAGTGTCGGCGCGAGGTGGATTGATTACGCTCGTTTGCAGGGGTAGGGGCGCCCATAGAGTGGGAGAGACTATTCACCAGCGCCGACTCGACATCCCTCTTACTTACCGCTCGATCGTCAAAGGATATGAGCATTCGAATGACACAAATGCTGCCTTCCGACTTGATCTTGCGAATGCCATTCCCGTGGCAGTGAGTGCCGTTCATAGTACTCCGGCCTATGTGCACGCATCAAACCCGGGGCGATTGTGTACTTCGTGGTGCCGACGGGCGCGTGTGTTTGTGTGTGCCTTACGATGCTGCAAGCCTTAGCCGCAGTTGCACGCGCTGATTGGCTGTGAGGTGTAGTGGAGTAAATAATGGGCTAAACCAATGGACGTCGGAGTACACAGGCAGTGTTTGCAAAACCAAATAACGACCCCCTCCTTCGCCTCCTTCTTCTTTCCTCACACACCTAACTCACTACAAGACAAAAGTCGTTCCAGAGGGCTTCTTTCGCTTCTAAGGAAACTAAATTCGAGGGCCTTTTTCACAATGTTTATGTGCATTATTTATGTTTTTCACATGTAAGCTTGGGGGACGAGAAACTGCCACCATCCATTAAGGCGACGAATCATAGAAGTGTAGCGTCCATAATGGTATCATTGCAAGATGTTAAGAGCTCTATCAGTCCTTTCAGACACACCAGCTCCAAGGTCAATCTTTGCTTGACCATTTTCAAGGTCAACAAAACAGTTTTGTAGGAAATGCTTTTTTACTTAACTTTTACAAAAAGAGCGACAAATAGAAATGCATACAGCAAGCCAGCATGAGGATGTGGAAGTGAGGCAACTAATTCACCTCTAAATCACCTATACACACGAGAGACGAGCTGCTCGCATTGGGCAGGCAACATTGACGTCAGTAAATTATTGAGTTATTGTGCGCGCTCGCGTCACCATCCAAGTCTCCAGGAGGGGATAATAGTGGCTGAAAATGGACTGCAATAAAGAATCGCAGGGGCCACATACTCTTCTTTGCAGAGTAGTAGCTATGCTTATCGTGCGAGCGTTGATGAGGCATGAACACTGCAGACTGGTTTTCAAGAGGTGATTATTTGTTTGTGTTACTTTGTTTTGAATGAGTGGCTGGTGTGCTTTTCCCTACTGTTGACAAGTTCGACAGAGACACTCGACCTTGATTTGCACCACATGTCTCGGGGTAATTATTAAGGGCATCAACAGGCCAGACTATGGTAGGGGCCCATTGTCATGGTTAAGGACATAACTGTTGATAGTACGGCCTGTCTACTAAGAGACCTCAATTAAATGTGCCTATTGTGGTACTGACGCCGAGCGGTCCATAAATAAGAGTGAAAAAGCCTTCACAGCACCGACGATTAACAGGGGTGATTACGGGACAGGCACTTGATCAACACCAAAGAAAGCAGCAGTTCCTACGTTGTTATGTAAAGAAACGTGTCTCTTTTACGTTTCCAGTAGATCGCATTATATTTATCATGCAAAGGTCCAATGGACGTTGGAAATGCCATCGGCACCCTCCACATACGAAAGGATGCCTTCTTGCTTCATTCTCAGCAAAAGACTCCACACTTCATCGCTGCACCGCGGTGAACGCCTTGTGTCGTTTTGACTGGGTGTCATAAACGCCCTTATGGGGAAGTTTATGATCTGCAGGCTGGCCAATTGATGATGGAGTGACAGAACCCAAGGGAAAGCCGCCACATTGAGTCTAAACCTTGCTATTCGTAAAATCCCTTTCTTCATTTATGGTGAATGACAAATGAACGATGAGGAGGTACAGTTTGTCATATTAAATCGGTGAAAGTTGCCAAAATTAGTTTTAGCCCTTTTTAGTAATCACCGCAAAGTGCTCACCCGCGATAGCATTCTTCCACATAGTCGGTGGACTTGGTGACAATAACTGCATTTGCATGAACAAAAATAAAGTTTCAAAATTGTTTTATAGTTCAGTTTGTCCATATTTGGGAAATATTAGTAAATTACTGGCACAATGTTTCCCCAAAGCTTCTAATTTTGTGTGGGATATTTTTATTTTGCAAAAGGGGCACCCTGGCATCACCATTTCTAAACTCCAAGGTACCACGTCCTTGGCGTCGCTTCAATGGATTCTGTCTTCACCACTGACTGATCACGAGGTCCATCTCATTTACGTCACAAGAATGGCTAAAAATGCCAGCAATCTCCGCGTTTTAGCTCACTAAACGATCAACCTAGGCGGATGGTGAGGAATCGCCAAAAGTGTTTTCCATGTTGTAAACATTACTGCACTAATGACAAAAGCTGGCAAGTAATGCGTAATTTGTATCTCACCATCCAGGCCACGCCATGCACCGACTTTATTTATGTGACTGCCCGCTGCGTAAACCGAAGAGGATTCGTGAATTACTGTTTGTTGGATTTTGTTAACATGTTTAGCCAGAAGTGGGTTCATATAGGAGGTGAGAATGGGTGGTTAGGGGCTGCTTTTGAGCAGAAAGTCAAGCCGCTTAGATGGTGACCCCCTAAGGGTTGGAGGGCGAGAAGTGCGCCAAGATCAAGGCGCCTGCACGAAATGACAAATGCGCCTGCCAACCCTTTCAAAACTGAGTCGTCTGAATTACGTAGCGTTGCAATACTGCAATCCCTTAGCAGGAGAAGGAAAATTGTTTCATATAACTGGACAGATTTAAAGGGAAGGAGGTATGATGGGAAGCAAAATAGATACTCAACTCACAGGAGGCGATGGAAAGGGCTTTACACAGGTGCAACTTGTTGTGATAAAAATGGACACAGGAGACGTGATTTTTAACCATCTGGGCCTTTAAGACCAACGAAGAAGCTGATGATAAGAACATTAAAAGCGCCTCAGATAGAACCAAACGCCTGCCGCTCATTTTTCAGGTAAAAAAAATTAGGCGGTACACCATAACTTCTACCAGCTACAAAGAGAGAGGAATCGCCGAGGCAATGAAAGGTGATCAAAAGGGTTGCGCGATTTTGGAGACTCGTCCAATGTACTCTATTGCCTACAGCACTTGTAAACAAAACTTTTTTAAGCCTGGAAAGTTATCAAGCTGTCGATACCGTTTTTTTTTGTGTTCCCCAATCTACCACACGGTCTGGGCTGAGCCTACTCCACCTTCCAATCGAATCCGCTTTAACCCGACATCTTCAAAAGCTGTGTCCTTCGACCCTGTGATAGGGAATTTAGTGACGATGCGACAGCAGGACGCACCGATTCAACAGCAGTTGCGAGGAGTCGGTTCTGGTGATACGAGAGGCGACTCGTGTTTAGGAATGACCATCGACAGTGGCGGGAGAGATTGAGTCGTGTATTTCAGAATGTTGGCCGGTTAGCCAAGTGGCTAGATGATTTGTGGTGTGGAAGGCAATTTGTGCGCCCTCACGAGTAGACTGGCAATGGCGCGTCAACTTGGTCTAAAGTGCTCTACGCATTGTCGGTTCTTGGGACACGCTTCACGACATCCACAAACCCGTAGACGTGGGACAAACTTTTCATTGTAGGTCGAAGAGGTGAGGTGGGAAGATGTTAAGGAGGAGGAGGAGGAGATCAGACAGTGACGTGTCGTGGCGTGGGAGAAGTTGAAGGGAAGGGGAGGCAGAGTTGTTCCTTCGATGGTGAGTGTGTTGGCTTACGTAAGGTGGTGGTGGTGGTGGTGGTAGAAGTTTTGTAGAGGGCACACAAAACTCTTCCAACGTTTGATTGCGTGCAAAACAGAAGAAGATGAGAAGTGAAGGTGGAGACGCCTGAGACAAGGGGGTGTTTATGGGGATGGGGGTAGCATCGAAGAAGTGTTGGGCATGGGAGGGCATTAAAGTGCAGTAGCGCTTATCTACGAAAATCATTCTGAGATCACTACTTTTATTACAAGGAGCTGTAGGACTGTTTTTTTTGTCGCAGGGAAGAATTACGACTCTTCAATGCTACAGGGAATGCTCTGCACCGCTGACTTTATGAGTTGTTAGCGGTGCATGCCGAAGGGTATTTCTACTCTTTACTAGGAGGAAGGCCGTTTCATGGAGCTTTGGCTTACCCTTAAATAATGAAAATACATACGAATCTGTTAAAAAATTACAAAAAATTTGGAAGTCGGCTATTAAACCTGCTAATTAAATGGTCTTGGTTTGTTAATAAAATGTCGTTGGTAGGAATGTGTGGTGTTGTCTAAGGGTGCTTCAAAAACATCTCGTCAATAAAACACACCCACGCATCCATTAGGCGAGAGTTTGAAATTAGAAGAAGGTTGCAAGGAAACGTATCGCCTTGGTGACACACAAGACGCGAAATTTTCATTGTTGAGAGATTTCCCAAACTTTCGAGGTCATTTAGCCGGAAGAGAAAATGCAAAAATTCATCGTCGCAACGATCAAAGGAGCTTTACATTCATTAATCTTGATAAGAGTAAACCTTCAAGCTTTTCATTGGCTGTGGAATCTAGAAGTCGTGATCACACGTCCCCTTTCCCTCTCCCTCCTCCCTCATACACACACACACGTGAGCATCCCCTAGGATCGCTAAAATTGCAAGACTTCACTTAATCCATTTCCAGTGGCCTACATGCAACCATGATCTCGTGATGACCTCACAACACGTGTGAACAGCAAAGGTCATGCAGTGTCTTGTGCCGTGAAATACCGAATCACTCAATCCCGTAAAACACGAATGGTACCAATCCATTGTCGAGTTTACTCGCTCTAACAGCAAGACAGAAAATTTTCATCTTTTTATCAGTCTTCCATGGACTTACACCATCCTCCTCGAGTTCGGGGCTAGAGGGAGCCAAAGAGCCGCGTCTCTCCCGCCTTTTCTGTCTATACTCCTTCAAGTGACAGTGCTTCTTCCTATCACCTTCCTCACCAGACGTCCAGTTTTCCTCATAGAAGTCTTTTACTGCCACTCCTGAAGTGACACTGGGGAGATTGGTCGTTCTTGGTCTCCACCCATCTGCTGAGGTGTCAACATGGGTGTTACTCTGCTCGTAAAGTTGGTGGTAAGGTTGGCTGGTAGGTCGCAGAGGTCCGTGTTGCGACGAACGGGACATCTGTTCGCTTGGATAGCGTACGCGTAGGGTCGTCGGTGCGGGGACTTCCTCTGAGGTGCGTCTAACTGAGAGTGGACGTTGAGGCGAAAGTCGGTTGAAATCATACGATTCGCTCAATATGTGCCGTCTCGACGGTGAACCGTGAAGACTCACTGCTGCTGGTGGTGGAACCACGAGACGAGGCAGCCGTTCAGGTGGTGAAGGAGTTTGTTCCGACGAAATGTGACGTACTTTGCTCATTGCTGGATCCGACACACTCACACACAGACGTGGCGTGTGGGTATACGGGTGAAGGGTGTGTGCGCGTGCATTCTGGCGCTTTTATAGGCCTGTTTTGCTGCTCATTGGTCGCGTTGCTGTACTGAGTTCAAGCCAGGGCCCTACTGGTGCAGACTGCTCAGCTGTTCGTTTATCATCCAATTGATTTGCACCCTCTCTCTCAGCACCCTAACCGCTTTTCACAGAAAGCATAACGAGACCTCGGTGCCTTATCAGCCAACCAATCAATCAGTCAATCAACTAATTAACAACTTCCCAACACTTGGTTTGGCACTAGTGAATTCCCTTGTCAAACAAATGCAACATGTGGTCTCTTCTCGTGAGGATGAACTTTTCTGGACGGATTACATTGACTTCCATCGTGTTCTAATACATAAATAATCACACTCTAAGGTTGCTGTACGAAGGCACATTTACGGACGGGTAAATGATTCCGCCATTCCTTGTTGTGTCTAATATGAAAAAGGGAAAAAGAAAATTTATATCTGAGCGCCAATCAAATAAGAGAAAAGTTGGGACAACTCATCTGTGAGATGAGAACAGGGAACGAGGGGAAGACAGAGTGACATGCTGTGCCATAACAGGGGTTGGCAACACCTTTCCAAGCCATAGGGCTAGCGGTGGTAGTCAGCGGAGGCCTGACTGTGCCGATGCACCGCCTTCATTAACCGCTAGGTCAACATTGTGACTCACCTGTGTGCAGTGCCTTGCTGCCTCTGAGATAATTCAATTAACCACCTGAATTAGAGGAGTGCTTGCACCAAGTAAGATACACAAATATTCTCATCGTCAGAAGTGACTAGTGTCATGGCAATAGTTTCCCATGACGAATTACAGCGATTTGATTGTGAGACACATGAAAGAGAGGCAGAAACTATTTCACTTAAAGCAGTAGTGCAACTTCCAACCCCATTCGGGGATTAAAAAGTCCAACTCGTGCGAAAACAGATTTCGCAATTTGCACGTGAGGACTTCTGCTCACGCGATTCACGGCTTCCAACCACACAGCATCAACATTCAGGTTTATGGGATGTGCCACCTCTGCTGATCATAAAAGAAGCCACTGTCCAAACAATGGTGGAGAATCATCTCGACACAAAATCAAACCAAGATTAGGAGATAATAGTTTGATTTAGTAGAGCTGTTATCAAACAAATTATTGACGGCAGTAGGCAACACGCAAGCGTAGAAGTAGTTTACGAACCAATCAATCCCACCATAAATTAGAAATAATACAGTTTAAATTAAGTGGAAAAGCTAAGCCGGTGAAGATTGCATGATCAGAGCAGTACACTTTGTGCTTCATTTGCCGTTTTTTTGAGAATAGAAATTTCATTTGATTCGTTGGAAGGGTCTGTTGATCCACTCCACAACATCTCAGTTGCGCAAACACCTCCTCGTGCTGATTAGGCTTGGGAGGGAGGGGAATCGCCACTGGACACTGCTTCGACAGGTAAAAATTGTGGCACAATTGCAAAACGTTTGTAAAAATAAACTGCATTTGATTTGCTGGAACCCAATTAGAAGGGACTGAGGTGTTGAGATTGCAAAAAAGTAATGCTGATGTTAACTAAATATCTTGAGTAAAAATTGCTGATTTTTTCAGTGCGAAAGTGAACTCGGTACCGCCCTTCTGCCACCCTCTGATGGGCAGACGCGATCACACTAAACTAAAAAAAAAACAGTATTAAAGCAGTGCCGTTGATAAACGATGTTGATTTGCGTGGAAATGAACCGGGGCAGACACCATTGGGGTCAAATGACAACGATGGTGTTAGCTGGCAAGTCACATGCCAACTGTGCTTGACACCAGTGGTGCATCTCGTGTGAATGGAGTCATGAGTAAACTTTGACTTCATAAATTAAGACTTTTATACCACTTTTCAATGGGAATAGGCAAATTGTGCACCAGTTCCGCCTCAAAGGGCGTCCGTGGTGCCTTTCTTTCCTTATCCCTTAATGGGCCAACCGAAATGACTGTGAATGAGATCTTCATCTGACACACTGTGGACGAACGACACCGAATTGCCCTAAAAGCATAGTTTCAACGCTTTAAAGTTCAGCAATGGCACAAAGCAATAATTTATAACAATTATAAGAATCTCCTGATAAGAATGAAAATGCATGCTCAATTTTGGACATGCACTCCGCTTTCACATTCAACGACATTTCACAACAAAATTACGAATGAAAGGATGTGACGGGGTTGACAGGTCTTCCAACATCCTGACAAAGCTAATCAAAGCGCCTCTCTTTGAAGCGTCCCTTTGTGGACTCAAGAAAAGCATCCAATCTTTCACATTTCAATCTTTTCTTAAACAAGTCGAAGTATAACTCTACTTTTCCATTTCTAGGCTAACGGTTTTATTTTAATTTTATCGTTTTTCGTGGCCCATTAGTGCTGCGTGGTGGAAATTTGATATGACATTTTTTCTCCCTTTAGGCAAAACTAAAGAAGAACTTTGTTTATGACCTCTCATATGTTCCTCATTCCCACTCCTGTCAGTAGTGCCACTTTAGGGCTTTGTACGCGCTTTGGACACGCTTCCCTTTCTTTGAGCAAACGTTATTGTGGCGGTGCCTTTTGCGTCGATCGCGCCAGTTGCAGTGGAGGCTCACCGCCCGCACCCAGACCCTGTCCCATCGCAGCCAAGTCATTAACAAAATACGTTATTAAAGTTTTGAGTTGGAGGCCAAATTAACTTCAAACGAATTTTACTCGACAAATAAGGTGGAAGAGGAGTAATGATAAATAAGAGGTGAGTGCGTAGCAGTAACGGGGCGTTCGCTTAACACTAATCACCCTTTCCTTTTGTCATTATTTTAAAGACTGTCACTTGAGAGCTCAAAATCCGGTCCTATCGCATTTAGTCGAAAGTACAGCGGACCAGTGCAAATTTGAGAAGTCATTTGCGTGTGGTGCTTGTAAGGAATGCATTAGCAGACCCGGACCCCATTCCCGTCAATTTAGCAAGATGCAAAACGATATGAAAGTGAAGATAATAAGGAGAATGAGAACCACGTCGGAGATCGCCTAAGCACAACTCCTCATACCCAAAAAATGTTTGGTTTGGTTACGATTTAAAACTAGGTGCATTTTCTGTTATGAAAAATCAGTCAGTCCTTGTCCCAAGTTACTCCTCTGTTAGGTTCCACCGTTCGGATGTAGAAGAGCGGTGATTAAGCGTGATGGGAATTCGGAGAAAAGAACTTCAACTATAATGAGAGATTGAGACTATTATGTATAAGTTTTCATACCAAAGTTTGATTATTACTACGAACCGAACGCAGGGTTCTGATGCAGTGCTGTGTCCTCCTCGATGAGTGGGCAATGGTGGAGTGACGAGTTGCTCCAAACTGACTTTCTGGCTAGGGTTGGACTGGTGACGCAGACGCTTTGCCCTTTGAAGTAGGCGATGCACCAGTCGTTACTCTAGGCAATAGCGATAAAGGGCAAATAAGGGTTAAAATCAGTCTTGTAAATAAGATCACACAATGTGGCTACCACTCAGACATTTAGGTTCATTTACATGTTTCGCTCTGAGAGTAAAGGAAAAACGAAAGACCACCAATTAGGACCGAAATAAGTATGGTCTCTAATGGCCGACTTTTCCACCCTCAAAATCTGCTTGTTTACGAGTTGGCCTTAAAAAGGCTGCTTTTAAGCTTTGTAGGTTGCTATTTTCGCTCCTTTCCGCCACTAGCAACCCATTTTCTACCTATGCGATGCCAATCATTGCCAGGCTGAAGACAATGGTAACAAAACAACCTTTAAGAGGGAGAAGTAATCTTCTTAAAAATGCAAATTTTTCGCTTTGATTAGGTAATAAATGTGGAAAAAGACGGTTCAATTTGATTTGAACAGACGTGGGGTTGACATTATGAGGAGGGTTTCACAGAGCAGCTGAGAATGGCTTCAATCCACCACAAGTGGTTTCAACTTGCTTACATTTGAGGGAGCAGAGGTGATTCGGAAGAATGTGTAAGGTAGTGAACCATTTGACGGACACAATCTGATTGGCTGATTAAGGAAAAGGCCGCGAGGGCATCGACCTACTACACGCACGCAATGGCTGAGGCAGCAGACAAACGCGCATGCACGGGGCACCTGCTCCTACCTTCGAACTGAGCAACCGTTCTCTGCAAAATTGTAAGGAAACCAAATTTAGATGATAACGAAGTTTTTTTAAAAAAAGATGGCAGAGTTAATAACAATTAACACTCCACAAATTGTTGACCCCAAATGAACCTGTTTCGAGAGGAGAACTGCACACACTACTTAAGCGCACTTATAAGTAGCCGATAATCTGAACTATGACAGGACCATAATCGTATTTTAAGATATTTATCAGCCGTAGAACACAAATGTTTCGTATTATTGCTTTTAAACCCGTGCGGGCGGTAGCCTTTTGCTCGTCAAGGTTTTTATTATTTTCACTCAAGGCATTCATCATTTGATCCAAATTTTTGTGACACAAATCATAGAAATTTGTTGGTATTGTTTAAGGCTTTGGCTAATGAGGTGTTCACACAGGGAAGGTAAAACTGAAGGATACACGTCATTCCAATGGAAAATAATTCGATTGAGAAATGTAACTTTCAGTGACGATTTTAAAGCTGAAACGTGGTTTTCCCATGCAGAAGAATCGAATTTGGCTCAATGTGGTGCATTATGGACTGAGTGGATAAACAGTAAACTGTTTACGACTTCATTTGCCATTGCATCGGTTCTTTTGTTTGCCCTTAAGTTGACTCTCTCGACAGAACTACACAGCTCTACCTACGTTTCCAGGCTTAGTGGCCACCTTTGCACCTCATTAACTAGTCCGAAACCTGACTCAGTTTAATGTTTATTTCAACGATCTTAGGGGTAATTGAAATTAAGGTTAGACAATAATGATGTAGGAACGTGGAATGTGTTTATAAAAAGGAAGTACGAGTTGAGAGGGTTCTGTGCCACAGGTTCGAGGGGTCTAGTTGAACGGCTACTAGGTGGTAGTCATTCCAGCGGAACCCTAATGTTTGTCACAGCAAGACAAAATGTTGTTCCCACCTTCGTGAAAGGCACTCAGTTGCATTCAGGTAGACAATATTAATTTTTCATACGGCGGTTAATTTTGTGGTTTGGCTCAAAGAATAGCATTTAGGTCATTTCAAAAAGGCTCAAAATGTCCTTCTTTGACTATCGGGACTGAAAGGTGTTTTAAAAATAACTTGGGCACATCCTTCTAAATAGATTGTAGCCGTAAGAAAGAGAACTTGTGCTTACTTTGAAATTTCCTACTCTGATCTATGTGTCACCGCCGCCTTCTTAACACGAGAAGAACCAATTGTTGCCCATCGCCTTCTTACTTTCGAATCCACACCAAGAAAATGCCCTTTCTAGGTATAATGGTGACGCCGATGCATCAACTAAGGGTGTGGTCTTCGCAATCTTAAAAGGGGTGTGACAGGAGCCAACACCTAACAGAATACCCGAGACCTCACTACTTCGACTCTTTTGCCGCGAATGAAGGCTTTTTGAAAACGTATTTATGTACATTCCTTACCCTTTGATAGCCACCAAGTATGGCGTGTGAACTGTTGTAGAAGCTTGATGACACAGTTCCATGTGGCAATTGGGTGTACCACAGGGCAGAATTGCAGCAGCACCTCGTCAGGGCTGTGGGGGTAGATGAATTAAGCCTTGAAGTCTAGACGTCTGACGGTCGTGCTGAGGAAGAAACAGTATATTCCTTTCGGGATGTAGTGGGTTCCAAAGAACTCCAAACCATTAGTCTTCAAAACTGAATTTGGGAAGCAAACTCAGGTGCGATTGATCCCACAGTCACTTAAAAGAACGCCTTGCAAAATGGGAGCCTTTCAAAGTTATTAGTAGCACTTCAAATTCCTTAATTCAATGACATTGCATACTCGACATTATGCGTACCCCTTTAGTCTTCGGGAGGCAGTTCAACCCAGAAACAGAATTAAAATTAATTGGTGGATCTAGAAGGTAGATACTGGAAGGGATCCATTTCAAGTGAAGATGGTAATGCACAAGATCCTAATTTAAAGCCTGTCTAGAGGGGACATCTACCACCTTACGGATAGGACGGTACCAATCACCTCCTTCTTCGGTCCAAAGACACGTCACGATTCTTTTATTCCAGTTATTTGAAACTAGTTAATAGAAGTCAAATCACTGCGATTTTATCCCTTGAGACATGACTGCCGTTTGTCAACGGCCTGCACTCGACCATAAAATCCAGTTTGAGCATCCAGAGTTGACAGCCCTGACACATACCCACTGCAAAGTGTCACAAACTCAACCGTATTAGGGGAGTTGGAATGTGGCATCAGAAAGCCAATTTGTGGTGGCTGTGATGTCACCTTAGTGACAAGGATAACACGTCTACTCCACAGACCATCACTCAACTCCGGCATAAGACCAAGTGGGATGTTACATGGGCTTCGAACCAGGATAGCACTCTCTTTGCTTATCCTTTTTAAAAAGAATAGCGACAAGATGACCTTCTGTTACGGAGACGACCACCTACTTATGCAGTACGTGATGGCATCAACCATTCGTGGTCGGTCCTCCCCTCTCCCTTTCACACGCATTTTGAGTAGGCGCGCATTGATGTGTGCGTGTGTGTGTGTGTTAGCTACATTCTCAAAAATAATCTCTTCCAGTCCCACCGCCGATTCACTCGCATGACCCTACTTACTGCGCACATAACGCATCACCTCGTTTGGGTCAAGGCAGCATGCACTAGCCCAATGTCAACAATGGCATTTTCCCATGCCCAACTTTGATCGCTCGAGTCGTGTCAAAAGAGGAATGTGAGGCCTTGATGTGGAAAAAATGGATGCATTTTGCTCTATGGTAAGGCGAAGACTCACAGAACACTCCCCCCTCTAACAACTCAGTAAATACCAACGGTGTGGTTTCGGTGGCTACTATCAGACAACAGTAGCGGTCCAGGATAGTAGGCATTGCCATTAGATCCTCTTTGCTCCACCTCAGGACCACTGGTTAACTAAAGGGATGCGAAAAGCTGAATACATAAACTACGTAAAATCGGTTCGGAGTTCAGTTGTGAGAAGGACTAATCGCAACAATGTCTTCCTCACATTCTTTCTCACCACACATTGTGTCCACATCGTAATGCCTAAATGCCGCCCTACCTGAGTCTAAAATGTAGGCCTGGTTTGTCAGTACGAGTAACAAACTTTGGTCATCCCGCTTCACCACCATCACCACCGTGTCGGCCGATTTGGTTTCATCACGCATAATTACATGATCCGAGGGTCTCAGCTCTCCTACTCCAACTATCTCAGTGCACCCCTCAACTCCTTCACATTGTCATGGTATCCAGAACTAACAGATTTGTCGAAATCGTCCACCTTCCTGTTGATGAATTGTTACGGGACGAGCAATGTTAATAAGGCAACTAGATCCAGGCATCTTACAAATTTACTGTGTGTTCACAGAATTGACCGTGACGGTGGTGAGGTGAGGGCCACAACGGTTAGAATCGTAACCAAAACCAAATGTCTTCCTGCTGTAGTGTCAAGTTGCTCCCTCCCTTCCTCTCCCACCTTCTTATCCCTCTCTTTCTCACTGGTACCATGTTTGAGGCCCTCTGTGAGAGAGGAGGGAGGGTTGTTGAAGTTAAACTTGCCGCCCATTGCCGAGATAGACTATATTCATATGGTTTAGCCCGTGGAATTGAAAGTTCACCACATCCCCTGTTTTTCGTCTATGTTCCCCTCATTGAGGCTGACGCCCGTCTAGAACCGTAAAACTGACGATTTGATTGAGCAACAACAGCGATAACAAACTCAACACCTCTTCGAAATTCATAATTTACCAATGAATTAAAATGTTTAAATTCTAGAGCTGTGAATCAACGTCAAACCCCACGACTCCAAAAAAAATAACACGATGACGAGGTAAAAAGCAAATTTCGGAAGTTTAAAGGAATATTGCGTAACTCATTGTCAGAGTAACTTCCACATTACTAAAGTTAAGCTTTCAGGAACTTTGTCTTCAACACATGGAGCTCAGCTTTTACTCTCTCGGTGGCCCTTACTTCAGTAACCTCATTCACGCGAGTCACCATCATGGTGTCATGCCTTTCCACTAGCATAACAAAGGCTTGCTCCGACCCACCAGGTTTTCAGAGAAAAGGAAGAAAACCAGCGGCAACAACTTCTAAGTGGCAAACAATATGAGCCACAAAATCCATCAGGGGTAGGTAAACCGTCGCCTTAGAGACTAGCAGTTACCAACAAAGCCCTATAATTGCGAAGTGTCTCCTGTGGCGATCACGATATATTTAGTGGGAATCGAGAAGTATTTAATTAGTACTGGATTTAACGGTGCGTTCTCGTTTAAAAGCCTATTTTGGCATTATGAGAAGAGTTGCAAGGCGAGAGGATGGTGACAAGAAAGACGAAGGAAAATTGACTATGACCCGACACGGCGTTATTTAAAGCATGAATTAAGCAAGTCCTCCACCTAGTGCCACAAATAGCACGAACACAAACAGCCAGAATTGAGCTTTCCAGACTTTATTGCTCCCTCACATAGTAAAAGCCACCCATTGATAGAACAAACCTTTTACTGCCTTCATTTCATATCCAAATTTGCCAATTATTTCATAAATTACCTTCAATCGGCCACACTCCTTCATCACTAGCATTAGCTAAACTCGAAGAAAAGTCATCAAAATGTCGTATAAAAACATCGTATTTATTGAGAGTCAAGAAGAACAGCGCAAATCAACTTGATGTCGTGTCTTGAGAATAAATACGCTCAACCGAGAGGCACTTCCACGACCTTACAGACAGGTAGTTGCCAGTCTCTGGACAGGGCAGGTACACTAGAGGGTCATCCAGAGCCTCCGTTCTGGATGTCCAGCCTTTGAGAAGCTTCACAGCCTCGGACAACACCGAAGACCGCTCTAGCCTCTCCTGCACCTTCACGTACTACAAACAACAGGAACAAGAGACAGTAGAGAGGGGTTCGCAGCGTGTCTAACATTCAGGTTTTGATGCAAAAAACTCTGGTAGTACCTGTGGCCGTAAACAGACAAGGACTCGGGGTGTGCATGCGTGAGCGCATGTGGTTACTTGAAGTATCAAATACACACACACGTGCTTAGGTTGATGCCATGCGAATGTTTTATCGCCCGGTGAGAAGGCATGCGGCGTGCTCGTGGCGAAAGTAGAGTGGGATGACCTCTGATTTCCGATGGTCTGCTCCTTACCGGTGTCATGGAAAGTCTGTATGTTTCATCCACACCACTAGTATCCCAGCCGAAACTATCAAATAATACCCCTAAGAAGAACGGTGTTTTAGTTGCCGATATTGGAACAATAAGTGAGAAAATATGAAGAGTTCGTTGTGGCTAGATAAAAGGACGGAAGAACAGTAAAAAAAGGGGGTGCTTACTGAAACAAATGAATCCAGATGATCCGTAAAGGACTGTCAAGAATAGTAATGAACTCAATTATTTATTACCAAGCATAGTCATTCCCACTTCGAAAAGCGGCCGATATACAGAGGCTATTTGCCGTGGAAAATAGAGGCATTTAACCTCACATCGGCAAAAACAACCAAACAGAAAACTTGGTGCGCAACAGTCGTATGAAGACTTGTACAGACTCCCCCGCTTAATAAAGTGATATTGAAATGTTATTGCATAACTGATTTGCATATCACTTTCACATGATAATTTCACTGTTGAAACAGACGAATGACTGCGAGGAGCTTCAACAACACTTGAGACAATGATTGGGTTAGGCATTGTGAGTTCTTATGCCACACAAAACATACGATAACAATCTCAACGCCAAGGGAATTCGGGAGGAACATCGAATCTCATAGGAGAAGGGAGAAGAGGAAGAGGAGGAGAATCGAGTAAAACGAATGCATGCGCAATCCGCATATGCACTTGCATGCCTGCTCTTTTTCACAAACTTTAATTTGCATAAGGAACCCATTAGTGAGATGCATATGGGAAAGAAACGACGGTCAGATTAAAAAAGGCAAGTGTTGACTTGTAGTGTGTTTTCAGAACATCTCTATCTGAAGCAGGAAAGAAGGTGAAAGTGGTACTCAATTCAAAGAGCCATTTACGCATCACAAAACAAGATGAGTCAGCAATGGAAGAGGTGGGGCGTCAGAACTGGTTGATCCGACAAACACAGATTAAATGAAAGTTTTGGTACGTAAACGTGGTATCTTGAAGTAAATCAAGACGGTATCGAGGGGGAAGAGTGAGCAGCCCTTTAACGAAGCTGTAAAATACAGTAACCATGATGTGGCTTTTCAGATGATGGGGTTACGAAGTGTTGTAAAACTGAACCAATAGCTCTTGATGTTAGCGCAAATTCAACCCGGAAAAGCAGAGGGAATAAACTCCACTACCCGAATAATGGCCATAGGGGTGATATATTGCTATGGCAGTCGGAAAACCTCCGTGTTCAATTTTGTCTCAGTTCTTTCTGATTGGTTAAAATCAGGTTAACACTTACTTTAAGGTCAAGGCCAATTGGATCAATAGAAGGATAGTAACGAGGCCATTTAGTGAATCACGAACCATCCCCACCCCTCTTTGCCAGCCATTAGTCGAGCTCCTATGCCCATGCCATAAGCCCAAGGCTGACTCGCACACGTTGGCCATTCGACACCTGTCCTGAGATCTTTACCCACCCTTTATCTGATTGGACACACGGAAATGGAAATTCCGGGTTATGAAAAATGATGGAAGATAAAGAGGTATTCGCAAGTGGAAACGAGGACCAATGCAAGCGAACGATGGAAACCAATCTCGTGAGTCAAAAGCATACTTCTACACTAGCACCGCAACAGCAACTCGACAGCATTGTTCGCTGAGTTGTCATAACGATCACATCGACAAAACGGAGGTCCGATGCGATCCGTGAGAATTTTTGCAGACAAATAACCGATCTACATGATTTTAGCCTTAATTCAAGTGTAGTCAACTGCAAGTAGGGTGATAAGCAGTCACACAGTCGCGCATTTTCACAGACAGCCATGGTTACTTATTACATCGAAGGTGTGAGCATTGAGCGACCACTGAAAGTGCCTACCCCATCTGTCTTCAACTTGACTTGAATTGCTTGTAACTGCTAATGCTCAAGACAGGCATATATTTCATGAAATCAGAGTTAGAGATAGTCCCAACTACTGGCCGAAACCGTCGATCACGAAAAATGGTCTACAAGCCGAAGCTGGTTTGGGAAAGAGGTGAGAGGCAAGGCAGTGTCGTCAGTATCAACGAATGTTACTAATCCAGTCTAGTACTGCCACTCCTCCCAGACATAAAGCGTTTGCCTGTAGCAGTGAAACAGCACTAAAGTCGCCCTTGAACAAGCTACAAAAAGCGCATTCTGAGCGCACTTACTCGCTGATTCGCTGTTTTTGGGCTGATTTGCTGCCAAAGGACTGTAAAAAGTTGGCAACGGGACAAGTAGCTACTAATACAAGATAGGCCCTGTTATCAACCTGTAGGAATAGGTGATTAAATCAAGACAGTGCCTGAATGGCAATAAGCCACTTAGATGAATAGTGCTGTTCTTGACAGTACCTAAGAAATTCGGACTTGAAAGCGTCCTTTCGCCGAACCAATTTGCAAAAAAAAAAATTAAAACGTCTTCAAGACATTAAATCACTTCAATTTTTGCATGGGATCTTACGACACCTCGTTACGACTCAAGCTTCGATGCCGATGGTCGAAATAAATTACACCTCAACGCTTCCCACATTCAAGTGATCCATAAAACTAGCCCAAGGATAAAGTTAGATACTTTATACCTTGCTATCGAAAGTGTGAGGCACAGGCGGTTTAAACATTGAAAGAAGACCATTCGTAGAAAAGAAAATAGGTGACAGAACTGACCTTGATTTCAGCGAGGCTGCTGAGACAGGCGGCAGCCCATACCCATCGAGCCTTACAGCCATCTGGCTCAAACGACTCCGCCTCCACGAGATTACATAAGTCTGTTGTAAGAATAGAGAACAGGTCCTCCGACCCGGGGAACGGCGAATCCACATTTAGGTCCTTCAGAGTGGCACTGGAAGTGGGAAAGTAATGTAGGTAACGCCTAACAGTGTAACAGGTCCTTTAAATGCCGAATTCACGTGTCAATAACTAGTTGATATGGTTCAACAGGCAATTGACTTAAGGCCTCTGATACGATCTCAGCTGTGGGTTGGTGTAAGCTCGAACCCACTTCTTGTCTACAGATAGGGCAAATGAGTGCCGCCCTTCGTGAAAACCGTCCGTTAGCAGACAAGCGCAGACGACCGCGATGACACAAACAGTCTCCCAGGTGGATGTCATTTGGATTTGAGGTGACCATATACTATTTCATGTCTATATTAATCTATTGTCAGGCTTTTTAAATAAACGGTTAAAATGATTTAAAGAGTATTTTAGAACTCAAGAGACTACAATGTTATGTTGCGTCAGCAAATAAAACTAATACCAAAGCCTTCCACACTTATTTGTTCCAAATAGCCCTACACAGCCGTTCAGTCTGGCTAACAGTTTGGGCGCAGTCACGACGGTGAACATGAACACTACGATCGACAAACTCTTCACAATAATTGTGCGGATCACCCATCACGACCCATCTACGTCCTCGCTGGTCAAACAGTGCGTTGACGCTTGGAGTCGAGAAGTACCACAACTAGCTTGGTAAACCTGCTTTGGCCATGACTGCCCAAAAACAAATGATACCTGAAATTGGACGCGGTTGAGATATCTAGTTGTGTGCCTAGACCTCACTACCATCGCTACCACACGATCACCACAAGCTTATCCAGATCCAGGTACACGAATGACAAATAAAAACACCAAAGGTCAGCGAATGACCTCAGGTGAGAAGTTTAAACACATTCCCTGCACCAAATAACCAGGCACACAATTAGCTAACGAAGAATACCTCTAGAACCTCTTTCTTTAATCGGAGTAGTGAATTGTCCGAAGCTCGTTGAAACTTTTTCACTGAAGCCATACACAAGTGCTGAAGGTCAAAAGGGTAGCCGGTAAAAGATTATCTGCATATCTCACTGGTCACGAATAAAAATGTGAATTAATCACTACAAAACACCAAACTCCAATACGAGCTGTACAAAAGCACTCAACGGTTAACAGAAGCGTCGATACCATCGCAACGCCAGTGAAGCGGAAAGCGGGGGATTGATTATCTAAAAAAACCAACGGTTCCCACAGATCTAACCACGTTCATCAGTGTAGTAAGAATTTCGCATTTATGACCGAAGAAATAGTTCACGGCCAAGTTATGACGTCAGAAGTGGTCAGCAATAGGCTAAACAAATGCCAAGTAAGAGAGAGAGAGAAAGAAGTGTGTGATCTTATGGCGAAGATGCTCAATACCATCAGTTCTAACTATGCGGGCATCGAGCATAATGAGATTGTAAAGCAATGCGCTAAGGTCAATATATGAAGACATTACGAAATCTTCCACACAAGTGTTACTTCAAAACGACCTACACATCCCAAACCACCATTCTCCTTCCCACCAAAATGGGCCAATGACAAAGACAACCAAAGTTACCGTATCCACTCAGAGTCGTACTGCAGAAAATGGGACTGAGGAGTTTCAATTGAAGCAGAAGCTGTTTGAGGAGAGAAGAAGGAGGCACGACCGGACCAGAGTTGTTCCCTCAACTCGTGATGGAGGAAGGTGACCAGAAGGCCTGCGCTCCGCACTACCAGCCGGGGAACACGAGGTATGACCGCGTTGGGCAGTCGACAGGATGTAGACGATTGCTGGCGACGACACCATCGATGTACGATGTAGCCAAGTGCAACGATCACTGGGGCCACAAAACAGGCCAATGAAACAGAGCCTCTTTTGGAGGAAAAAGGAGAACGTGTAGTAAGCAATCAAAAGACAACTTTATATATTACAATCCACTTCTACCTTTTCTCTTTCTCATATTATGATTAACATGTGTTTAGATCGTGAGTTTAGTAGAACACTATGCTGCACCGCTTTGAGATTCCTAAGACTTTGGTTTATAGCACAATCGAATTGCTAGAAGAAGAAAACAGAGGGATTTCTCCAAGCTTGAGATACTTAGGCATAGCAGTTTGGAATTCCAGAATGTTAGTAAGGAGTAGTTCAAAAAATAAACATATACTGGTTACGACACTGGTTTCCAAAATAGACAAGTGTTTGAGACGAGGACTTCCGCACATGATGCTGTCTTCATATGCGTAAATCGACGTTTAAACTAAATTTAGTTAAGCGCTTTTTCGTTTCCTGGTGTAGATGGGCCTGCACGTCAGGCCACAACATGAACACTCGCTCTGCATAGTCTGGTTTTGCAGGCATAAGGTACCAGCGTTAAATATGCATGTCAGGAATTTGACACCTTTGGAGGCTCATACAAAATGATTCTTTTCAAATAACCATCACTGCCAAAAAAAAATTTGTGTAATCAAGGTATGAACAAGCTGGGTTCCGAGGACCACCTTATCCAGATAGGTAAGTAAAAGACCAGTTTGTCAAAACGAATGACTGATAGGTTATGGGAACAGTTGGAGGAAACGGAATTTAATTAGTAGAAAACTTATCAGCGGAGGAAATCCAAAGACGACCCTAATGCGAACAAAAGTCGACCAGTGGTTAGTGAAGTGAAAGAGTGCTGCGGCCGTTTCAACACATATTTTGGCGTCCACTTAAGTATTTCGAAGAAAAACAAGGACCGTCAGCATGATTGAAAGAGGGAGGGGCTTTACTGCATGATAAGGCAGAGCGGCGACAAGAACCATGAAACAGTAGTAAAAAAATTGAAATCAAAGTTGTTATGCAGCCCATTTCACGTGTTCGCTCTAAGTCTCATACATGTGATGCCGATGGTCTCAACTTACCTTGACGTCAAAAAACACGTGAATCGAGTTGGTTTTTGTTAGTGCATAAGCGCTGACCGTACCAAACACAGTCACAAATGAACTCGATTTCGATCCCGAAATATGAGACGTTCATAACCTGAGGGTACCCGACTTTCCCATCGGAGAGGTGAAACAGCTATTTGGTGTCCCGGTAGTGGAAGCGACAAGGCGTACAGGAGTTTTATTGAGCAGTGATGAAACAACAGTATCATTCCCTACTCAAAAGGCTGATTCAAACATCAAACAAACCTGAAGAAGAACTGCAAACACCTTAACCCTGGACAGAATTTAGGATAAAGATACGAAGGAACGTCTAACGACTGCAAATAACTGTAAAGTGTACATAAAAAAGCCAACATTGGAAATGAGCTATACCTTCAGGGGACAGAAAGGAAACTACAAGATTAAAAAGACCGGAAAACGGAACTGGCAATTTCACCGATGCTACGCATATACGAAATGCGTTTCTAATTCGTCTGCAAATGATTACTCGTCTCAACTGATCACGTGATGCAAACAGATCTCGTTTTTGGGGAGAAAGGATCATCCCACTTGCAGTTAGGTCAACCAGTTCGATGGTGTCGTTGTTGATGTTTGGAATGTGTTGATCAATTTTGCCCAGACGCCAGAGCCAAATGCAAATACAGGGTCGCCTCCTAGTCAACTTCAACCAATGCCAACAAAATACCCAAATTGGCAGGACCTGGGTGACAAGACCTAGTTCGATTGGAACACAAACGCGTTTCGTATGGATTTATAAACAGATTGTACTTTTCCATGCAACCTGCGTAATCGCACCGAGGTCGTACATACAGACTTGGAATGTTGGCTATGGGCAGAACAAAAAAAAAGCTAGAAAAAAAGTGGCACATGGAAGAACGGTGACGTGTTTCAATTATACGCACGAAGTAAGAGCGGCAATAGCATCTAATAAGACGTCACACTGCCACAGTTTTACCTTCAAGCTAGGCGTCGCACGCATGCATTCAGGGTAGAAAAGTGAGGCGTGATCTGCTCCCAATATAATTTGTGTGCGGCAAAGAATAAGTGAAGTTTTCAGGTTAATCAACTATATTCCTGTGGGCTGCTACGTTTATAATCAGACCGTAGATTTAATCAAGCACAAATCCGGTTCGCGACAACACATAAGCTCTTCCAAAACCACTAAAGCACAAACAGATCTACTCTAGAGATCATTTTGGAAACAAAAAAGGAGCGAAACACAATCGCTAGGTCAAGAAATGGATGAATGGTTGATAAAAATAACGATATGAAAGTACTACGGTTGAGGTACCATAACCACCCGTAACAATCGAATTTAATGACTTGAAGAAAACTGGTAGCTAATAAAGGAGAACAAACACAGTGCTTACAGAGAGAGACGTCGGATTCGCAAGTTGTATAGGAGACAGAAATCAAGGCAGTGAATCCACCGCCAGGATAGAGCCGGACTGACTAGATGAAGGAAGTTTAAAGGGGGCAGTGAATCCTCATCACCTTCCATTACTTTCGTAGCAAGGAGGAAGGCAGCAAGAGACCTTGAAAAACCTTTCATCGAAGTTTGCTCCAAAGCACCATCGGCTGCAAGACTCCACACCAACTGAAGTGTATGCTGTTTCAGGAGATGAGCCAGAACCTCAGGTCTGCCTAGTCGATCAGCAACTACTGGGTCTTTTTGGTGTTAATATACAGTAGAAAATGGAATCAGTGACAAAATAATAACAGCATACATATGCAGGCTAATGACATACCTTTTGAGTGCTTAACTAATACGTCATCTCCTCGTCTTAGGTCAGCAGCATTCTGCCGTCGTACCAATTTGGCAGCGCGTTTAGAGGCCCGCTTAAGCCGTTTGCGGGAGAGATAGGCACCATCCCCAACGTTGCTGACCGCCGACTTGTTCTCCGGCACAAGAGTGTCGCCCGCACTGTCAGGAGGTATGAGCTCACACAGGTGCTCGGTAAATTTAACCAGTGACTTCCCAACGTCTGGAAGGCTACGAAACAGAACTTGTGACTTGAAGCTTGCGATGGATGGTGTCGAACTACCAGTAAAACCCGCATCAAGTATACAATGGCTCCAGTACTAGTCTTTCAATGGCGGTTATACTTCTAACCTTGGTGATCCTCAACTGAGCACCGCCTCGGTCATTCCCGTGAACAAGCAGCAAACTTGTAAGATGTCTGGATCTAGCTGCCTTATTAACACAGCCTAAGCTGTCGTGAAACAGGATTTTGTAACTACCCACTAACCAGAAGGTGGGCGATTTCAATAGATCAGTTAGCCCTGGGTGCCGTAACAGCTTTGAACTTTTGATCAGTGTGAAAAAGCTGAAAAACGCACCAGGATAGGTGGAAAAGGAATGAAACACTATGCACACAGAATATTTTGTAGCAAGTTTGCAGAACCTTAAGTTGCACAAAGATAGGGAGGATGCAAAGGAGAAAGTGGAGTAGTATGCAAGCATCGCGGCCCAAAGGATCTTCGCTAAGGCGCACGATTCCATCTGACATTCATTTTTCGAAGGTAATAACTCATTGCTTAGACTACTAAGCAAAATACGACGGTAACAACATCTCTATATTCATTGAAAGCAAGAAGCAAGAGTCATTGGAATGGTGATGCATTCATCACTTCATAAGTACTGAAGAAAACCACCTCAAAGGAAGCATTACAAACACAAAACTAGATGGTAACACGATAAGTGAATTTGAGGGTCGCTTTCTACGCCCATATAGACATCCGATTAAAGAATTCTCGGTGAAAAGAAATATTGTAAAGGGAAAACTTGAAATAATCAAACCGTGTACCGAATGTTTTGATTTAATTTTGGCGGCAACTTACGCGGATGAGTAAGGAAAAGAAGCAAACGGTGAATTCATCTCTAGGAAGGCTCGCAAGCACCGAGTGGTAAAGACGATTCCAAAAACAGTTTCAGTATCTGGTGAATGCACTAGTTCTGGAATGACCCAAAAGAACAGTCATTTTGACAAGTGATGAAACATGTAGACTCACGCTTTCAAGATTTCGTCACTTACCATCGAGAAGACGATGCCCCTCTCTCAGCACACAACTGATCAGAGTCCATTCAAGCAAAGAATCCTCCTCAATTTTAGGTAGCAAACTATTTTCTAGGGATAGAGGCCTTCCTTTGGCTGTATTTTTAGTCTGTTTTATGACTGATGCCTTGGATAGCTTATCGAAAATAGGATTGGAAGAGAATAACATCCAGACAGAACGTAGGCCTGCGTCAGTTGGCGCCGCAGGTTGAGATGTCTCTTCTATAAAAGCACCGCTACTCATTATAAATGGATACAAAGAATAAACAAAAATGATATAGCACCTAACCCACCGAGAGGCAGACATAGTTGCACAGGAGAAAGGAATGGGTGAAGTTTGATACAGGAAGAAGAGTGCATTGATACAACCGGTGTCATGAAGGTGGTGTACTGAATGTCCCTCAAGTACTTCATTGTAGACATTAAAAGCGTTTTGCGGGAGCTAATGGTATCAAATGCCACATTCTTGAAACCTCAAAAAATTTTCAACAGGTCACATACCTCATGTAGGGACCCAAAATGACGAATGAGGAGGCGTGCATAGATGCTCTTGCGAATGGAATGATTATTTGCGTCAATGAACTCACAAAGACTATCAAACCATGGGAATGGAACTGAAACATGAGCGCTGCAAGCTAAAGAGGTTATTACTCTGTGACGCGAATCCGCTAAGTCACCGAGAATCTTTACACCAGCGTTTCGATACCAAAACTCCGGCCGGTGCATAAGTGATAAAGCGATATTATCGAGGCAAGTTAATGCGCAATGAATACGTGGATGAACTGAAAAAATCTAAACGTATGAAAATCACTTAGTAAAAGAATGCGCAAGTGCGAGAATTACCGTGGCGATCATTGAGCACAACCTAGCAGTTTCGAGAGGAAGTTTAACACTTGTTGAATGTCGAGAAAGTCGATCGAGGGACTGAAGCAAGTCACCGAACTGAAGGGCGACATCATTTTGGGAATAGTCAGAACCAAACAAATTGTTAAGCGACTCAACAGACTTTTCATTATAACACACTAAGGGTTGAGCTTTCCAATCTGCCTTTATCTGCGCAACATAGGGCGAGAGAATCGACTGAATACAAGACAGCGCCGACAACTGAAACGTCTCACTAGACACTTGAAGCTTTTTCATGTGCTCATAAATGACGATATTGGGTTCTCTTCGGATGCTATACTAACAAACGATTAAAAGGGACATATCAAAGAATACATCAACAAAAGTCTTCTCTTTAGGTAAAAGAATCTTCTTTTTTGAAAGATCAACCACCGTCTCCCTTTGCCGCTTCAACGTTCTGCCCAACTTTACCTTGACTTTATTGAAATCCCTAACTTTCTTTCCCATCACGCAGCAGAAAAAAAAACCGTCAAGGTGAGCACACACAATTAAAAAGCGCGTATTTTGTCGAAGGCTACACAATAACAGACGTTTGCAGTTTAAAAAATTCAAGAATAAAAATATAGCAAAAAATTTAACGAAAAACTGCGTACTTGAGTGAACAATTAATTTGCGCTGTAGCAATCCGAGGCTTCCCAAAGGGTGGAAAAAGGCATAAGTGCAGCTGGATACATGTATTCCGGAGACGACAGGGCAAATGGGCCTGAGTATGAACCGAAGGCCAACCCACGTGTACAAAGACCTGA